TTGGCGCCAGATCCCAAAAGTACACGACATAGCAAACGTTCTTCCCAAAAACTTAAGTTCGTGAGGCGCGAGTCCATCGAAGTATCACCGAAAACCGACGCCCGGCGTTGCAGTCACCCCATGCTGAGCGGCGTCCGCCGTAGCAGGTAACACCAAGCTATGGGCGACAAGCGACACAAAGTACCTTTGCGTATAGAAACGATGCCACCGAGCGCTCCTTAAGCCGTGGTACGAGAATGTCCCGGTCTAAGGCCTAATATGCGGATAAGACATTGCCCGGTTAACTGCCATTTGGCGGAAACTTTATGTGCTGATGAGTATGGACTCGTACGAGTATGGTGGTTAGTATTGTTTTAAAATTTCACTTCTCTAAGACAACTCACGTCATGCAAACAAAAATTTGTATAGCATATCATTCAGAATATATTGTCTGGTGTACAACACAATACATACAAGCAAGTTCTGCAGCCTGTACCACAGGACGTAGAGCGGGCGGGCGGAGGGGGCGGTAGGGTGACTCCATGCACATCTTGCTCCTTGCCGAGCCTGTGTATTCGATGCACCGGCCCAAACAGCAACCGCTCACAGACTGGAAACCCAAAACGCGTGTTGGCTGAGATCGCACAGTGGCAGAAATTCCTTCGCAACTGGGCCCCACATACTGCCGAACCTCCAGCTCCAGCACCAGACGTTCTCGGCAGTACGGCGCTACGTCGCACTCCTAGTGTGAGCCAGATAGCGCAAGATGGCCAGCGGTGCCTGCACTTTGTTCCGCAGCTTGCAGTCGCTGAGGTCTCGCAGTGGAGGCTGTGTGACTGGTCCGTGCCAAGAAATCAGTTCGGCGTAACTCACGGCCTCGAAGTTTAGAAGTTTACCGCTGAGATGGAGAAGACCCTGGGCTGAAGAAGACCCTCGGTTTGCTGCTCACGAGCGACGCGACGATCGGATTGGCTTGTTCGCGGACCATGCGGTTCTCATCTCACACAATTTCCAGCAGCAGCTGTTCCGGACGGACCCAGTACCCGTTACGCTGGAGGACCGGCTGCACCGTGACCTATGTGTGTTGTGTCAGGTCGCGGGGCAGCGCGATGCTCGGAAAAAGTTGCGTAAGCTTAAGTCGCAGCCGCCGTTTTGCCGGATCGCGGACCATACCGACAAATAGTGGCCGACCACACGAGGTTCTTGTGAGCGCTGCTGGAGGTCTCAGTAAAGATGTGAACTAGGAGCAGACGAGCGGCCAGTGTCAACCATCTGAAAACAAAAGCGAATATATTAGAACAGTTGGCTACGAACTGGTCGTTAGATAAGTAAATACTCAACAGTGGGCACATGAAATATCAATGATGAACTTAAATTTGATTGAACTTGTTGAACTTAAACACTCATTACTATAAATTCGAAGATCATGCGTTTTCATATTTACTTGACGTGGTTCGATGGTTCAATTCGCCGCTGGGCTGCCACGTTTCTAACAGGGTCGTTTTGAACGCCGGAGGCCAGAAGGTACAGCAGCTGCTGGTTGGTGCTCAGCTGCTCAATCAGGTCGATCAGCAGGTTTGGTACGTGCCCCGACCTAGGCTTGAATGCCACAACGCCCGCCTCCCAGACCTCTCCGGCACAGGTCCTGCCGATGGGTCCAGAACAAAATTCGATTCCGTGGTCGTGCCGTCCAAGCTCAGCAGCAGATTGAGGGGGAGGGGTTCAGTTTGTTGCCGCGTAGCTGGCAGATGAACCAGTGTACGGTTGACTCGGTGGCCAGCTCAAACAGCCGGAACACGTCGCCTGTCGTTTCGGTGTTGACGGCCGTGCCACCGCAGCCGAGCCCGTTGATGTGACCGTCACACTGCGGGCTCATTGAGTGTAGCTCGTTGAACAGGTGCAGGGTGCGGCCGAACTCGGACGTAAGATGAGTCACGTAGCGGCTGTCTGGCTCAGTGATGACAGTCACGTGTTTTCGACGGCATTCGTCGGGCTCCGTGTGACTCATGTAGCTCCCGCCTTCACGGCCGTCGGAGTGGAGGATGCTCAAACTTGACTGGTGGATTTCCTCAGCATTTTGACGAGCCGCCTCTTTTCTCCCTCTGTCTCTTGCGCGGCAGATCTTCTTAGTATCTACGATATGTAATTGCAAGTAGCCAGTCCGTCTCTGCTGTCTTGTTGAAAGGCATTGGTGAAAGCAGTAGCGGCCCGGTTCGAGCCACCGTAGCTGTCAACCGCTAGAGCGGTGTTTGTCAGATCATTAACGTTATAATCTACATACAGTGACAGTGGTCTCGACCGGAACGGACAATTGGCGTCGTCACCACCTTCTACCATGTACGGAACCGTGTAAGCGTGCTCTCGACTGGCTCGCCAGCACTGAGACCACTTGGTCCCGGAGCAGGTTCGGGGTCAGCACTAGCAGCCAACGCTGGCTCAGCAGGCGGCGCGGGCTCAGCAGTCAGTGGGGAAGGTGATTCAGGTTCAACAGGCAGACACCGCCTCACTGGCGGCCGAGCCACGACGCCCCTGGAGTTGTCTGGCCGTTCTCCACATCTCGCGAGCCTCCCTAGTTACAATCTTATCCCGGTCATATGACCCCCTGGTAAGCTTCCAGTCCTTGCACTGGTCCTTCGTGGCAGCCTCCTGATACACTGTGCAGGCATCTGGGCATGGAAAGCTGTTCTGAGGCTTGCACTTGCCTTTCGCGACGTCAAGAAGCTTGTTGAATTTCGTGGTGGCGGCGTTGCTGTATCACCCTCTTTCTTTCTTTGATTTCTTGCTGATATCTCTGCTGGGATAATTTCATTCCCTCTCGATCAGTTTTGTCACGTATTTGAGATCATGAACAGGGAACGCTTCGTTGGTCCACCTTACCCTGATTTGTACAGCCGCGGTCTTACAGGCGGTATCAGTGAGATTCCTTTTCGATTCGCTCAGCCACATGATGTAGCGCAAGGATTTCCCGTAGTCGGCAGCTGGTGGTGGGACAGTAGAGCCGGGTGGCCTATCACAAAATGTTGTTTTGTGCGCGACCATGTAGCCTTCGGCATTCTTGTTTGCATACAATTGTTCGAAAGAAATGTTTCAGTACCGGCAAAACTAAACTAATAAGCCCATATCTCCCACGCAAAAAGCACATAAAATGCAAATCAGCATCACAATTATGCGTTAGCAACGACAAACTTGAGCCTAACCCGGTGTGCTGGAGCATTCTCATAACTGCACAGCTTTGGGTTTTACCAAAAATTGATGTTCTTTACTAAAAAGTCAGCTTAAAAGCTGGTTCGCAATGTTTTGCTGATATTCTTCACGTTATCTATTTCATACTTTATCTGCCAAGCACCAGCAGTTTCGAAAGTGACAGCTTTGAGGCTTGCTGGAGGATGATTCTAGTGCGTAAGATAGGTGGCGCTAGTATCGAGTGTGAATTTCTCGGCCCATCAAAAGCAAAACTGCTTTCGCCTCACGAATATCAACATTAGTGCGGTGCGACAGACCTCAAAGTTTATCATCATTCTGTGTGCCAAGGAAACACTTTGTCTCAGCTGATTCCAAGAGATTCACCCCCTCGATGACACACCCTATTGAGCACCCATAAACTCTCATGTTCCCTTCAGTTGCCAGAGGGCCACGACCAACACAAGAGTCCCTCTGTCATTCGGGGTCCCATATCCGTCCCTGTTGAGCAAATCTTTCCCTGACCGACTCTAGGCCCCTTGTTGGCACAGAGTACCCTCTTAGGTAGTGTGGGCCACTGAAGGGTAAAGGAGCCCCGAACAATGTTAATCGCGGTCCTGTATGGTCCGCGGTTCTTTATGTAACCTTCAGGGAGTCCTTCAAGCTCTTGCGCCGTCCAACCGGCTCCCTAATCGTCGGTTCTGGTGGGCCATCCGGACCCCTTTTCAGGCCTCAGCCAACATTTTATTTGGCCGGCTCAGAGCCCCTTGCGAGCACAGATTAGGCGCTGTGGACCCCTGAGAGATGCAGGGGCCCCGACCAGTGTAATTCGCTGGTCCCAGCCTTATAACTGGCTGGGAAGTGGGCCTATAAACCCATACCGACAAGCAGTCGACTGTGCGGTATTGGTGGTGCCTAACTGACCTATAGGCCCATATCGACTCAGGGGCCTCAATCGGCGCAAAGGGCCCAATGACAGTTATTTAAGGGCTCGTCCCCGTAGACCGGGCCGGTGAATAAAACTCCAGCCAGCCCTTGGTGCCCTTAGACCCTCCATGCGGGCCCTTGATCTTCTGACTCGGTGAGTTTTCTAGGTTCTCCGGGCTTCCCCGAACACCGCATCTGGTCGACTGCGTCCCTTGCCAACACAGGGCCCCTGTTAGGCACTTTGGGGTGCTGACAGACGCTGCAGCAGCGACCAATGTACATCGCTGGCTCCGGTTTTGTTCCTGCCTGGGAATTGGGCCCTCAGGCTCGTGCCGCCAAAAAGCTGACTGTGCGTCGCTGGTGGCGTCTGACCGACACAGAGCCCCTTTCGACACAGCGGGTCCCTGAATGGCGCGAAGGGCCCTCAGGCCGACATTGGAGATGTCGATCATTGTGAGATATCGACAACAAAGACTTTTATCCTTTAACATTCTGATCTTTCTTGTATCCCTGTATTCTTCTGTCGCCTTCCATTATCTTTGCTCAACTGTCTCCATTCGGCTTTTTCCATTCGCCTTTTCGTCCGGGGACCCCTGCCCTTTGGGCTGAAAGAGCATATTCCATGGCGCGATTTGGCTGCCTCTTGGGCGAAACCCTGTCTACATTACCTAGATACTTAGATTTTGTGCTAAAAAATATTTCAGTTTTTAGACCTGCTTAACAAGTTTTTGTTTTTATTTCCACTCGTTATCAGACAAATATCATACAACCAGCAAAGCTTATACGTGACGTAAAATAACTGTTAACCACCAGCCAATCAACGAGTTTCCTAGATGGCGCTAGTGCACTCGCTCTTTCGAAGAGTTTCCAGATTTGGCTCCTGATATTTCCACAGCCTTGTTCCAAGCAACAACATTACCGGCTGTTGGTTCACGTGCAGGGGGCGGTGACGCGTTTGGTGGATGTGCTTGGTTCTGCTGTCGTTTCGTCGCATTGCCAGCAAAGGAAGTGAGTGCAATGTGGAAATTTGACTGTGTGGTGCAGCAATGATCCATTCATGTTGTAATAAGGCGCTGCTGTTTCCCCTCGCATCAACCAAATTTACAAGGAGCGCAGGCGCTATTGCAGCGCCGATGCATGCTTTTCTTGCCATCTGGCTTTATTCTTCTGTTCTTACAAACCACAGCCATCCTCAGAAGACTTAGGCCTCACGTGGTATCCAACCACACACATAGGCAGGCCTATTCATTATGCTGTTGGTTTGCCCTCACCAGCTTAACCCCTGCAGTTGACCAATACACCTATTTCCCCCCACCCCTTTTATTGTTTGACCTGATATTGTTGGATCAGCATCAGATCCTGGTGACATCCCTGGTTCCTATATATTTTGATAGGTTGCCACTTGCTTAGGTATTTAGCCCCACACCCATGCCAATGGAGAATATCCTTTACCAAACAGCAGGGTGACCTGTAATCAGTAAGGCAATCAGTGAGGATCTGACACAGCCAGATGGATGAAATCCATTTGATTCTAAGCTGTTGGCTCAGCAGTCAAGGGAAAATCTTTTGGATGGACAATGCATCAGTAGGTGGGTGTTGGTTATGAGCCTCAGTAACATTGTTTGTTTTGGCTAGGCTTGGAAAGGTCAGCTGGTAGCTGGTCAAAGAGAGTGAACCTGGGCCTGACTGGAGCAACACATTAATACTGAACAGCTGAACAACTCTCCACAGTTCTTTCATTGCAAAAGCTGGAGGTGAAATTTCCTAGAAGCACAACAGATCTATCTTGGATGGTGTGTTAGGGTCAAACATTGCAGGCTTTGCTTAGCAGGCTCTCTGAACCACAAAGACACCCATGTGAACAATTTAAAGCATTTCATTTTATATAACAGATGTGGTTAGCCCGACCATGTCTGGTTCAAATTATATTGTGCCTGAGACCAGATGACTTGGCATAACTAGATTGCTGCCTAGTTCATTTTTAAATGTGTGTATGCCAATTACTGTTCATTTATAGATAAGTTAAAAAAAAACATACTGGTCAAATTAGGGTGCAGGCAATTCACTAAATTTAAGCTCAAGTACCACCCATATTCAAATGCTGCTCAAAGCAAACCAAAGACCTGTTGTTTCCATTTCCATTCCATGCACCATTGTGATCTTGCTTTTACAATTAGTTATTAATTTTCTCCTGCTGTGCCAAATCAAACCATGCATTAAACAGTCACCATTTTATCTACCTCAGTGGGCTGGCTGCTGGCTGACATATCTCCAGGTATTTTCTCACCATATTGGACATAATGTATCACATTTTCCTCACTGTCTGGATAATCAACAACTGCCAACACCTAGCAAATGCTCTGAGCCTCTGAAAGTGTAACTTTTCAGATTAACATGGGAATTACAAAAAAAATGTGCTCACCAGCACAGATGGTCTGATTATCACTACACTGATATTGATGTTTTACCAAACATACCAGTGTGAAATATGGTGGGTATCCTCATCCAGTGTCTGCACTCGACCAGCAGGCTGCCTGGTCAGTGTTGTATGCTGTGTTTGTATGACCCACCTAATGTTCAGATATGCCTGAAGTGGCCAACCAAAAGTCCATCAAACCCAGACCCAGGTTAGTCTGGGCATGAATCCCACCACAAGCATTTTTACTGTCTCTGGTTGTTACAAAGTTTCAGCATCACTATCAAGGTGGGCAGTGGTATGTGTCAAGAGTTAAGCTTAGATTGTTTTATTTTACAGGATATAATGATGTAAAGAAGAGGCAGAGGTGGTTGAGCAGACCGTCAACACAGATCAGCAGCTATGGTGTTTGAGTCTGTAGTTGCTGATGTGCTGAACCGCTTCCTGGGAGACTATGTGGAAAATTTGGATGGCTCTCAGTTGAAACTAGGAATATGGGGAGGTAAGTGAATGTGAGATTGAGTTCTGTTTGATGTTTGCTAGTTCCAGAAATAAACATGAGCACAAACATGACACACTCAAGCATGGCTATGAGCACGAATGCAATGCTCAAATTCTCCCAGTTACATTCCAGAAATAATCCAGTCATGAAAACACGATGTCACTAGAACTTTTCAACTTTCACTTGTCTTGGATAGGTTGTTGTCTATGACAAAACCCCAAAACTCAGTGTTTTTTTTCTCACCCATATTTACATCTGCAGGTGATGTTGTCCTCAAGGATCTCAGGCTGAAGGACAGTGCTCTACAGGACCTGGATTTACCAATCAAGACATTATCAGGCTACCTTGGTAGGTCCATCAAGTGCATATTATGTACTTGAAGTGTTGTGAAACAAATAGGTGTTTATGTAATAAAGGTAAGGTAGAAAGAGCAGGAGGATGGATGGTGTTTTTGAGTCCCATCATGAGATACTATACTCCTTTCCCAGTGTTTGTAGCAGTTTACTTGCCATGCTTTGGTACTCCTGGCATAGTATCTTGAAATCCTGCTAGCTGGCATGAGGTTTAAGCCTGATGTCTCACGCTAGAAATGTTGAACACTGATCTGCCAAACAGCCCCAACCATGTTCATGATGTGGGATATTTTTTAGTTCAGCTGTGCCGAATCTCTGCTGCCCTCCGCTCCGGCCGCTGAGCCGCTGCGTAATCCGTCCACAGGCAAACTGGTGCTGAAGATCCCATGGAAGAACCTGTACACGGCGCCGGTGGTGGTGCTGGTGGAGCGGCTCCACCTGCTGGCCGTGCCCAGCCAGGGCGTGGCGTACAGCCGTGAGCGCGAGGACGCCATCGCACGCGACATCAAGCGCCAGCATATCAGCCGCTACGAGCAGGTCCATCAGCTGGCCAGCAGTGAGTGTCCGCCGCCGCCGCCGCCGCCGCCGCCGCCGGACCGCCGGACCGCCTTGGGCAGCCGTGTGGCTGCCCGAAGGCGGGCCTGGGCTCGCGGGTGTCCGGCGATGGCGCGCCCCCATCTTGCGCAGCGTACCCGTCTGGGGGTTGGCTGGTGCGAGCTGGGCGACTCCACTGCTGTGCGCCGAACCTGCAAATGTGCGCTGTAGTGCTCCTGCTCTCTCATATTTCCCCTCCTTGCCTTCCTTTACCCACTGCCTCTTATCGTTACAGATCAGTCTCCCCCGTTGTCTAAGTGGATTAATCCACGCCCGGGTGGCCGGTTGGATACCACGCGCCCAGATGGGGGTGGGGTCAATTCTCCGGTAGAAAAGCATGTTAGTTTTGTCGCCGGTCTGACATTATCTGATCCAAGGTCTATGGCATTCGCTGTTACCCTAAATTGAATCGTCTAAATGTCTAAGACATTGTTTCAGAGATGACTGGCTTCCTCGAACACTCCCTTGTCGCATCAAGATAAACTATTTCCTAGAAATTGCGTTCGCTGACAGCTAGGGTCTTTGCTTTGACCTGCCATAGGTCAGCAATCTTACAGGGTGCGTCTAATGTTGTATGCGCTATTGAGATGCGCTATTCAGTTACGTACAGCTATATAAGGCACGGCGCAACTACGCCGGGTTCGGAATTTATTCTGGTAAAGCCTTCGCGGGCTTCAATCCAACTGACCCCTCCCCCACCCGAGCGCGCGTTAAAGCACAGGGCAGCCGTTGGGCTATCGTGGCTGATGACTGTTTTGATGTCAACTTACAACAGACACCTGACACCATCGCATTGTCAACAAGCGCAGTATGGTTTCCTACCCAGCACCTGGTTATGACGCGGTGTACGGCTGTGTGGCCATCTGTGCCGTGTGTTTCGGACTCAGCTGCGCCCGGTGGTTCATCACGCGGCGGCCGGTTTTGGCCGGCTTTTTTGCCCGCCACAGTTTGTGTTATTCCTCACAAGGCAGACTGGTTTGGCAACACTCCACAGACTCTAAACGGTCTGGCAACTAGCCGTCGTGGTCCTCTGCGTTGAACGTCGTCTGAACGCGTCCGGCGCGCCGTGTCCAGAGTTGCGCACCTGTGCGCCGGGCCGATTGGACCGGCAGGACCGGCACAACAATGCCGCGATTTTCCATCTGCTCTCGGCGGCCGGGCGGGGCCGGGAGGGGGGGGGGGGATCGGGAGGGATCGGGAGGGGCCAGGAGGGACCGGAAGGGGCCGGACGGGGTCGGGAAGGGGCCGGGAAGGGACCGAAAGGGGGCCGGGAGCGGCCGGGAGGTGCCGGGAAGGGCTGGGCGTGGTAGGGGCTGGACAAGGGGGCGTGGCGTGGCGTGGCGTGGCGAGGCGAGGCGAGGCGAGGCGAGGCGAGGCGAGGCGAGACCGATCAAGGAGCGGTAGTGGCCGCGAGTACGCACTGGCGGATGTTGGTCGGCTTCTGCCGATCGCGGCCGCCACCGGTGACAGACGGGCCTGGTGCCGTTCCCGTACACAAATCAGCACAGGCGCCGGTCGGTTGGCCGATCATCAGTCGGCGCCCGAGCCGAACCGCTCCGGCCCTGCTGCGGCGCTGACTCACCGCCCGGTATGCCCGGAGCAGGCCGTCTCAAATGCCAGCCGCCGGCGCCGCTGTTGCTTGGCATGCGTCGGCCTTGCCGAGGCCAGCCGACGCGGTGCACCCGGCCTCGACCGATAACCGATTGATGGCCGCGAAGTCACAAACGCTTTGCTGTTGGGAGAACATGGGAGTGACGTCAGAGACTCGGCCTATCCCGTGTTGGACGGGAACCAAATGGCGTCAGTCGTACGCCGCTGAGGAGGTGCGTGACGCCGGTGATGGTTCGCTTATCCCTCAGCTGCCGGCCGGCGCTGAATCGCCCGAGAGCGATACAGAACAACGAAACCCGAACTCAGAACGCCTAAACCAAAGACCATCAACCCCGAACCGCAAACCCTGAACCCTGAACCCTGAACCCTGAACCCTGAACCCTGAACCCAGAACCCTGAACCCGGACCTTCCAACCTCAAACCCCAAACCCCAAACTCTGAACCCCGAACCCCGAACCCTGAACCCCGAACCCCGAACCCCGAACCCCCAACCCTGAACCCCGACTTCCGAACTCCGAACCCCGAATTTCTCACGTCCGGCCCTGGTCACAAAGGCCGTGCGGTAGCCACATGTGCGCAGCGTGGAGGTTGCGTCCCGTGTACCCTGTGGCGACCGTCCCGTGTCTGGAGGCGACTGTTCTCCGTCCTGTTTCTGGTGGCAACTGTCCGGTATCCTGTGTTCTGTAGCGACTGTCCGGCGTTCTGTGTCCCGTGGCGACTGTCCTGTGTTCTGTGCCTTGTCTGCACGCAGCCTGTTGAGGGGCCATGGTCTGTTGGAGCCTGTTGATGGGCCGGGGGTCCCTTTCAGCCTGTTGACGGGCTGGGGTCCGTTTCAGCCTGTTGACGGGCCGGGGTCTGTTGAAGCCTGTTGACGGGCTGAGGTCTGCTTTAGCCCGTTGACGTGCCGGGTCTGTTGCAGCCTGTTGACGGGCCGGGGTCTGTTTCAGCCTCGGACGCTCTCAAGCAGAAGGATGACACGTTTGTCGAGAAGCTGTTCACTCAGATTATCAAGAATGTGCAGGTGACCGTCAAGGACATCCACATCCGATACGAGGATCAGGTGGGTCGTGCAGTCTGTCTGCTCGTGCCCGCGTGGACCACTAATTTGTCGGCCAGCTAGGAATAATGCGATGAATCAACATCTTAACCGCAACCCTCGCGAATTCGGACGGCTGGTTGAAAACGAATCGCCAGTGGAGCACTTTGTTTAGTAACCGGCTCGTCCTCGTTTTTACCTCACATTTGAAATGCTCTGGTAACCCACGGCAGATAAGCATGTGAACATTCAAGATTAATATTTACGCTTGGTAATTTTTGCACAGATATTGGTATCGGTCTACCATCAATGATCAGGTTTCTTTTCAACCGTCTGTGGCGGCCGCTCCTCGTGCAGTGCTGATCGATCGCCGGAGGGCACGTGTGGGCTCTCGGTGCGGCTCGGTGGGCGCCGGTATTTTCCGGTTCGGGGCGGCCGCGGAGCGCGCTGGAGCGAGCCGGCGGCGCTCGTCATGGCCGGTCACCCTCCGCTGCGGCGGCGGCCCCCGAGCGGCCGGTGTCGTGGGCGGCGGGCGCGCCGAGCGGCCGCCGGCCAGACGGTCAGCTGTGCTTCCACGCCGTCTGGCTCGGCCAGCTGTGGCGGCGGACAGCAACAGCGGCGCCGCCGCGCTAGCCGGCCGGCCGACGCCCGACGCCCCGGCTGTGGCCGGAGCTGGCCGGAGGGAGAGCGGACACCGGTCGGCGTCCGGCCGGCCGGCCTACACTCCGACCGTGGCCGTAGCTGGTCGGAGGGGGGGGGGGGGAGGGGGAGCGGACACCGGTCGGCGTCCGGCCGGCCGGCGTAGGCTCCGGCCGTGGCCGTAGCTGGTCGGAGGGGGGGGGGGGGGGGGGAGGAGGGGAGCGGAGACAGATCGGCGTGCGGCGGACGGCCGCGGCGGTGATGCGCTCGTGGTCTGGCCACTCCAGTCCACCGGCCAGCGACGTACAACATGGCCTCTGCATGCAAGTGTCGATCATATGCGAGGGCCGATCCCATGCAAGTGCTGGTCCGGCTGTGCCGTGAACTGAGGACATGCAGTGACAGGCCCAGTAGAGTTGATTCTCGACAAGACGGTGCTTCACCACATGGCTATCGCGCTCCACGCCGGGTTTGGTTTTCCGGCGCAAGATAGGAGCGGGCTGTTTGCTGTTGAACAACATTGCATGGCTGGTACGCTGTCCTACGTAGTTTTCCATTGTTACGACGGTGGTGAAGGGGAGGGGCATGCGTGGTCTGACCTTGCGCCACGTTTGGAGCCGAATCCACTTCGCTTGTGCTGATTCGAGACCGCCATCGCCGTCGTGGAATCACATTGCGAGTATGAAGAGAGCAACGCGCACGCGCCTTTTCCGACCACGCACAGTTATTGCAACGCTCACGTAGCCCTAGTACTGACATCATTGGCCTTAAAGTCCAGTATTTGCGGTCGTCCTGCTGTTTCTGATAAGTCGCTGGTCACTTACCACGAACCATCGAATCATCGAACCACGCATGCATTTTATATCCTTTGGGGGGGGGGGGGGGGGGCAGATGCCAGGCCACGCCAAGCATGAGGAGCGACAGCTGATGCCGTCCGGCAGTCCACATTGTTCGATATGTCAGGTCCAAGAGATTTTATATGGATTGCGCTGGTAACAGGGTTTCAAAAATCGATGCTGCATAACGAAGATGCTCGATGGTAGAATAAAAGTTAATTTTAGACGTGTTGGCTTCTGAAACTAACCCCGCGAGGCAACCATCAGGTGCCATGAAGTCGTCGAGATTTGATTTTTGTATGTGCTTTTTTGATTGTTTGTTTGGATTATATGACTGTTGCATCTGCACCCAATTTTACGTAACTGAGTCAGAACGCAAATATTAAGGCACCATAGATATCAAACACCCATACAAGTCCGCCCGTGGTTCAGTCGGGGAGAACGCCTGCCTCGGAAGTTGGTCCTACCCGTGGCGGGGTGGGTGAGCTCGAGTCGTTTCGGCGCTCCCTATTTGCCCCCTGACTGTGATGGCCTGCGGCTGGTGACTAGCGGCCGCTGAAAGTTAGATGAGGTCAGAGGGCCGGGTGGACCGTGCCGAGTATACGTTTCGCCACAGAATTGCGCCGTTGAACTTGAATTTCACGATCGGGTGGCGTGGTCATGGTTCACGCAGTAAGCACTGCTTGGTGTGCACTGTGATCCCGGAAATTCGTCTTATCAAAATATGCGGACCAAATGCTGTTTTAAACGTCAGGTGAACAAAATGTGGATAAGGGGAAGATTGCGTAGAGCAGCATAGGTGCTGGTCATCTTTGAAGGTTCAAGCTAAGCCTGAACGAAATAGTAAGTGCTTTATGAACACTTCTGCAGTTTTGTGATGTCAACCTTGGCGAACTCGATGTCGATGTTGTCTTTTCTTCAATTGCTTAGTCCCTGTTAAGTCATGCTAGTGGGCTGTTTACTTACGCGTTTTTACGCACTTATGACGCGCGCAAAAACGGATGAAAAAAAAACAGATGTCAAGGGATTGAGAAGTGTGACGTGAAATACATACCCATTGGTGCTCCAACTGGGATCCAAGATGACGTGTTCATAGCAATGGCAGTGGTACTTCATGGTTGAAGTGCAAAAGTCCGCTTGAATCTTCCTAAATATGCAGACATGTGAGAAAACAGCGATCGACAAACCGCCGCTAACCGACGACAGGTGAAATATAAATAAGTTGCGTGCGAGACATTCATAGAACAAACCAAAATTCCATGGACTCATCTTTTCCGAAAGAATATCTACCGCGCTCATGATAAGAGATAACCTGTGGATACTTTTAGCTGGCACCGGCTGATCTGTACGGTCTGTATGCTGCCGTGCCGGCTGGTTTGTACGGGCTGTGTGCTGCCGTGCTGACTTATCTGTATGTGCTGCCGTGTCGGCTGATCTGTACGGTCTGTGTGCTGCCGTGTCGGCTGATCTGTACGGTCTGTGTGCTGCCGTGTCGCCAGGTCACCGCGCCGAAGACGCCGTTCGCGCTCGGTGTGACGCTGCACACACTATGTCTGGAGAGCACCGACAACCACTGGAAGCCGGCCATCGTCACCGACGCCGTCAAACAGATCTACAAGGTGAGCCGACCCGCCGTCTCCCGACCGATGGGAGTCCCCGGTCAGGTCACTGTCGGGCTGAGGTCGCCTCTTCCCGGCGGCCGTGGCCGATGGAGGTCCCCGGTCTGGGCAGGGTCACGCCCAGGCCATGGAGCCACAGCCCACCGGTCGGACTTGTCGCGTGGGCTCGCCACTGGGGCGACGCAGCGGAGCGGAGCGGCTGCCCTGCCGTCGCTGGGCTCCACTGCGGTCGCCGAGGCCCTGCTGTTACGATGGTGTCACGTGTCGGGGATTAATGGGGTCTTAGCCGCAAACGCTCGGCGTCCAATACACGGCGGTAATGGTGCCAGAGGTTTACGGGTGTAGAAGTTACGAGCGAGCGAAACGAGAGCTTTTAGTCGGGAACAATTAAGGGGAGCGCAATGTGGAACACAGGAAATCCGAAAACAGCGGAGGTACGCAAGCCTTTTTCATGGGAATTCTTGCATTGAAATCCACCGCCTTTAGTCACTGTCGCAGTCGAAGCCATGCGTTTGGTGCCTGTCGGCTCTTGGTACGTGCGGAATTGAACAAACAAACAAACAAACAATCAATCAATCAATCAATCAATCAATCAATCAATCAATCAAACAAACAAACAAACAAACGAACGAACGAACGAACGAACGAACGAACGAACGAACGAACGAACGAACGAACGAACGAACGAACGAACGAACGAACGAACGCACGCACGCACACACGCACGCACGCACGCACGCACGCCCGCCCGCACGCACGCCCGCACGCACGCACGCACGAACACACGGACCCACGCTCGCACGAACCAACGAACGAGCTTTGTCCATCATCTAGTTTTATCACCATGTAGCTTGTCTACCATCTATGCGGCCGTCTGCACACATTATCAGCGATGCTTGTTGCGGCTACCGTCGTATATCTGGGACAGTTCTGCCCACATTAAGCTTTGAAATCCACACGAGTGGTGCGACCATAAAGTACATTAATAACGTAGGCATCTGTGCTCTTCGTCGGATAAATTTGGCAATGATTTGGAGCATTTATCCCGGCCTTCCTGCGTCGCATCGTCTTTCAGACCTTTGTGCGCGTTGACTGTCTTTGTGAAGATTGACATGGATGGTTTTCTGCGTAGTTATGAATGTGCTCGGCTATTCTGTGGTCGACGACGTTGATAGGCCGGTGGTGTCAGCCGTGCGATGTCTGATGCGGGACGTCAGTTCGATGCCGTGTCCTCGCTGACCGATGACGTCATCGCTGACGCCTCTGCCGCTGCTCCACAGCTGGTGAGCCTCGACAGTCTGAGCGTGTACTGGAACAGCAGGACCCAGCTGTATAGCCAGCTCAGCAAAGCTGAGCGGGAGGAGCGCTTCATGAGTGATGTGGCCACTTCCACCTCCACCCCGGCCGGCACCAAGTACCGTACGTCGCCCCCAACACCCCGCCACGTACTCTGGTCGTCCGCAGGGGGCCGCGCGGCGATATCAGCTCAGACAAACTTGCGAGGCCTCTATTGACGCTGAGCTATATCTGACGTCGCATGCCAAGGTGGAAGGTGGCTTCACCTGGTGCCCGGAAGTTTTTCATGTCAGCCGTTTTGTCGAAAACGCAGGAGTTAGCCCTGCTCCCTGGAATGGATTACAGGTCATCGATGTCCACATGCGAATGAAAAACTTATCCTGTGATTCGCATTGGATGTCGCGCTAATGTTTTATGCACCTCGACGTCCCATATGATATCAAGTGCCTTTATAGTATTGCCGTGGCGAAGCGTCAGTCGTCCGACAGAGACATGGGTGCCAAGTCGCCTGTCACGCGTCTTCGTCCGCAGTCGTGGGCCCCATCCACGCCAAGGCCCAGCTGAAGCTGAACCCGGAGCCAGAGTTTGACGGCAGCGGCTACCAGATCCCCAAGGTGTGGCTGAGCCTGGTGCTGGAGGAGCTGTCGGTTGGTGAGTCTCTGGGGCGGTGTCGCCCCGCTCTCCCGGATACAGGCCCGGATTGGCGAGTGGCCCGCCGCAGTGTGCGTGTCCTCGCGGGCGTGTGGAGCCCGACTCCCGGTTTATTTTTGTTTGTTTGCGTATGGCGGCGATTTCGTCGGTTTGTTTTCATGTCGGCGCCGGTGACCCATTTGAGTGATCCGCATACGCGCGGCAGCTTTTGGCGCGGGAGCGCTCAATTTGTTCCGAGATGTGCCAAACGCGCCTAAAGCCACGTTTAAACTAAAACTGCTCGCTTTTGTATGTGTGTTGTGATTAGGATTTGTGGTCCTACGCAGTGCTTGTCGTGGCATTTTCACCGATCGCGGCATCAGTCGATCGCAATAGGCTGTTGATGCAGAGTGGCATTAATCTCACGACGCGTGAGTCTGCACACTAATGCTGCACTACACACAGACCTTGACGCATGTGTCGGTGCCGTCCACAGGTCTGACCAAGTACCAGTACCGCGACCTGATGGAGCTGCTGCAGAGTATGGAGCGCATGACACTGGCCCAGCCCTACAGAAAGTACCGGCCGCAGCTTCGCGAGTACAAGGGCCACGCCAGGGAGTGGTAGGTATTCTGCGCGGGTGGCCTGTTAGCCGCGCCGGTCATATGGTTATGTGTTATCGAGTGTATTCGTATTACTTTTCCCTATGATCTCCGGCGAACTGTTTTCATTCATACCTCCCCTTGCATGACATTGGCGGTTGATAGGACATTTTGGCGCCAGCAGCTCGTTATTGCCCGACTTCCGACCGATATTGGACCACCAGGGGCGTCTGTGAAGACTGCCCGACAGTGCCGTCCTATCTGTGTGTTGACTGGACTGGAGTGGCTCATGGAAGGGTCTGGTTCAAATCCTGGGTTCAGAAGGTAGGGGGGTCGGACGAAAGCTGGCCCAGGGGCAACTCTGGTCGTAGTCTATTGCACTCGAGCAGGTCTGTTTTTTTTTTGTTGGGGACTTCATCATCCAGTATCTCCCATCGCCGTGTGGAGTCTCCCGCCACAGACTACGTATCTTCGGCACGAGCAATCTCTCACCACGGACCACGTGTCTGCCGCCCTTGCAGGTGGCTGTTCGCCTACAAGTGCGTGCTGAACGAGACGGTGCGCCGCCGCCGCCGCAACTGGGCCTGGGTGCACATCAAGGCCTACCGTGACATGTGCAGACGCTACGTCAAGGTACCGTCGCGCCACGCGGCTCCGCTCGACCCCCCGGTGTACGGAGCGGGAGGACCGGCGGAGCCGTTCGCTATACCTATGCACTTTAGGCTGGTGAAGCGAGCGGTTACGGGGCTCGGAATGGTATGGTGTACAGAACCTTGCTTGCAGCGTACCTGCCGGGAGAATCGCACGATTCGTTGCGTTTTGCGCTGTCCTGAGCTTGACTTGACGTCCACGGCTTGTTGCCCGCTACGTTGTTCGTAGATTTGTAGGAGTTTGAAAACCACCTACGGATATCGCAAAGCGGTCTCCGGTACGACCGTGTCCATCCTGCTCAGGTCTGTTGTGCCCGTCAGTGAGCAAGCATAGATCGGGTGAAACTTATGTAACACGGCTGGGCAGCTGGCATAGGTCCGAACAAATCAGTTGTTCATGTGAGCAAGAAAGGCCTGGAGCGCACCATTACAGTAAGGCCACCTGAATCAGTTGCGCGTTGTGACGTCGATATGACTGGTGTATCGACGTTTGTTGCGTCATGGTTATCTTTATTATTCATTTCCACTCGTCAGTCGTCGCAAGACATGCAACGACTGTCCTGCGACGTTGTGCAATTGATTCAGAGCTATTTACTGTAACCTTGTGTGCAAGGCCTTTCCTGTTCACATCAGTAACTGACGTTTTCGCACCTAATTTGCTCGCCGCCACGCCGTATCACATAAGTTTCCATCCGATGTTTGTTTGCCTGCTGATGGGCATGCTAGATCTGACCAGGACGGACACTGGCGTGCTGAAGGCCGTTTTGCGGAATCCGTGTGTGGTTTTCAAATTCCGGATGATCTGCAAACGTCGTGCCGAACAGCAGTAGGCGTCGAGTTAAGCCCGGAACAACACCAACCGTAAAAAATAGCCGATTACATTGGTAGGTCACATAAATGTTTTTTTTTGGGAGGTAACTGGGCCGCATTTCGCATAGTGTGAAATCACACCGCTTTAACTGGACAGCCGTTATATCGCCGACCGGCTGGCTGCGTGGCATTACGCCATCAGGTGACTTGCACGGCGTCGCGGGGCCCTTTATTACTGAAGTCCTTTCGACTGAGGGTGAAATTCGTAGGAAAATAAGATTTCCACGTATGCGTATCCGACCGGAGACGCTGGCCGGCTGGTTGTTTTCCAGAATTCGTGTTACAAATGCGAATGATGTGACTTGAAAGAGGGGCTGTCAGGGCTTCTTCCATGCTTTCGGATTTGAATATTCATCACTATTTGAAATATGTGGTTAGTATACATAGGTTTCCCTTACGTTTCACAAGGTAAGTACCACGAGCCAGCTTGGCCGCAGGACTACTTAATAGGTAATGGTCTGTAAAAGATGATATCGATCGGATAAAACAGCCCTACGCTATCCTGGTGGCAGTCCAAACCGTCACAGTCATTCTGGCTGTGCTGTTTGCTGCAGATTAGCGCCTCTATGAAGGCGTGCGCGAAAAGTCGCCATGTTGCAGTGTGTGGAGTTCGTGCGTTTGTTGGCATGGGAACCGCCGAGCCCGCCATAATTGTGAAGTGACTTGTCGGGATATGCAGGTGCGCACAACGCGTGACAAATACCGTCGAGTTCTTTCAAAACGGATGACAACGGCAGCCTATGACAAAGGCATTAAGACAAGTGTGGCAATATTGGGCTGCTCGGTTGACGTCGATGTGAATGCTTTTTCACACTATCGCACCCGGCTCGGGTTCACTACCTGTTGCTGCTCCCCGTGCTCATGATCGGCCAATCGGCATCGAGCCGGGCGGCGGTCAGTCCAGCCTGTAGGCGCCTGGGGCTATGAAAACCGGCCGGGCTTGCCCAGGGTCAGGGTTCAAATAGGCGGCGGATTAGCAGCCAACAGAATGTGCGTGCAGAAGTGGCCGGTGGGCCATAATTCTGGTACCATAAATGAGTTGTATGTACATCCTGCGACCCCAATTGTATGTGTTATATCACACTGCATTTGAGGTGTTGAATACACTATGGCCTCGGGCTGTTAATGACGTCCACAGCTGGCCTAATGGAGGATATTGGCGAGCATTTGAGTGGTACTTCAAGTGGACACCGGTCTAGGTTTATCATTTCCGTGAGTTTTTGGAACATCGGGTCAGTCTGGTTAAGTCTAGTCTGATCCAGGTTTGACGTATGTTGTTACGGCAATGCACCCTTGCCTGGCTAAAGTAATTATATTAATCAGCACTGCTCGTCTACCGAAGAGGGTACCAACCGCCTTTGGCAGCTGCAATCAAACTTGGAAAATGAGGCAAAACGGGCCCGGTTGCAACTGAATTCCGCACGTGGCGTGGTTGGACTTTAAATGGGCTCGTGCTTTCGGAGACGATGTCTGAACCCCAACATTTATACAGCGTCTCCGTCTGTGACTGAGCCTGTACCTGACGCCGGTCCCGCTCCGGCCCTTCAGGCATACAAGACGAAGCTGACCACCAAGAAGCCGCCGCCGGACGTGCTGAGTCGGATCGAGGACTACGAGTACAAGCTGGACATCGTGAACGTCATCATGATCCGACGGCAGGTGCAGATGGAGGTACGGTGGGCCCGGACCGCGCTCCGTCCGCTTCGGGACCGTGCTGTTCACGACCTGGGCCAGCCCACACCCCCGGCTGTGCTCGTTTGGTCGGATCTCGGGACGTGGTGAATGTCTGACGGTTCATCGGATATCTCTTGATTTAGGTTCGTGAGACGTGTGATGACTGAGGTGTGTTGTCACTGTCAGCTTACGAATGCGTTATGTTGTTAGCGGTGGTCACTGTTGTCGAGCAGACACTCATTGGCATACCACCGACGCTGCTCACTGTCACGGCGCGCACCCGCATCCCGATTGCGCCGGCTTTAGCCTCTTCTTTGCTGTTGCACTGGCCACAGAGTGTTCGCCATCTTCCGTCTCTTTGTGAGGCGTCGGGTGTGCGCAGAGGGACCGGATGTGCGCAGAGGGGCCGGATGTGCGCAGAGGGGCCGGGTGTGCGCAGAGGGACCGGATGTGCGCAGAGGGTTCGGGTGTGCGCAGAGGGGCCGGGTATGTGCGGACACGGCCGGCGCCGCGACCCGCGCTGACCGGGTGGGCGTCCACCGTGCCAGGTGGACAAGCAGGCGGAGAAGCTCAAGAAGGACCAGAAGAAAGCCGGCTGGTTTGGCGGCTGGTTCAGCAGGGGTGGCGGCAGCGAGACCGCCTCCAGCGAGGAGGACATAAGTGAGTCCTGGTCGTGGTACTCGGCAGCTCCCACACGGCAGCTACCGCAGACTGATCAGGCATACTCCGGAAATGTATTTGCAGTGGCCCTATACACAACACCGAACAGCATTGTCTGTGTATTTAGGGGGGCAGATTGCGCCTGTTGTGCCTCATCGTACAAGGGCATGACCATCCGTCAGCGATGGTACGCTCCGTCCGCTGACTCCACGCCACTGACGGTCCGCCCACCCCCGATTCCCCACAGCTGACTGTCCTCCCACAGCCGACTCCCCGCCCGCTGACTCCCCGTCAGCCGACTCCCCACCCGCCGACTCTCCGCCGCCGACTCTCCGCCCCGACTCCGCCCGCCCGCCGACTCCTCCCGCCCTCCGCCCCCGCCCCCGCCGACTCTCCGCCCGCCGACTCTCCGCCCGCCGACTCTCCGCCCTGACGGTCCGGCCACCTATTGCTCCCCTCGCGCTGACGTTGGCCCGTTGCTGTTCTGACACGGTGCTGACGCCCCGCTGAAATCCGCGTCGTCGACAGCCAAGCAGCTGGAGGCGGCCATGACGACGGAAGAGCGACAGAAGCTGTACGAGGCCATCGACTATCAGGAGAACGCGGCGCCGACCGTGTACCCGGCGGAGTTCGAGGCTGTCCAGCTGGCGTTCCGGCTGGGTCGGCTGGCCGTGAGCGTCGAAGACGAGGAGGCGACGCCGCAGCGCGTGCTGGCGCTCAGCCTGCGCTCGGTGGACGCCAGTCTGGTGCAGCGGCCGGCCGCCAACGCCGTCAGGTGAGGTGGCTCGCCGGCGACGGCCGAGTGGTGCCGGTGCCGGCTGGCGACACTCCCGGGCGGGTGAGGGAGTGCTCCACGCACTGACCAGTGCTAGCGTATGCTTTTCGTGATGTCTGGGTGTTCTCGCGCGTGGAACAGCCGCGCACTGCCGTGTTGCGTTGTGATGACGGCCAGTGGGGTTTCCCTGACAGGGTTGAGGCGTGCATTAGCGAGCTAAGGATGGATGGAATCCCGGAGAAAGGGAAGGCGCCGGACATCGCCACCACCATCGCCAAGGTTGGTCAGCGCGAGATACCCGCGTCTCCACGTCACCTCGCCAACTATGGTGTGGTAAAACAGCGCTGGTGGCTTTCGCATGGATTTCGATTAAAAAATGTTTGTCCGAATGATGGTATTGTTTTACAATAATAATGCTATGCTGCCGCATCCACTCCAATTTGGCGTTCGATATCCACTTGGATGAAATTCGTATGACGAATAGCTTTGCCAAACAAACAGTAGATGTTGTGCGTACAATTATGGGGATTTTTGACGTGATCCGGCTCGGGATACAGCTGCCACTCTGGCGGAAAGTGATGTCTGTGGCTGTGCTCATCTGCCGGCATTGTTGTCCGTGCCGACGAACATTTTTGCGATAGCACTGCGGCTGAGAGCTCCGGCGACGGCTGTATGTCGGTCCCCGTCACCAGCGGTGCGCCACGCCCGGTCGGGTCTGACCGCCGCCACCGCCACCGCCGGCAGGAGGGCTCCGACAGCGCGCTGCTGACGTTCATGTTCGAGACGAACCCGCTGGACGGCGAGTGTGACCAGCGGCTGCGCGCGCGCAGCCAGCCCGTCGAGATGGTCTTCCACGCGGCCACGTTCAGCCGGCTGGCCACCGTGCTCCGGCCGCCGCGCCACATCCAGCTGTCCCAGTGAGTCTCCTATGTGGCCACGTCCAGCTGTCGCGATGAGTCTCCTATCTAGCCATGTCCAGCTGTCGCGGTGAGTCTCTTACGCGAACACGTCCAGCTGTCGAGATGGGTCTTCTATGCGGCCACGTCCGACTGTCGCGGTGAGTCTCTTATGCGGACACGTCCAGCTGTCGCGGTGAGCCTACTATGCGGACGCGTCCAGCTGTCGCGTGGAGTCTCTTATCTGGTCATGTCCAGCTGTCGCGGTGAGTCTCTTATGCGGACACGTCGAGCTGTCGTGGTGAGTCTCTTATGCGGACACACCCAGCTGTCGCGATGAGTCTTCTATGCGGCCACGTCCAGCTGTCGCGGTAAGTCTTGCATGCGGACACGTCCAGCTGTCGCGGTGAGTCTCTTATGCGGACACATCCAGCTGTCGGGGTAAGTCTCCTATGCGGCCACGTCCAGCTGTCGCGATGAGTCTCTTATGCGGACACGTCCAGCTGCCTCAGTGAGTCTCCTTTGCGTCCACGTACAACTGTCACGGCCCGGGCATCTCAGAAGTATATGAGAAGCCTACGGATGTTTTGGGCCACCGGAGTAACGTGTGAGTACCTACCGTAAATGTGTATTCAGCGGTGCTTATGTGACTGAACCGTTTTTGAAACGCTCGATTTCGCACCAGAAATGTACGCTTTGTGATCGAAACTCGCGCACTTTTCTGTCCATGTGTCTTGCGTGGAGAGCAGCGAGGGAAGTCGCAGATCGACGCGGTTTCTGACGGCGTGCGTGCTGCACTTTAGACTGCAGGCCGCCGCCATCAGCAAGCTGCACGAGCTGAAGGAGACGTCGGCACTGAAGATGCAGCACGCCATCGAGAACCACAGCACACTGGATCTTGAGATCGACCTGATGGCCTCACGGGTGCTGGTGCCCGAGTTCGGAGACGTCACCAGGTGAGCGCCAGGCCGCGACTCGGCTGGTACCGGACCCGGCGGCGTGTTCTTACGGGGAGTCGTCGTGTTCTGACGCAGCCACCAGCCGCACCATGAGTACGCCATCGGGTGCGTCCGTCCGTGGTACTTTCTTTTCTTTTCAGCCGGTTGCATGTCGATAAGGAACGATGTGTGTTGGACAGGTGCCAGTCATGCATTCAGTATGGCTTGCCAGCTATGGGATCGCAATGCTCGATCAGTCATCGTTGTTAGTGGCTTTCAACTTCTGGTAGAAACAGCTGGTTGCAATCAAAGTCACATGAATGTGGAAAACATAGTTGTTTCCATGAACCATGAACCTGAGAAGCGATTAGAAGATTGCAAAATGTCTGACAAGCCTGGACCACTTCATTTTTGATTATTTAGCCCAACTGACCGCAGTTGGCGGTAATGCAACTCAGACATCTCGTGCCCGCACACGGCATCCGCCGTCGGCCTCCTGTGAGTCGGCCCGGTGCGTCCGGCCGCATGGGTCAGCCCGCGGGCTGGTGCCCTCCGCCTGGCGGCCAGCCGCCCAACTAAAGCTGACGGTGCGCGGCGACAGGGAGGGCCGCAGGCTGGCGCTGAACCTGGGGAGCGTGCGGATCCGGTCCGTGCCGCGCCAGGTGGCGTCGCTGACCACCGTCCGCCAGATGGCCAGCGAGGGCACCTCCAGCGACGACATCTACCAGAAGATGGCCGGCCAGGCGTACGACCAGTTCGACATCGAGCTGCAGGATATCGAGGTGCGCCGCCGACCGGCCGCTGGGCGCGGAGCCGTCCCTCCCCGCACACCTCGGCATGTGCTGGGAAACACCCACCGTAGTTACCAATATTGATGGACACACGTGTCGTCGGCATACGCGTTGTGATGACTAGCATTGAGCGCGGTCGCACTCTCGCCGACGCGTTGGCGCGATTGTTGATGACTGACGAGCCGGCGCGGCCGTGACTGCGCGTGACGGCCGCCGCCGCCGCCAGATGGTGCTGGCCGTGCGGGGCGAGTCGTGGCGCGAGGCGCTGGCGCTGAGCGGCTCGCCGCTGCACCTGGTCCGGCCCATCAGCCTTGCCATCTGCCTGAAGAAGTGCCTCATCACGGACGACCCCCGGCTGCCCGTCGTCAAGGTGGACGCTTCCATCGCCAAGCTCAGCGTCGGCATATCGGGTGCGCATGATCCCGATGGTGTAGTCGTCTGCGTTTGCTGTGTCTCCTTGTGTAGCTCAAAATCGCGTCTTTTTTTGTCTCCCCCTCTCTTTCCCGATTCTCCTGCGACGTTAGTTTCGTGCCCTTGTGCGGCTTTGAGCGACCGCGAGCGCTTACTGTGACAAAGAGACTGGAAGGAAGTCGCCGCTGCGCCGCCAGTCGCCTATCCATGTGCGACAAGGACATTCACCTAACCTGTTGAGCTAGGTCACGCTGTCTGGCTGGCGCCGAGTGACTCTGCGGTCTAAGAGCGCTGACGGGTTCGGTTAAGCGGCCGCGTCGCCGGCTCTGCGCCGGCCGCCGGACTGCGCTGACCGCCGGCGCGCCGCGTCCCGCAGACCACCGCCTGATCCAGCTGGCCGTGCTGGCGGACAGCATCCCAAGCGCGGCGCCCGAGGACGAGGACGACACGCCCGCGCCGGCCCTGGTGGGTGCCACCGCAGCGCCGGCTGAGCCGGCCGAGCCGCGCCCGCCAGCGCCGCAGAGTAGCCGTGCGGAGCGATGTATTTGTGCTTCAGGGAGTCATATCCGAGCGTCGGGTCCACCAGTGCATCTCTGCATACAGGTTTGGCGGTGGGCGACGTTGTGCGTAGCTGTGCATGACACGCTTCATGCCACTGCCTTGCATTGTGGTGCTTGACGAGCCGCTGCTTCACATGCCAATGAACCGCCGGCCGCCAGTGACGCTCGTCTGGACGTTTCAGGACGGCAACGCCAACGTCCTGAACGTGGGCAGGCCGACGCAGGGGCTGGCGCGGCTGCAGGACAAAAAGGCGTCCTCCAGCGCGGCCACGCGGGCTGAGCAGATGACCAACCTGCTGCTCACCTTCAACATCCAAGGTCGGTCGGCGGGGACGCTGCCGCCACGGTGGAGACGCGTAATCGGGGCTACCCTGTGTCTTGTTCTGTTTCAGTGCTGTTTTGCCCGCTGTTTGAGTATGCACTCGTGCGGTGTTGTTGAGCGTAGCGGCTCATTTTTGCGACGGTAAACTTTCTGGCCGGTTTTGTCCACGCTTTTGCGCCATGTTTTTCAAGATTGCCCGGTTTCAGACATAGTGACGGGCAAGCACAAGGTGATGTGCCAGATAACCTCATGGCCATGTGAAGACGCGTTCCCAACAGCGCTCAGCTTCATACGTGTGTGACCCGTCATATTTGAATGTTATTAACGAATGCGTATCAGCCTGTTTGAATTATGTATGTACAGACGCATAACAGTGATAACTTTTACTACCAGCCTGTTTCATAGATGTACCTTCAGCTATAGGCCGGCTGCTTACCAGTCACATGTACGCTTCTCCGTTTGGCACTCGTGTGATGCAAACCGATCGAGCTGATCGTCATAGACCAGCTATGTGCCGGCTGAGTACCAGTCTCACATGTACGTCTCTCCGTTTGACACTCGTGTGAACGCGAACCTCTCGATGTGATCGGCGCGCACCTGGCCCTCAGAGCTGTGTACGGACGTGTACCGGCGTCAGTCGGCGCCGGACAAGGCCGCCGATGAGCAGATGATCTCGCTGGTGATCGGGGGTGTCGGCTGCTCCGTGGCCGCTCGCACTCACACCCTGGAGGTGACCAGCACGCTGGCCGGTGTTACGCTCAAGGTAAACACCACCGAGACGTGACCTCCCGACGGCGACAGCTCCGATTGAGAAGTCGACGGAACGGATGTTGGTCTTTTGGTGCGTGGTGAAGCTGCCGGATCTAAACCAGTGCCATTTTGGAATGGAGGCGTCTCATGGGACGTCCAGCGACTTGGCCCAGAACCTGTTTGATGTTGCCATGTGCTGTACCCTGACGAATATTGGTATCTCAACGGTGGATCATAAGACAATGCGCCTGTGTTCTCTCCTGGCCAGTGCACTTCACAATTCTTGAACTATCTCACGATAACTTCCATAATTCTCTGTACGTTGTGAAATGTGTTAATATATTCGCTAGTGCCTGTCAGATGATGGAGAGGCAACTCTTATTGTCAGGGTAGTCCTGTGTCAAGCCGAAAGGACTCCAGAGCTTTTTGGTCACGCGTAACCCCAAAAATAACCATGGGTGATATTTACGCCGTTAGACGTGCTGGTGTTGTTTCTATCCAATTCACTTGCTATAAACGCTTCATTGCTTGTAAACCTAGCGCCTTGACCATGCGTCATTTGTATCCGTGGGAAAGCGCCGCGCTAGTTGTGACGAATTGGAATGTTTGTCATGCCTTTTCACAGGATTTTAGTTCAGTTGCCGGATAATCCATTTTTTTTTTCAACCACTCGGCGGCAGCACGTGAGATGATTACCTCGCAACTCAGCCGGGAGGTCTTCACAGTCCCGAACGCTGAGGCCGGGACGGCGCTGGGCCGTGGCAGTGACCGAGTCGTGTGGTTCGCAGAGTCACGAGTTCCGGGACCCGGACGGCGGCGAGCTGTTCCTGGTCAGCACGCCGATGACTCACGGCGGCTCGGAGCCCCTGCTCAGCTGCACGTACACCAAGGTAAGGTACTGGCCGACGCGGCTGCCTCCGGTCGCCGGGCCGCCGCCGCCGCCCCAGCGCCCCGTGTGGCCGGTTTGCCGAGATCGCCCTGCGACTCAGAGGAGTCTGAGCTGCGCACAGGGCGCTGTGTGACCCTGGGTCCCCTGTTTGGACATGCAGATGGCGCTGTCCGGTGATGATTTGTCGTGCAATAATGGTCTTGGATCGGGAGGTGAACTGGCGTGTAAAACGGTGACCATCGCAGGCCCGTTCGTGGGCGCAAACCAGCACGATTTTAACTTCTATGGTCTCCGTTCAAATCTACGTCATGCTGTGACAGCACGACCGGTAAGGTCCCTGTACTAAGCGAGGAGGGCAACTGCGGCATTCGCAGCATACTGTGCGGATAGCGTGCATGGGGCTTGTGCCCGAGGTGGCGCGTGTGAAGAACGCCCCGAACCGGCCAGGTGGACCGCGACTGGGACAAGTTCCGCTCCGCGTACGGCGGCGTCGGCCAGCTGCTGGAGCTCACGTTCAGCGAGCTGACGGTGCAGCTGCACCAGGCGGCGCTCTGCTCGCTCATGACGTTCGGCGACGCCATCAGCCGTCAGCTGAGCAGCGTGGGCCCGGCGGCGGCGTCCCCGGCGGCGGCCGGAGCGGCGCCGGCCGGCCCCACCGAGGCGGCGGCGCCGGCTGCTCAGCGTACCGGTCAGTGCGCCCGCCGGCGCTGGCCGCTGCCGGCGTCACAGCCACTCGGCGCAGTGCGTGCTCGCGTACCACCAATGCGAAATCCATGCGCTTATTCGCTCCGGATCATGGCAATTTTCACAAAACATGTACACAGTATAATTTTGTCAAATGCGGCTTCAACATTTGCATGCAGTCGACGCGTGGCACGCACCACGACGGGGTACTGGTCGTTGACTCTCCATTTCAATTTCATGCGGAAAAACGTTAATTTCGTGTCGCTTTGACGGTAGGTTGACAAAATGCCGCTGAGTTGTCAACCTCATTGCGCTTATTTAGCACGATTCGCATTGTCATACTACTGAATACCCAACCCATTGAAAAGGCGCCGCGTATCCAATTGTGCTGCGTGGAAGTCTGTCCAAGTCATGCTCCTCACCAGTATATTTTACGCTGAATGGCTTACTCTTGCAAATTAGTGTCCCAGGGTCATCGTCTCTCGAGCTGCGTTGCTCCCCACTTGTCTGTTAAAATGCGCGGGCGCCGAATCTACATGGTGCATCGATCGAAGGGGCCGTTCCCGTGCTTGGGGTGAGGGGGAGGGAGGGTTTATTTTCGCCGGAGTTTTTTCATCAAGCTTTTGGGTCACGGTGCAAGCGGGGCTCAGTCCGAGGCTCCCACGTGGAAGCGGAAGGCGCTGACAGTTCGGCCGTCCCCCCGTGGGGAGGATTTCGCTGACCAGATCCGTTTCCCTGTGGGTGACCCTGGGGTAAGCAAACCGTGCATTTTGTGAGCCTAAAGTCCATGGCTGTTTTGCTTTGTCTCGTTTGTTGAGTCGGAAGAATCGGTCGTTTGGCTCCGAAGGCATGGGGTGCAGGAGGAGAGGAGGAGGGGCGAGCGGGGGCGAATACCCGTCGTACCTCCGAGGACGAAACGGCCTGATCTGTGCCGAATTAGGGATGGGATGACCTGATTCCAAGGACTGGTCTCATGGGGAGGCGAAAGGCGAAACGTTGTACGGGATTTCCGGATTTCCTTCAGCATTAGAAGTTATTGTGCTTAAAACAGCCAATCTTTAATGCACTGCGGATACGGGATGAGCGACGATATCAATCAGAATATATTACGGATATGTCATGAGCATTCTGATATATCAGTTATTTTTTAGCTTCCATTAATTATAATATAATAACTTAGCATATTTTAACCTTTTTATCTTTTAGCTTATTTCATGCTCTGACTTCGCCAAACGTTGCCTGATATTGTCCTTCAATCGATATCTTTTGCTGCAATGAAAGTCTGTTAATTTCCGCATAATAACTCAACGCCGAAAAGGTCAGGAACTCAGGGCTTGTTTTGTGTATCAAGTATTTCCGTGAGGATCTTTCTTGTCCGAGGGATGTCTTTAAAATGCAGAGGTCGAAAAGCATGCTAGAATGTCCCTCAGTTGCCCTTTTCAGGCCCACAGGCAGTCTCCCCAACCCATTCAAGAAAGCAGACTCTTAAAAGTAACTTTTGAGCATTTTCAGAGTCGAGTTATCTTCCATACACAGTACCTAAAAGCTGTATTGCTACATATTTACTCCATTATAAGCGCTGTGCTTTTGGGTGTGCTTAACTACTGAGATTCCTTCAACGCGAGGGAAGTAGACGTAGCGACGCATCTCACATGTCATTTGGGGCAAATTCGTATTGTGAACGGTAGTTGGACACCGAAATTACCTAAAGCAATAGGCTAACAATATTTGTACTGCTCCGCCACGTACTGCAAATCTCATACACAGCCCACGGCGTATACGAAGCTGAGGCGCACCGTGAATACTGCTAGTAAAAAACCGAAGTCCCTCGCACCATCAATAGACATTTTTGACCTCCAAGACAAACGACAAGAATATGAAGAAATTGCTGGCGTGAAATAAACCAATTTTGCCAATAATTGGCTGCTCACCATCCTGTGACGTCCATGCCTGCCATCTTTCTCCGGGACCAAGGCCGCAATTTTTCAGCAAACACGACTAGAGCCATGTTTGCTGACCGTGTGCCTTTTGATGGTTTTCCACATTTCCTCGGAAGAGACATCCATTATATCCACACTTCACTTGGTGCTGGGAGATTTCAACATCCTGGACTGGAGTGCAGAGTTTGTCTAATGGTCAGATAGTCACAAAAATACTTTTGCGTATTTTGAATAAAATTGCAGTAATGTGTACATAAACCCGCAAGGGGAATAAATTTTGGATTTTTCGATGACTAATGAAGAAGGGCTGGTAGATGCGGAGAAGGGCACGACACTTGGTGAGACATTGGGAAATAGTGATCATAATATTGTAAGGTTTTCATTGCATCTAGGCTATTTAGGTAAACCTAACCATACTGTTACTCCAAATTTTGCTAGGGGTAAATTTGAAGAACCTGCGGTCTTTCTTTGCTAACTTCCAGCGGCAAAATTCTCGAACTGGAGTAACTGCACATCAGATGTAGGCAGCGTTCAATGATATTTAAGAAGAACAGGAAAGGCTCATTCCCTTTAGGAAAATGCGAGAAAATATATCTGGCAAGCCCCATGACTGGCGGAGACGGTGTGCAATTTGATGGCAGTGAAGCGGACAGCATATGATCAAAAGTTTAAGGCACATCAAGCAGGATCGCATCGCAAAGGAGTGCTACAAAATAGCTAAAGGACAGGAAAGCAAAAAGGTTATCAGAAATAAGGCTAGCAGACTCTTGCGCTGGCGATGTTAAGAAACTTGTAAGCTACTACAAATTCAAATCTAAGAGATCCTCTGTCGGCTTCCTTGAGGAAGATCGACTGTCATAGTTGGAGGACAGGGGCATTGTAGATGCGGCGCAAAATGACCACAGTAGTCGACGCGCCCTAAAAATCCAATCAACAACATATTGTAGGTGCTCTTAGTAGGCAGTTTTGTTCAGTTCTTACAAAAAATTCTGTGTGTGATCTCCCTGGTGATAGGCGACATGTGACAAGGCGGTCTTGAAGATTTGACGCTGACTGAAGGTAAGGTAAGAGATAGCTTGAAGAAAATCGGGGTAAATAAGGCGGCTGGACCTGACCAGATATATGGAAAAGTGTTGAATGAGAGTGCTAGTGCTTAAGCTTATCCTCGTACGCTAATATTTGATAGGTCGTTGAGTTTTTCAGAAGCACTGAGGACTGGCACAATGCCAATGTAGTACCGATCATTAAGAAGGGGGCCAAGAAGAGTGTCAGCAACCACGAGCTTGTCAGTCTTACCTCGCTAATGTGTAAAAACGTAAAGAAGGTCATTAAGGCTAGCATTCAATTACACTTAGACAGGCATCAGATGATAGATAATATTCAGCATGGTATTCTCTCTGGTAGATATTGTTTGACAAATCGTCTGGAGCTCATGGAATATGCTACTAGTCAGGTAGATAAAGACAATAGTTTAGGTGTTCTTTATCTATATTTTATTCAGGCGTTTGGTGAGGTGCTACACCAGCGTCTCTGATATCAGTAAAGGTTGCATGGTATTGAGGGAAAATTATTGGCTGGGAAGGGGCTTGGCTGCAAGACCGGAAACAAATAGTAGTGCTCAATTGTACTTGTCATTTGTGTGTCATTGTGTCAATGTCATTTAATTATGATAAGTGTAAGGTGATGCATATAGGTAGTTCTGGCGGCGAGGGCATTAGCTATAAAGTGTGAGGCCGAGAATTGAACCAGATCGAGGACGAAAAGGACGTATGGGTTATGATTTCCAGGGATTTGAAGCGTGAAAGCAATGTGGGACCAGGAATGTCTATTGCAAGAGAAGGAATGTTGTCAAAAGCTTAACTTGCTTCCGCCAGACCACACCTAGAGTATTGTGTACAGGCCTGGTCCCCGCGCTTTCAAAAAAAAAATATGAGCAGGCTGAGAAGAGTACAGCGAAAAACAACAAGGATGATAAATGAGATTGGCGACTTAGAATATTAGGACAGGCTTGAAGTCTTGGATTTGCATTCACTGAAATATCGTAGACTTAGAGGGGGTCTGAGGGAGGTATTCAATATTATGAAAGGAATAAACAAGGTAGATCTACAATGCGCACTGGCAATTAGGCCGAGACTTAGAGGAAATATGTTTTAATTAGCAAAAGGTAGGTCAAAGCAGTGAATCTTTGGAGTGGACTGCCAAGTGAAGTTGTAGGAAGTCCTTCCCTAGCAACACTTCGAAAGCGTTTGGACAAGCTCTTTCGGTCTAAGGATTTCCTTTAAAGCTAAATTCAGGCAGGTCAGGTGGTAAGATTAGTGTCAATGATGGGTGGGGAATCTGGGGTTGAGCAACCTCGATCGGTCCTTGTAGCTCTTTGTTGGCCTGATGTCTATATGTCGGTATGTTCGCTTTTTGACGTGATGGATGTGGCATCCAGGGCTCATGCGTCTGTGCCCTCCACGAGCTAAGAGGTGACTAAGAGACTGAGAGGTGACTAAGAGGTCCTGGTCCTCATCGTCAATGGACAAAACATTAATTATATTCTTAAAAACAAAAGGTTGACCTGGGTCATGTAAGGTCAGTGGCGTATTCTGGCATTTAATATATCCATGAAAGATGTATAATGCGGCTCCCGTTGTCAACGTCGCATTGAACTCCAAAAACTACCCCCATACAGTAAGCTCTAGATAAATAAAACAGGTTGGTTTTGACATTGGTCTGACCTTCGCACCTGACCTTAGGTCATTGGAATTTGTTGAGTCAATTGTTGCGTTGCCTAAGAAACTTGGAAGTGTATGGCTTCGTCTAACACTCCGTTATTGCATCAGATTGAGCGATTCCCCTAGAAACTGTCTTCGCTGAATGCATAGCATTACAGTCTCCGAAAAGCAACGAAACCGAGCACAGAATTCATGTGCGTGCAAATCCGTGCAAACACCATTGAACGTCGACCATTTGGCGTTTAAGTCTCTTGCAACTTCTGCTGCTGCTCCGTCCGAGCGACTCCGTACCTGTCTCCCATACAGCCTTCGCCATGCTGAGGGGAAGGGACAGAAAAGGGAGCGGGGCAGGGCCGTGGAATGTGCACGGGGACCGAACCGTCCGGCTGTTTCCACAGAAGAGGAGGGAGGGGGGGGGGGGGGGGCATACGGGAAAGGCACGGGCACGGGCACGGGAATGCGATGGACGATCGGGCCGGCTCCGTCCCCACGTTAGTCAAGGGGATGAAAGCTCGGCCATGACCGCAGAGAGGACGCTGTTCTGAAAAGACCACATTGGTCCGCATGAAGTCCATCCCTTTCTGACTCGGATAACTGTCCCCCTGACAATTATACGCTCAAATATATGAGCCGCAAGAAGCCTGAATGAACTCTTCGAAGGACCAGCTTGTGGTATTGGAACATACACCAGTCAGGCGGAGTTGCAAAAAGAGCTGCAGTCTGATGAAGCGGTTACATAACTGATAAAAACCTTATCGGGATGATGCAACCAAATGTTGCATCTCGAGCCACGCGAGTGATTTACTTTGTAATGAATGGGGGGGAGGGGGGGGGGGAGGCGCTCCGAACCATTTTCGTGTCCATTTTTTCGTAAGGTAAAATGCGTGCAGATCTCGTGGTCTGTACTACACAGAGCTAGGTCGAAATGTACTTGAGAGGCGTCATGAGCGACTGAAAGTTGTTACGCGTCACCAAAAACATTTTCACCGTAATGCTTTTACGTTGCGAATCCTTGTTTAACAAGTCCAGCTTCACTAGTCATTTGCTCAACTTGTGTGTAGGATCAGGTCCTCGGTAAAGCATAGTTACTTTGTGTGGGGTGGAGCACTCAAGTAAGCCGAGCTGTGATATGATATCGCACTATAAGCATCTTTTTCAGATAGCCCGTGGATTCTCCACCGCCATGCAAGGTCATGCCACTTTCGGCCGCGGCAAAGCATTCCTCGCTTCGTGGACTAAATTCAATACATTTGATGAGAATGGAACCTACTATCGGGCATATGCGGTGAGAAGAGGCCTGCGTTCTAACCATTGCACAATCGGAAAGACGCTGCGCGGCAAATCTTGAAAGGTGTCTTTAATCATGAGTTTGAATTATTTGCATCGCATTATGCACCCAAATGGCGCTTTTGCACCAGGTATGTTTTGTTACTGTTGGAGTCTTTTGAAAATCAGGTTCCTCCTATGATGATGAACATTCTCCTAGTTATTCTCCTTTTTCCTAACAATCTTCCAGAACCCTCCTAGCGATTCCTCTTTGTGGGAATCCCCCGTGGCGAAATCTTGGGCATGCCACTTAAGCAATTTTCTGTTTTCTGGTTCTAGTTGAACTGTAAAGAATTGTTGGCAAAACACGATGCGGGCAAAACAAAATTACCAGGATGGCTACTACCCGGCGAGTGTTAACGCCATGATTCATATAGTGGTTTAACTGCGCAATGCAGCTCGACCCTTTTAGTAATCCGTACGCGACCAAAAACTCGTAGGTTCTCACCGTGTTCTGTATTTGTTTCCTATGATACTGGGTGAGTTCGTTAGGGTTACACGTTTTCCCATCCACCGTCGTGCGCACTTCTTCTGCACCACAACTCTATCATTACTTTTGCTGGACAATCATATTTTGTTGAGGAAGCGGTGCTGTTTCGTACCCACGACCACGCTTTTTTTGAATAATTGATGAATCGCACCAAATGATGAGAAAAAACATGTAAACGTCTCGTTTAGATAAAGGGCCGCAGCTACGGGGAAAAATCGAGACTTCGTAACTAGGGTAATCTTAACATGTCTGTCACATCTATGGACTTTTGTTGACTTGAGTTGTTCCAAGTTTCATATTCCGTCTTGGTAATCGTAGTGACGTTTGAAAAGATAATCTCATTTTTGAACAGGAATGGTGCTGTGCAAACACCGGGCAACTTTCTGTCACAAGGGGTTCTATCCAACACGACAGAGTCGCTACTGTGCGATTCGCTCAGTCTTGACATGTCCAATGAGAAGCACACCTCTGAGCTGTTCCCAAGACGGTTGATCCAGACTATCTTCGCATTGCCGCCCTTATGTTTCGTAAGGTGCTTCAGCTCGCTCCAAATCAGTGAGTTGTTTTTGCCGAATGTTGCTAGTTCGCCTCCATATCGGTGGCAGAAATTATTCATGCTATGGTGGGAGCCTTCGTGATTAGACTGCATGAAACAGCCGGATGCCATGGGCAGGAACGTTTCGCCTTTCATTTCCGGACATATGGTTGATTTTGTCTGGCACCTTGATTGACAGTTCACCAATTGACCATTCAGGGTAGCAACTTCTATTTCCTTCACGTCTCTGTGTTCTCTGCACCTTTGCAGCTGATCATCAACATGCTCCCTCCGTAGTTCGCAGTGCTTATGTCGTTGCGACCAGCTATTGATGTCGTGTTGCAAGTTCTTATTTATGTTTTGCAGTCCCACCATTCTGCGATGGCCCAGTTCATAGTCATGAATACATCGGACAAGCTCAGCGCGCCTATGTGCACTAGTTTTCTTGCACACTTCAAGGCCTAAAGCACACTGTACATTAGTGGCATTGAAAAATGCTAGTTTTGATTCGAGGTCTCGCAATGCTTTTTGGCTTAAGTCGAACTGAGCTTGACTGTTTTCCAGTCTGACGTGACAGCTGGTCACCTGCAACTCCGTTTCTTTGTAACACAATTGCAACTTGTGGTGCCACTCGTTCAATTCCGTCCTTGTCATGGTGCGATTTGTGGTGCAAATATTCAGTTGTTCACTCAATAGCTCTTTTTCTTTTATTTGGTTGTGATACATGGTCTTCGTATTGTTAAGGATGGTTTGCAGCTCCCTCAGGTGTGCTTGACAGGCTTTGTGTAGAGTCTCCTGATCCCGCTGATTGGCTTCCGTGTGCTTCAGTTTTGTGCTGAGCTCCAGTGACTTTGCCTTTAGGTTCGCGTTTTTAGACAATACATGCGTTGCGTTGCGTCGCAACGTGGTCACCAAAGACAGAGTCGCGTTGTAGAACTTGGCGCAGTTCTCGTAACGATGGTCTGCCGCTGCTAATGCGCCTTGACATTTGATGAGCTCTTCATTGAGCCTAGTGTTCTCTGCCACGTGGCTGGCAATTGATTTTTGCATGTGGCCAATGCTCATCGCCATTGTAGACAGGCTGTTCACAGACATATTCAGACGGTGGTTTAGGTCATTGTTCAGCGAATGCAATGCGTTAGCCTCGTCTTCCAGGGACTTGAACATTACTTGGATTCCATTCAGGTTAGATCGGCATTCAGTGAGGCTGATGTTGGTCTTGAGTAGCTGCTTATTAGCAGATTCGTAATGGTTTCTCCATTCATCAATGCGATGAATGCCGTAATTATGGTCTTTGAGGCACGAATCCCTTTGATGTTGAACTATAGCAAGTGTCCCGCTTACGTTGCCGAAACGTTCCTGACAGAGTGTTTCTATTTGTTGTATCTTTTCAGACGATTTAACACATTTCTCGTTGGAACTCTTACATTGTCTGTAGTGACCTTTTATGACTTGGTACATTTCTGCTAACCTGGTCAAGTTTGTTACCAAGTCAGAATGTGTGCGTTGGATTTGGGTATATTTTTCTCGTAGATTACTGAGTTTTTCCAACGATTCTCCCTGTTTGTCACGTTGCATGGAAAGAATGGTTTCCAGCTTACCCAGTTTAATTCGGCATTCATTTTTATCGGCCCTGGTTTCGTCATGAGCATGTTGTTCATTTTCAAGCTTTTTTCTCAATGCTTTCATGACCATGACATGCTCTTGGTGCGTGTGCTGCACCTCACGTAGTCTGGTGTGTAAGTGCTTATTTTCCTGTAGTATGCGTTTTTCTTGTGCTTTGCATTGTTCCAGCTCGTTGTGCATACTACTTTTTTCGGTCTGACATTTCATCAGCTGCGTTTTCAAATTCGACGCTTCCTCAGTGCAGGTGTCACGTGCCTCTCTACAGATCCTACTAGCACTCATAGTTATGTTTTGCTTTCCATGACACCTTTCGAGAGCTGCGTCACAGAATCTCTCTTTAGTTTGTGCTAAACCTAAAGATTTTAGGCATTTGTCTCGGCTGTCTCTGATTTCTTGACTAGCACTGGAAACGGATTCCAGCCTCGCACTGCACGCCGCCTTTGCAATTTCCGCTTCACTAAGATCAGTTGTTAACTTGTCATAATCTGCTCTACATTTTGCGGCGTATTTGTCATGTGCCTCAGTTTCTGCTTGTAACGTTTTGCGAAGAGACGACTCAGATGCCTGGCTTACTGCAATGTTTACTCTGCATTGAGACAACTCTTGTGCAAGCTGTTTCGCCTTTTCATCAAGGGATTCCCTTTGTTCCTCAATGTTTTTTCGGTCCAGATTGCACTGCTGCTGCAGATTTGAGTAAATCGTGTTTTGTTTCTGCAATTCTAAAATGTGACTTTGAGCAATGCGTAAAGCCACGCTGGATTGATTATTTTGGACATTCATTTTAGCTGTGCATTGCTTGTGACCCGCTTCCCATCTGCTCACCTGTACTTCTAAGATTCGTATCTTCTTTTCTTGTTTTACACTGATGGTTTTTGTCTCCGCGAGTTCTTTTTCGAGTTCTTGGTTCTTGCTTTGTAGTTCGTCTATTAAAGCCTTAAAATGTTTAACGTTCATCTCCGCCTCAGCATTTTCCTTCAGCAATTCTTCGATTCTCTTCAAAGATTTTTTATCGGGGGCATTGGTTCTACATGGGCTGCTGCCAGGGAATAGAGGGTTGTAGAGCATATTGCTAAAATCAACTGCAAATGGACCCATTCCGAAAGAAGCAAAGGTCTGTGCACTTGTGTACGCACCGAATGTATCGTTCACACAGCGCATATGATGCCATACCGGTGAATTGTGGATACAAGGACTGTTCGCTGGCAGGCCTAATGTCGACCCGTTCCCGTCGTGGCTGCTGAGGCATGGCAGCCAGCCATTTGGTACTGATCTCTTTCGTATGCGTATGGTGCCACTCAGATGATCACTCAGCTCTTCATTACCCTCGGAACTTTGTTCTTGCGTTGCGCTGTCTTCAGCCACCACTAATTTAAGAGCGATTAAAAAAATGAATGTTTGGAACTTGTACTTGAATAACGCATTTGCTTTTGCCATGGTCATTCAGAAAAAGATTATCTTAACGTGATTTACTTATCGGACAAGTTATAGGCCTTAACTGCCGATCAAATAAACGTAAAACATAATATATTATAAACAATGTGGGCATGAAAAGTGACTGTAAAATGAAAAGGTGTGTTAGGTTTCTGGAACGCACAGACTTTGACAAAACAAATGATTTTTTGTTTTTCGCGTGGTCTAGCGCGAGGAGCTTCTACAAATCAACGCTACTTGCGTTTTACAGAATTGCGGCGTTTAAAGATCTTCCGAGGCTAGTAGTAGTCAGAAGTAAGGGGAGATAGTGAACACGGAAAACTCGGCTTGAAATCACTCCAAACCACATCCTGTAACATTCCGAGCTTGTGGCTCTGTAAGGTGCGTTTGACCTACATGGACATTGGTGCTAGTTTTTATCACGTATACGTGGCTTCTTTAGACTCAACGTAGGTGTCTTTTGAATAGGTTGGTTGGAGGGGTTACGTCATGGCTGCTGATGCAAGCGCAAGTTTCTTTATTTTTTCTGATCCTAATTACCGTGCACATTTCTGCTAGTTCGATGCGCTGTCAGTAATGTGGGCAGAATATGCATTCTTGTCAAATAACGATTTAATAAGGAATTGCTGCGAGGTACGAAAGAGAGGACAACAATCTCTGTTTTCAGATATTTAGGCTACCAATGCGCTTATCACATAATTGGTATAAGCTGTCATCAGATAACCAAACCAAAGAGGAAATGGGGGTGGACGTAGGCACGCCGACGCGAACACTCATATAAAAGTGCGGGCTGTGGACACGAGCACATGGAAAGACAAACACATGAGGTGCGTTATTTGATCTGATGCATCTTATTTCCGTAATGGTTAATGGGGCCTCTTAACAGGTGTGACCCGCTTGGCAACGCTGCGTAGCTCTGCTGGCAACTGCTGACATCGCTCTGTGTGCTCTGTATGCTTTGTGCACTCTGTGTACCGTTTTCATGGTGTGTTTGGCGCGTCATTTTGTCCTTTGTATAATGTATCTGTTGAACCGTCGGTTAGATCGTTATGTAATTGGATCTTCCTGAGTTTGGATTTGTGTACACTTAACCCGAAAACCGTTTACTTCTTATCGTGACCATACTTTGTTTCCAAGGATCTAAACTTCGAAACATGGAAAAGTGGTTGTCCACTATGCCTTACGATGCATTTTGCGCCGTTTCCACGTGTTGTTCACGAGTGACTTTGACGGTGTCGAGACACTGAAATCGCATTTTAAGTGCCTCAAATTCTTGCAATGATTTTTCAAGCCAAGAATACGTTGGGACCAATCCTAAAATGACGGTCGGATTGCCCAACTCAAGCGTTCCAATATATCGTGCTCGATATTATGCTCATAAATGTATTGCACGATGGTTGTTTAATGCGTCTGTGTATCAGTTTTACGTGGTAGCTATCACATGATTCAACCCATTGGCGGCGCCAGGACGCTAAGATGCGACTTCCAGGCATCTTGAAGTTTAAGATTTCGCGTATGGCACTTCACGGAAAGAATGGACGCAAAGTACCATATGTCACCTGTAATCTCTTTCTCTTCTTAAATTGTGGACGGCTGGTGCCACCCTTCGTCATTTCATGAACAAAAATGACTGACTTGTGAAATATGCCCGTAGTGCCATTGAAAGCAAGAACGTCTTGGGTCCATTATTGAAATAGCTTACAGTATCATGATGAGACATTTTGCAGGGCGCCAATATCATAAGCTTCTATCAAAATTTTAAGTTTAGGGCCATCCCCGGCCATGATCTTGATATATCTAGGATAACATTAGGCGGCCACCGTTACCCCTTAAAAGCGAATGGTGGCAGGCTTGACTTGAACCATTTGAACTCTGTGAACACACACAGGGCTCCCGAGAGGTGCTTAAGAGCAGCAGCAGTGGGAAGTGATTTCCAGACCAGGATAGCGAGACCGCATTTAGGGAAGGGCATTAGATCATGCTGTTAGGTCACTGTGTAAGTGAGGTCAGATCAGGTCACGTCAGATTGGACTGGACCACTCAACGGGATGACATTTTCTGAAGATGACCGGGCGGCAAGGCGCCCTGGAACGCGTGTGTCCGCGTCAGTGTGAGCACAATCAGTGACCGGAACAGTATACCAGCTGGGGATGCGCCGGGCAAGGATTTGTGCCGCCCGGCCTGAATCCGCATTTGCCGGATGACGCTATCAGTCGGGCTAGATTCCATTGCATGGAACGGTGCTTACAACAGGAAACACAAACAGCAGTGTCATGTTAGGGGTACACGCCGTGTAGAACGAGGGGCGTATGGCGCAGACGTGCCTACAGGCTACATCTGGCCTCGGAGACGTACGTCTAGTCCGTAACAGTCAGGAGCGGGAGGCGCGATCAGCCTTCCCGAGTTCCAAACAGCCTCTTTGAACTTAAGGGACAGCTGTCTGGGCAGCTCCTTTAAACTTTACAGACAGCTGGGAAGTTCGTTTGTAGGATCAACGTATGAGTACGCCGGTGAATGAAACGCCCAGACTAATATTTTAACGCTATGAGTTTATTCAAAAAGACCTTGAAAGGCATTGGCACCAGCTCATAGCCGTGCTCACGCGCCTGGCACCAATCGCCCATCGCTCACCCGCGCGCCCCGCGGGGACTGCAACGCCAGGCATCAGTGTGATTGCTCCAGTGATGATGATGAGCGCGTGTGGGCAAGACTTTTTGATATGATTCGTTTCACCAATCGCTTTTGAAACAGGATTCAATTCAGTGGATGTCATGAAGCCAAGATGAATTGGCAATTTCAGTACAAAAATGGACCCCGTATTGACTACCCGATTGAGGACCTTTCGGCGCAGAGGGCCCCGTTCATAGAACACGAGGAGTCGCTACCTCTCCCAGTCAGGGGCTAAAAGGTTCGCCTTCCCAGCCCAGGGTACCTACCGGCTGTCATTCTGGTGACACGAGATACCGCTGCCCCTTGGTTGGTCCGCAATCATAAGGCTACCACACATTGGTCCTCTCCACGCAGGACCCGAGGAAAGGGGATGGAAAGGGGGCCCCTCGTTGGGTCAGGGGTCTGACCAATTTAGTGGGCCTCCTGAACAACGATAAGACCTTCCGTCTTGGCCCTGCCCGGTAAACAGGCCCTCAGATCAACGTGGAGCCGACTGTCCGGTATTGGTGGTTTCTGCCCAACGTAGGGGCCCTCATTGTTCTAGGGGCCCTGGTTGAGGCATCATGCCCTGTAGCTGACGTTTGAGGGTCCAGCACTGCGGGCCGGGTACCTTGATACGACTTCCGACCAGGCCATCGGACCATTCACCCCCCCCCCCCCCCCCCCTGCAATTGGCCACTTGCTAGCCAGACCCGTGGACCGTCGTCTTCCTGCGTCCCTTCCCTTAATAGCCGGTCCTGAGTGCCCACGTATCCCTGTGCCCCCTCGTAATAACCGGTCCAGAGGCCCCTCGCTTCTTGTGCTCCCTCCCTTGATAACTGGCCCCGAGGGATAGCCGGTCTGGGAGCCCATTGAAAGTCAGGCCCATATGGCTGCGGAAGATCTGTTAGCGGAACGGTTTTCAAAAGGCCCCTGGATACACGAAGAACCTTCGCTATTCTCCAGAATGTCCAAAACGAGTCTGGAAGGTCGTGGGACTCGACCAAGAACTTCGGATACATTCGATGTATTTAGAGGTGGTCAAGGCCACTGCCAGGCCAAGGCCACCTATGTGTTTTGTTTTTTACTGATATTCAGGAAATCCTGCAGCTCCGTACCCTTGGTCACTAATCAGATATGTGATTTTCTGGGAGTGCGCGAGTGCTTTGGGTTTCAGTATTGATGTGTGCTGATAATATGCATTGGTGTATACACATGCATGTTTGTATGTGCATATACATTGTTGTGCATTCATACATTGATGTATACACAGACATGTTTGTATGCCCATATACACTGTTGTGCACACATACATTGATGTAATACGCACGCCAATGCGTTTACTTCGTTCTATTAGTGGGTGCGCTTTCGGAGCCTTCATTGAGCCTTTTCCAGACCTAAAACGGACCTTTCCTGATCACAGATGAGACATCTTCAGACATAAAACATACATGGTGGTTTCTTGTACAATGGGCCATTTCTAGACCTGTGGCGGGCCCTTTCTGATCACACCTTGCAAGAAGGGCCCCATTGTAGCCTCAGAAAAGGGTCCATTAGATCTGCAAAAGCGGTCACCGTACACTCAACGAGGCTCTTTTCAAGTCAGGGCGGCCATTTTCGGGCCAAGGATAGTCATTCCCAGACATAAGCGGAGATAATAATGAAGATATGATAATATGAATGCTTCCCGCACCTGGACTACCCACGCTCTCAGTTGAAAATTTACTGCGCCAACTTGAAAAGAGCCCAACTCCCGAGTCTGCGATGGACCCTTTCCAGACACTTAGGGCCCCTTTCTGAGCCTACGAAAGTCCTTTCCGAACCCTAGACGGGTCATTCCTGAGCTTGTGTTGGACGTTTTTCGGACCAGTGATATGCCCTTTCTAGGCTTGTGCAGTGAGATATGCCTTTCCCAGACCTGAGGTGCTCATTGAGCATCTCAGAAAGTGAGCTGCGCTCATATTCATGCGGACTCATAAAGTGCATTTCTCACCTTCTAAGCGTAGAATTGATCCCTAACTGACTTAAGACGTCTCTGACATGCATTCATGATCCACGCATTTCAGTTCACAGATCTTAGATGGCCGTTTCTGAGCTTGCGATGGGCGTTTCCTGATCAGAAATAGGCCCTTTTGAGTCTACAACGTACCTTTTTAGACCAGAAATGAGGCCTTACCGTGCCTGAAAGTATTGAAGGCGTTTTCCTATCTTGAAATGAACACTTTCCAGCCTCAGATGAGTTCTTTCTGGACCGAGATGACTCCGTTAGTGTAGTCAAAATGAACTTTGGGGGGGGGGGGGCGGACGGGGGGCATCCCCCGAATGAAAGGTTGGGGACTCGTGATGCCGAAGATAGGCCCATGCACTTTTTGGTAATTTAAGACACCCGTAGTACTTTAAAAACACAGACAGGCCCCCGAGACATCAACATAGACCCCGGGCTTATAAAGGTCTTCAAGAACAGGGTCCTAAAGTGACGAAGAGGACCATGTGACTGGAATGTCCTCCCATGAGCCAATCTGGCCCCTCTGGAACAAAATTTGGCTACGTCCCTGGATGACACCTCACGCCTGCTTAAGTGCACACAAAGCGAATTACCTCCGCTTTTCCCGAGGACGCCTTCTGGGCCACCTGACAGTGTGTGAGAAATAGAGGCAAATAGGCAGTTTTGCGTCCATGTAAGAGATGGCGATATTTTACCTTTCCCTGCCCCCCCCCCCCCCCCCCCGAATACGCCGCCAATGAGTGTGCCTGCGTCCAGCACAGCACGAACGCACCTAGAACCCGCATGTTCAACCAAACAGGATCTAAGATGATCTCATTGTGCACCGTGTTACTCGCTCAGCTCGTGAGTGACCGAATGATATCCATTTTTACGCCAACTAGGCCTACCATTTCGAGACTAGGTTCATTCGGAATTTCTCTAAATTAGGCTTGAGCCCTGTTGCGCTGTAGGTTGTCAGAAGTATGGCACTGTGGGGAGCAGAGCTTTGACCTCACTCCCATCAGAGATCTCCAGACCCGCCATCCAAAACCACCATGATTAAAACCGCCGTTCAGGCAGTATCGCATTTTATGTCGTTTGGACTCAAATACGGAGTGCAAAATCGTAAGCGTCTCCAAGGTGAACAAGATGGAGTGTTGGTGTGATAACGATATTATAAATGTTGATTGTGCTGCATGTGTAGGTAATCAGAAATATTACGGTAGATACTTTACAAAGTTGAATATGAGGAGGTTGTTTGAGCACCTGAGCACCCGAGTGTCCCGGCAAATTTTGTATAAATAAGCCGTCTTTGTGATGTAAGGTGCTCCGAATCCCATTCTCAGTTTGTGTTGTACCACGCAAATGCGGTGGAAACATGTCGCTCGCGTCTTTAAATATGCGGGTTTGCGCATCTCACATACCCTTTTAAGACAAAGACCTGGTGTTGGCCTGGGTTACCGCAAAAATAACGTTGACATTACGTACACATCAGGTCTATGGAAAGTCCGAAAACGTTCATTGCCCTTCACGGACGGTTTTGAAATTGCAGTGGAATAGGCTGACTTATGTGTTCTGTGAATAAAGCTGGGATATGCGGTTTTTTGCATGTTTCTCTTTCGGAGAAGTAGTAAGATACAGCATACGAAATGCTCACTCCACATCACGTTTGCGCGAACAGGACCTACAGGAGTCACATTGAACGTGTGGCCGCCGCGCTAAGTGTTTCAATACTGTTCTGCGGTGGTAAATGGACCTACAGGAGTCACGTTGAACGTGTGGCCACCGCGCTAAGTGTTTCAATGCTGTTCTGTGGTGGTAAATGGTTTTACTGGCCGAAAAGGAAATGCTCTGTCAAAAATCATTTTATAGATTGTAGGTAGCGTGTGTATCACCGTCTGGAACGTCCGTTCTGTAGCGGAGAGCCAGTTGCATTTGATCCACCCTCTGAATACGTAAAAATTATATGCTGATCCTAGTAATTTCTCCACACAATCCATTTTTGTTCGACTACGTATGACCTGGTCTTCGGTCTGAAATAATTTTGCAAATGATTAGAAAATAAATGTTAAACTATCGAAAACATCCCAAAATCTCATCATGAAATTTTCCCTTACAGTTGCAATTGTCGCTTTCCTTTGTTACGGGCATCACGATCAACAACTCGTTACTTCTCCGCTGTGCATTTCATCCTGCAATGTAGGGGCAGTAATATATGCAACGTTCAGACATGCATTTTTATTTCATTAGCTATTGCACACCTCATGCGTCGATAACATGTTGGACTTCTATAATTTACAGTGCATTTTTGTTATAAGTACATTTCTTTGCGAGACTTGCGTTATATTTGTTCTTTAAGCTCGCGCTGAGGTCGACGTGTTGGGTGGAAGATGCTTGCAAGTACATTAACGGAACTCAAAGTTGTCTCTTTCGTCGGGTGCCTGGGTCTCGAAGCTTGACCAGCATATGGCGCCAAATTTCCCCTCCGAGCACTTCTCGTGCGACAGCTGCTGCTTCAGCGGCTTGTCCGCAGCTTCGTTGTCTACTGTGTAGCACACGGTCTCGTCGTGGCCGTACTGGCTAACATCCATTCCAAGTTGGCGCACAAGGTATCTGCTTGGGTCTACTAAGAACTTTCCAGTCTGATGTCGTACTGTTGAAAAACTGGATGCGAATGATAGTTCCTCCACGGTGGAAATGCGAAGCATCGTCCCGTTTTGCTCGTTACAGAATTCGTGCATGGCCAGGCCATCTTTGATTGTTTTCGATAGCATTATGCAGCCCTCCTCCTTACTATTTCTACGGGATTGCCAATACTGCTCACCATGGGTTGCTTTGGGACACGTATGCACCGGGTTTCTACATTTGTCGAGATCTTTAGTGCATGTGTTTAGGAGTCGACCAGTAGATTCTGTTTGTCGTTTTTGGGCCTCAAGCTGTTTGCAACACTTGGTCAGCTCTGCGTCGCATTGTGTTTTTGCGGCGACTGCCTGGGTGAGATTGTAGTGGCATTGGGCTTGTTTCATGCCGCATTGGTCTCTTTCCTGTGTTACCTCTGCCTTTTTCGTTTGACATTGACGCAGTTGAGCGCTGAGGGCGTCAGCGCGCTTCTTCTCCTTTTTGCTTTTACAATCATCTTTCAAATTATCAAGGGTATGTTGTAGCTGTACCTTTTGTTCGGCACATTCGTCGAGAAGCTCCTTCCATTTGTGTAAGTCAGCCTTTTTGACTGTTTTGTTTTGCTTGCATTTGGCAATTTCCTGTTCCAAAATTGCCTTTATACCCATGGTGTCGTGTAACGCATTTTTGCAAGAGGCCGCTTTGCCTTCTGATCTGCTCAGCAGTGACCTCGCTTTCTCAAGCGTTTCCTGACAATGCTTCAGCTCTCCCGTCTTGTTTTTTAAGGTCCCTTCCATGCGATTACTCTTAGCTTCTAGATATCCCAGCTTTCCTTTCGCCACTCCCAGTTCGGCGGAGCAGCGGTCTTTGGCGTTTTGTGTGGCCGCACGAGACGCATTGCATATGTTTAAGGCTGCTAATGCTCTAGACAGTTTAACTTTGCAGTCGGCGCTATCCAGAGCTAATCGTTTTGTTTCCTCCATGAGACTGGCACGCTTGGCAGACGTGTCTTTGAGTGCGTGGCTGAGCTTTTCATTGGTTTGACGACAAGCTTCGATGTTGGCTTTTGATGAAGCAAGCGTTTTCTTACACGCTGCAGATTGGTCCTGCAGTTCACTGTTTTCTGCGGTCAGCTCGGCATTGCGTTTATTTTGCTTTTTGTTATCTGATTGACATTGGCGATGAAGGCTCTTCCAGTTGTCTAGCTCACTGGTGGTTGGTTTTTTGGAGCAGTCCTTGCTCGCATTTTTGGCGATTTTGAGCATCAGATCACATTGTTTTATATCATATTTGCACCCTTGGAGGTCTTTAGTTTTCTGTTGGCTGTCTTTTCTGTCTTCATCTCGTAACTTCAAACATTGTGTTTTCGCTTCCTGCAGTGCCTCTGCTTCGCCCTGCAGGTTTTCTTTAGCTTGTTTTTCAGAAAAGGCTTTGTGCGTTTGTTCCTGTAACTGAATTTTCAATTTTGAATTGTCTTCCATTGCTTTAAGTAACCTGGCATTGCTTTTTCGGAGAGAATCAAGAAGCTGTTGCTTAGCATGTGTGCAGTTGCTGTACTTTTTATTTAATAGCGTTTCTTTGTGTTTCAAGTCAGCGTTATGTTTTTTCAAGTCCTTCACTTCACGAGCTAGGCGTTCGTTTTCTCTCTTCAAGTGCTCATTATCAGTCCTCAGAGTTCGTGCTTCACCTTCGCAGGCATCGATATTTTTTTCAGACTTATTTAGCCTTGATTCCGCGTTAGTTAGTGATATTTCAGCATGTTGCAGCATCAATGTTGCTTTTACCAACTGGTTCGAGCAGTTGTAGTACTTATCCCTCCATTGGCCAGGGTTTTGCGCCTTGTTTTCTTTACAAAGTGCGTTTTCCATCTCACAGTCACGCAATTTTTGCTGTGTTTTTGCGCAGCGTTCTATCCGCGCATCCTTGTGTTTCAGTTGTTTTTGGCACTGCTCTAATGTGTCATGTACATCCCTAACCTGACCTTGCAGCTGTTGTAGCTGACCTGCCATGGTGCCGATCTTCGATACCGACACCTGCAATTCAGATTGTGCATCTATGCACTCCTTCAGCTGTTTCTGTTCCTTTTCGAGGGCTGTGTTCAGAGTAGAATAATCCCGTCTGCAGTCCGATAGATCGTCGTTGACATATTTGTTCTTCGTTTGACATACGGCGAGTTGAATGGTCGTGTTCAGTGCTGAACTTTGTTCCTCACTGCGTAGTTTTTCAGTCTCCTGACGTTCCTTATTTGCTTCATCCAGTCTGCGTTCGCTGACATTATGCTGTCTTTCTAGTTCCTCAATTTCATGCTTGAGGTACTGTTTTTCAGTTTTTAGTCTTTGTAAAGCATCTTTGATAAGCTCGAAGTCTTCGTTTTTAGCCTCATTCGCGGCAGTTATCGCTGTGACATGTATGTTGACCTTCTCCATATTATCTGCACACTGAGACTTTTCCTTTTTGCATGCGTTAAGCTCAGCCTTAATCTTGTTCTGCTCTTGGATAGATAAGCCCCGCTGTCCGTCGTTAACGTCATGGCTGTTCTTCTGCTCTCTTAGTACTTTAAATAAAGCGTTTTGAACATCGTTACCGATATGCACAATTTTAGTTTCTTGTTGAATAACTGACATCCCATTCGCTCTGGCTCCTTGAATTTCCAGCGAGAGACAGCACTGCTTTTCGTGGTCAGTGAGGTTCCGGTTTTGACGACATTTTTCTTTCAACGCTTTTATGGAGTCCTGTGTGTAGACTTGCGTGCCGTTGTGTAGGGTAATCGTCTGATGGCCATCGTGGTGATAGGTAACGCGGACATTGTTGGATTTTTTGGTTAACTTTGAGGCTCGAGAAAGTTGTGCACAAAGCGTAATGCTGAACAAAATTAAAGTGGTATGTCTTACACATGTTTCGGCATTAGAATGTGGTGTCTGGAAGCAAAAAAGCTGACATTTACGCAACAATTTTTACGGAGAAACTCAGTTTGTTCTTAACTTTTTATGAAAGGTCGTGCCGGATGAATGTCAAGGATTTCTCAGCATCTTTTCAAGCCCGTTTCATGTCTCATGCCTTTGTAGGGAGCAGGTCTCCTACTGCAAGACACAATGACCGCGGACATACTGCTTTTACATCATTGCTAACGTTGGTTGCGTGCCAAACATTCGCTAGATACACACACTCGATAAAGCAGCTGTGTAGGATCGGAACATGGACTACATTCCTAACGTGCAACCCGCACGTACATGCGGGCATGCTGAGTGGCATCGTGGCACGCACATGGGTCTGGCCATGGTGGTAGCTAATTGTCTGCTTGTTCACACTCGGCGCGACCGCTCTTGTTCGCTCGTCTGACCGACTTCTGCGGAGGCTCACCACTGCTCCACGTTCTAAATGCCGCACGCCACCACTTCTGGTCTAGTTCCGCCCGTCCACCATTAACGTGAGCCAGAAAGGGCGCCAGATAAGGCTGATGGAACCAGTGCCGGGCTCCAACCACTCGTAGCATTGGATTCGCTCAAGTACTTTTGCATCCTGCGACGATGGACGCATCTAACTGTCCAATGCGATTGTTGAGTCTCATACTCAGATTACTCAGATTGTTGTGTAAATAGTCTAAGCTTTGGCTGCTGCGGCGGCCATTGCACACTGTTGCGTTTGAGACTCACAAGACATCGTTTTAGTCATATGGTCGCCGTCAGATAGATTCCTTTTGCTTACCTTATGCACCTCACGGGAAGTCATTAACCTCATATGACTTCGAACAGCACTCGATTTTCTGGAACGTGCCGCCTGACATCTTATTACAATTTAGTTATTGCCGGTCCATATGGTTACGCGGTACGGTTTTCAGTCGGCCTTCCCAACGGCGTAAGTTGTAGTTTGTTTTGCTATGAGAGACCGGGTGCAGGAGCCAGAGGACTATGATGATAATTCACACAACGAATGCATCGGAAGAACAGCAGGGTACTGATACAGTCGTTCCCGCACCGGTTTGAAATGGGGACGGCGGTCGTGGCGGTCCGGCTCAAAACCCAAACGTCATAGGACTAAGATGGACAGGCTCTGTACATGACACCCGCAATCGCCTGCGTAGCATTATATTAGAATATCGAAAGATTCCGATTGATATTCGCGCATGAATCGCACTTCACTGACAGCAGGTGATTACAGAAGCATTACGAATACATCCTTTTAAGGGATTTATTGCACCACTAACAAGCCAAAGAGCTGAAAGAGGCAAAGGTTGCCTACCATGCGCACTGCTGGGAAGTCAATGTGCCTACCCTCAAGGTTTTCCAGAAAACTCCCGAAAGATACCTTTGGGGAGCGCTGACCTGTAGCAGGTCAGAGTTAGGCCTTGGCTGTCAGCAAAATTGATTGTTTGGATATTTATTTCGAGCTTGTGTGACAAAACAGTTTCAAATTCATACAATTGTGAGATGGTTCTTAGACAAGAAGACGATTGAGATTAGGATCAAAGCTAGTTTTATTGACCTTGTATCAGTCATGATGGTCAGATCAAAGTCGAATCAAAACAGCTTTTTGATTAGAAAAGTTGTCTTGTGGAGCCGTTTTGACGTTGTTTTGGAATTTATTGACCGGTAAGACGATAGCTAGATTCATATCGCTGTATAATGAGGATTATGGGAACTCACTGACCTAAGTGACCTATAATATTATTCTCTAGAAACTTCCTGTCTGGGGTAGTTCTTGACCATGAAAAGAACTATCGCAGTACATCAAATACTAAAATGGTCTCAAGGTTTTTATCATGTTGACTTCAAAATTCCAGGTAAGGTCACTGACCTGAAGTGGCCCGAAGTACCTGTTGCTCTCAAGTGGTAGAAGTTAGGATAAAGTTGGTTGCTTGAGAAGATCTCAGGGCACTTGGGGCATCGATCTCGAGTTTGACCCCGTTTCACTAAGCGTAACCCGAAAGCCTAAAGCCGTACTTGTTCAACACAGACGAGTTTACATATCAGTCATACCTACCCTATGAATCTGATACCAATCTCTCTTGCTTTCATATCTCGGAGGAGGGGGTTGGGGAGGGGGGGGGGGGGAATCGCCCGAGCGCCTCGTATTCACCTGACCACCGGAGCGCGTGCAGTGGCTGTATTGGACGGCGGTGGCGCGGTCCGCGGCGAGTTGGCGCCGGCAGTACGGAGCGCCGTGCGCCGGGCGGCGCGCGTGACCGTGCCGTGTGCCGTGTCCGGCAGCGGTGCAGCGCCGCCCCGGAGCCGCGCCCAGCTCGCACGGCGACGAGATCGACGTCAAGCTGCAGGCCCGCTTCAACGACTTCCGGGTGCAGCTGTCGTCGGGCAGCGCCTGGCTCGCCAGCCTGAGCATGGCCGACCTGCACGTGGGCGTGGAGATGCGCCGCGGGCACACCCAGGTCACCACCGGCCTCAGCCAGCTGTCGGTCGTCGACCTCACGCCGGCCATCAAACACGACAAGGTCAGCCGATAGGGGCGCCAGCAGAGATTTTAAAGCCGTCCCTAGAGTTGAGTTAGTTAGTTAAGAAGACGTTTGCAAGTGCTTGAAACACTTTCGAGCACAAAGCCTGCTTTGGGACAGCTTTTGCGCCGTAGAGACAGTTGTTCGCTTGTGCGTCCGAGAGAAGTGAGGTCACTTCTCTCGCAGGTCAAGGTCACTGACCGGAAATGGCAGAGCAATGTGTCTGATGGTGTCTGAGATTTTGCATTGTGGCCCATGTTTGTGAAGGTGTGGACTGGGCTTGGCGATTCCGTGAACGTGTAGAGAGCGAGGATGTTACGAGGCGCTGGGAACATCTTCAGCAGCGCATGGAGTGCTCGGCCGCCAGTCAAGCTGGTGTATTATACATTTAGATGTGCGACTGAGCGAAGGGTACAAACGTGAGCGCTAGTGTGCGGAACTGCGAACAGAGGTGAGTGTGCACACTTGGGCCAGATTCTCTCCAGGACTCCGTCTTTGTTCGCTGTGGCCAGATTCTCCCCAGGACCCCGTCTTTGTTCGCTGTGGCCAGATTCGGTCCAGGATCCCGTCTTTGATCTCTGCGGTCAGATTCTGTCCATGACCTCACATGCTCGCTGCCGCTGGATTTTGCCTATGACCTTGTGCGTGCGTGTGTGGCTGGAAACTGTCCTTGACCTCGTGTGATCGCTGTGGCCAGGTCCTGTCCATGACCTCGGACGAGGTGTTCCGGGCCGAGGTGAGCCTTTACAATCGGACGGAGCCTGTGGAGCAGGACTTCGTGGACCTCGAGCTGTCTGCTCAGCTGGGCGGCGCGCGGCTTCTCTTCATGAACCGCTTTATCGCCGACCTGCTGGTGAGTGTCCGGGCCGACCGTGGCCGACGCCCGACCCGACACGAGCTCGGTCGGCTGCCAGCGGGCGAAAAAAAGCCGAGGTGCGCCAGCGTGTTGTGTGCCGTAGAGATCGAGGTTGTCGATCGCATGTGCGTGCGGAGATGTCGACATCTTCGCACGCACATGTGATCACGTCATCAACACTTCGCGCTTCATCTTCGCACGTGCGAAGGTGTCGACGAGGGGTGCCGGCAGTGCAGTGGTTGACGCGTCTGCTTTAACCACTACGCGTCTGGGAAGCCAGAGGTACGGGGCTCGATTCCCCGCGGTGCCCGCCCTTCCTGTCAGGTTGAGAGGCAGGCGACGCCATATAGCCTCAGCAGCTGAGTGCGTCGTAAAGCCCCAATGACACAAGATGTCGGCGACGGCGTTCAGTCCAAGCGTGACGCGCTTCCCGCAGGTCGTCACTTAAACCCTGGGCTGACAGCCTACATGCTTGTGCCTTCAGCCGCGCGGCTGGTCTCGGACGCTGCTAGGGAAGCTCCGTAAGGCAGACGCGCATCGCCTGCTCTGGTGCCTCTCCCCATCCCAGAGGTCGGTGGCACGCGCGACACGACTTGATGCCGTGTCCGTTGCAGGCGTTCATGGCGCCGTTCTCAGCCACGCAAGCAGCGCTGGCCGAGGCGTCGCAAACGGCGGCGGACGCAGCGCAGCAGGCCATGCACAACGCCTACGCCCAGGCGTTCAGGGCCAAGCTCAGCGTCACCATGAAGGCACGTTGCTCGGTGACGCGGCGAGGACGTGCGTCTTGTGATGCGAATGTGTTGAAACCATGTTACGTGGGTGTTTTGGACGCAGAGTAGATACCAATGGAGCTTGAGCCGCCGGCAGCGGCAGTCTCAGCGACTGCTGGGCGACGAGCTAGCGGGACGCGTTTGTGGTGTGCATGGTGCCTGTGGATTTAATTAAATTGATCGTCTTGTGAAGTGATTTCAATGACAGGACGAGTTCGTAATGAGTCGTTTCGGTCAGCGTGATAGATGTTTTAGATACAAAAAGACAAAGTTTGATCTGACAAGTAGACCCGTATGTTTCTGTGATGGTCGCGACGTTGTGGGAAACGAGTGGGGTTAGCTTTGTGGTCCAATTATTTATTTAAGCAAGAGGCTGATAATTTAACGATCGGTGTTTCTGCGGCCGATTTGAGTGCCGTTTTGTCACATCGGACACCTGGTCACGTGCTCTCACAGGCCCCTGTGATCCTCGTGCCGCAAAGCTCCCGCTCCGACCGGGTCCTGGTGGCTGATCTGGGAAACCTTAATGTCAGCAACCGCCTGGAGATGGGGCCGTGGAGCCAGCTGAGCACTCCCGCTGTCCTCGACAAGATGACGCTGAAGCTCGACAACCTCAAGTTCTACAGGTGGGACTGGCCGGCTGCTGGCAGATGTAGTCCCCGGCTGGTTGGCAGCCACCGGCCGAAGCAGGCATTACAACCCGGGTTTAAGCTCAAGGCGGCTGGGAAGAACTCCTGTGGCAAACTCAGAAATCCGAACGCCACATCAGTGTTTATGGCACTATTCAGATAAATGAAAGCGGTGGACTATCATGGCAAAAATTACAATATGTGAACTTGGCGTCATGAGACTACACTGAAGGAACATAATTGTATGACAAGTGGACTGGCGAGGGGATCATGGTGCCTGCTAGCCACAAAACATATGACAGACGATATTTCGTCAATGGTGTGAAAAGTACCGCTGTGGAAACCTCAGTAACATGCAAGGAGGTCCTGATTTACCACTCTAATATAGTAAAGAATGAGTCGACGTCTGCAAGTCGTAGCGCATGACATCTCTTTGCCTGTCGTCGGCGCGCGCAGCGTCGCCTCGAGGTGGAGCGCTGCGCGGTCTGCTGACGGCTGACGGAGGGCGTGGCCGTGCGCTGACCGGCGCCATGTCCGCCGGCAGAGGTCAGCTGGCCGCTGACGGGTCGGTGCACTCCGAGTGTCTGATCCTGCAGCCGGTCACGCTGGCGGTGCAGGTGACGCGCAACCTCAGCGTCAGCTGGTACAGGGACGAGCCGGAGATCGACATCCTCGCCACGCTCGGTGACCTCACCGTGAGTGGGCCGGCCGGGCCACCCGCCCCCACCCCCGGACCGTTCTCATGTGCCGTCGGCGGCCTGTAGTGGACGGGGGCTGCTGGGTAATGCAGCGAAGCTACAAGAGGGAAATTGTGTTATGTTTGGAAGGCCTTGTGGGGCCTTGGATTGAAAACGCCCCATAGCTTGTTGAACCACGCGTTATTAATTATCGATGGCTCATTTTGTTTCTCGACTCGGTGATGTTAGGAATGCTCGCTGAAATAAACGTACAGAATTGGATGGGCTTCGTTTATCGCCAGATGTGAGCGAACACTGTCCAGTGGAACCCGTGCGATTCTTCTCGCCGCCACACCCTCGTGCCTCCGACGCCGCCCGGCCCTGACGCTGGCCGCTGGCTCTCCCGCCGGCAGGTGGTGCTCAGTGAAACGGACTACGCCCAGATTATGCGCACGCTCAACGAGAACCTGTCGGAGAGCGGCACGGCGGAGCTGAAGCCGCTGCCGCCGCCGTCGCCGGCGGCGGAGGCGGCCCACGGCGCCTCGCGCTCCGGCGGCACCACGTCGACGGCCGTGGCGCACCTGGAGACGACGCTGGCCAGCGCCGGCGCCGCCTCCCCCGCCGCCGGTACCGCCGCCGGCGCCGCCGCCGGCGAGGTGTATACCAAGCTGCGCTTCAGCTTCGACTGGACGTTCGTCGGCGTCGAGCTCTTCACCAGCAGCGCCGAGGAGAAGGTGGGTACCGCTGGGAGCCACGCGAGGCTCAGCGCCGTGGAGAAGGTGGGTACCGCTGGCAGCCGCGCCAGGCTCTGCGCCGCGGACGCTTGCAGCTGTCGCTCGGCGCGGCTGCACTCTCGGATGTCCACGGCGCCAGCTGGTGAGCGCCGCTGGAACCAGCGTAGAGCTGAGCCGAGGCTGGGGACGTGTGACCCTCTTCCAGGAGCGCGCGCGACGCCGGGCGTCCAGGACCGGCCTCCGGCGGCGCTCATCTGCTGTCGCTGTCAGCTGCGCCGGTCTTAGACATCTGTCTTGGGCGCTGTGGCGCAATGGCACTACATGGGTGCTGCGGTGCGGTGAGTTGGCCCTGCGGCCGCCAGCGCTGCCCCGTCCTGTACTGACATCTGTCTCCCGTGGCCACCAGAGCGGCGTCGACTGCAAGAACGAGCAGCTGGCGTTGGGTACGTTCGGCCTGCACCAGCTGGCGGTGACAGGGCGAATGGAGTCGGACGGCGCCGTCGAGTGTCGCGTCTCGCTCAGCGATTGCGTGCTGCAGGACACTAGGCCCGGTCAGTGGCGGCCGGCACCTCAGCGCGCCCCCTCAGCGGCCCGCTGTCAGTGCTCGCCTCAGCGTTCCCCCTCAGCTCTCCCCTCAGCGCTCTCCTCAGCCCTCCCCCCCCCCCCTTCAGCGCCCCGCCGTCAGCGCCGCGCCATCAGCACAGCTGTGTAGATGCGACTCTGTTGACACGACTGCCGGCGCAGCCCTGCTAATGTCGCCAGCTGTCTGGCGTGCACCGGACCGGCGGGCTCAGGCCCGTCGTCGGGGTGCTGCGCTGCTCTCAGGGCTGTCAGCACGGCGTGATCCGGAAGGGTCCACCGCGTGCCGAGTTAAGACTGCACGGTACTATTTGTGGAATCATCCGGTGGCGTTTGGACCTTACGTGGTGAAACGAGAGGTTTGGCGGTGTCCCACGCGTGTTTGATGTTTGATGTTTGGTGGTGTTGATTGAGACGTTTCCTGCACTCCGCAGACAAGGAGACATGTTTCCCGCGCCTCATGGAGAAGGTGACGCGCGTCGGCAAGCCCACAGCCGGCATGATCAACGTCATGTTCAGTCAGAAGGCCAACCAGGACAAAACTCGTGAGTTGTTGACCATTGCCTCGCTCATGGCCGTTCAGATTCTTTCGCTAATTAGACCACATACTGCATAACATACTGTTCATACGTGTTTGTGTCAACTATGTGCCCGCCTGGAGACACCGTTTAGCGGGGTGACTCAGGCTTGCCCGGCACTGGTGATACATCTGGCAGTGTGCAGCTTTGTACCTTAAATACCCGCCATATGAATACTGCTGTCACCAGGGTCTGCTGGATAATTGGGATATCGTGTTAAAATATTTGGCTAGCTGAAAAATCTCGGGGCTAGTTTTGGAAGTTCTTCAGCCTTCAACACTGATGATGAAGCTAGGCACACGCATTGACAGTAAGCGATCTTGAATGCATCAGGGGGTGCTGATGGACGAAAAGGGTGTAAAACATAACACATAAGCAAACAGTCGGATCCGTCCTGCGTCTGCTTGTTCCTTGTCACGCTGCCACAATTTCTATTATTAGCACCCCCTGGTATACTAAAGGTCGCTTACCGCCCTTGTGTAGCTACAGTATCATCAAGAATGCTGAGGGTGCTGGAACTCCAAGATCTGGATGCATGTCTTAATGACGCCAGGCATGGTTACTTCAGCGTCTGTCTTGCAGTGGACCCAAGCTTCCAACTAGACCTCAGCTGGATCTGACTGATTGCCCGAGCGTGGCCAGTGAACATTCACCCGCGTCTCTTTCAGTCGAGGTCAGGGTATCGAGCGTGTCGCTGATCCTGTTCCTGCCGTACCTGATGTTGCTGATGGAGTTCTTCACCAAGAACATGCCGGAGGCGCCCAAGAAACCGCCGCCTTCGGCGTCCAAGCCGTGAGTTTCGGCCGGAGACGCCACCATCGGTGCCCTCCCCCTTCGTCCTCTCGGGGTGAAGTCCGCTGACGACGCCGGCGGGCGCTCGGTCCCGCGCTGCTCTGCTCTCTGACGCTCGGGTGCGGCAGACGGGTTTGCGCCTGTTGGTCAGGTGGGAGGGCGTGGGGTGCAGGGTTGAGGCTTACTGATCCGATGGAGGATTGGTCGGGCTAGGCGCGCTCGCCCTCTGCCTTGAGCGGCCGGCCCGCACTGACCGCTGTTGGGGTGTCAGGCGTGTGAGGGTGCCAATAATGTGGTGGTTGACGCGCCTGCGTTAACCACTGCGCGTCTGGAAGACCAGAGGTACGGGGTTTGGTTCTCCGCGGTGCCAGGTCTCTCCCTTCCTGCCAGGGTGAGAGGCAGGCGACGCCTTATAGCTTTAACAGTTGAATGCGCCATAAAGCTCCAATGATACGACTGACTCACGGAGGCGTCAGGTGTCGTGGCGAACTGACGCCGCTCTGACCTGATCCTCTGAGCTCCGATCGTGCCCTCTGAACTCCGACCCGAGCCCTCTGAGCTCCGACCAGGGCCACTGAGCCCTGGCCGGGACATCTGAGCCCTGACTGGGGCCTCTGCGCTCCGACCGGGGTCTCTGCGCTCCGACTGGGGCCTCTACGCTCCGACCGGGGTCTCGGAGCTCCGACCGGGGCCTCTGAGTCCTGACCGGGGTCTCTGGGCTCTGATCGGGGCCTCTGAGCCCGGACCGGGGCCGGTACGCTCCGACCGGAGCCTCTGAGCTCCGACCCAAGCCCTCTGAGCTCCGACCGGGGCCCCTGAGCCCTGACCGGGGTCGGCACGCTCCGCAGGGCCGGCGGGAAGCCGCAGCGGCCCACCACGCTGGAGCCGCCGCGGCCGGCAGCCAGCGCGCCGGCCAGCGGCCGGCTGACTCTCCAGCTGACGGTCGAGCGGCCCGACGTCGCGCTCGTCGAGGACCTCAAGGACATCAACACGCGCGCCGTGGTGTTCGACGTGAGTGGCGCCGCCGGCCGGCGCTGGGCGTGCGCAGCGAGCCGGTGGAGCCGGGACAGACCCCGGAGCGGAGCCTGTTCCGCCGATGCTGCTCAGCGGGTGTGGGCCAAAGGGTGTCGGCACTGAGCGGGGCAGCCGCACTGGCAGGCAAGCCTGATAGCCGCCGCACACGCTAATGAGGCGACGACCAAGCCCGTAGCACCACTGACGAGTCTGCTCCGCTCCAAAATACCAACCCCGGTAACATTTGGCGTAAATCTATGGGCGTGACAAGGGTATTGGGGAAATACTGGAGCACATCCGGGAGACGTCGAGGCGACACGATTCATCGCGCAGAAGCCTAGCTCGTTACGGCCGATCGCTCCGTCTCATGATCAGCCTTGGTCTGATCTGGCGGTGTCCAAGCGCCATACCCGCGCGAGACCGCGGCTGACCCGGCCTACGCTCCCCGGCAGAACGAGGTTCGTCTGAAGGTGCAGCAGACGGCCGAGAAGACCAACATCATGGGTGACATCAGCCGGGTCCAGCTGTTCACCTGCGTCTACAGCCCGGAGCAGCGCGAGAAGACCATGAACGAGGTGAGCAGCAAGCGTGGCCGAGCCGTTCCCCGGCCATGACGCCCCGCGACCCGGGACGGCGCTGGCCCCGCTCCGACCTCTCTGACCCTGCCTCGACCCCGCTGACCCTGCACCGAGCTCGTTGGCCACCGCCGAGCAGCGGACTGGGCGGCGGCGCGCGGCCCACCGCGGGCCGCATCGGTCGCTGTCCCATGACTACGCCAGCCGGGCCTGCTGGGAGAGCGTCTGCGCTGTGTGTGACGCTGAGGCCGAGGGTTGGGCGCGCCACTCTGTGTCCGCGCTCACGGCACATCGTAGACAGAGGCCCGCTGCGGCTGGCTCGGCCCACGACGCCGTATGGAATCTCGCGAGTGGCCGATGCGGGGAGGGGTAGGGACAGAGGGGGAGTGGAGCGCGCGGCTCATACGTCGCGCAACACTGGCGCGCCGGAGCTGATTTGAGCCTGACGGTCGCGTGAGGTAGCGTCGTTTACATGCGCTGTAGTGGTTCAGTATTAGAAGACGGTCCTGTACATGCTTTCCAATGCTGACCTCTGATTTTTGCCAGATGTTGTATGCAAACGAGACATAGATCGGAATTTACTTCGCTGTTTTTTCGCAGACATGTGGCTTTAGTTCCTGATTCCCATTGGCTCTTATGCTAACACCAGAGGCTGACTTCCTTTTTGCGCTGTGCAATGGAACGTTGGCGTCTCGCGTGCGCCCTCCTGTGCGTTTGTGGAGTAGGTGGGGCGTCATCTCACCGGTGCCGTCGGTTACGTCTGTGAGGTGAGGCCGGCGTTGTCTCCCCTGAGGCGAGAGCGTGACGGCTGACGGCCGGCGGTCTCCCGTGCTGCAGATCGTCAGCCCGTTCTCGGTGTCGGTGATTGGCAGCATCACTGAGGGCCGCGGCACACGGCTGCAGGTGGAGGTCACCGATGTCAAGCTGCATGTCAACGCAGGTGAGCGGCGCCGCGCAGCACACGCGGTGGGCGCATCTGACGCTCTCCGATCCGATCCAATCCTATCTGATCCGATCCGATCCAATCCGATCTTATCCGATCCGATCCGATCCAATCCGATCGTATCCGATCCGATCCGATGAGATCTGATCTGATCCGATCTGATCCGATCCGATCCATTCCGATCCTATCCGATCAGATCCGGACGGATCCAATCGGATCCGATCCAGACCGATCCGATCCGGTCCAGACCGATCCGATCCGGTCCAGACCGATCCGATCCGGTCCGGTCCGATCCGATCCCGTCCGATCCCGTCCGATCCCGTCCCGTCCCGTCCCGTCCCGATCCCGTCCCGTCCCGTCCGATCCCGTCCCGTCCCGTCCGATCCCGTCCCGTCCCGTCCCGTCCCGACCCCGCAGCCAGGCTGTCTGGGCGGCGGCGAAGCCTCACTGACGCTTGGGACGTCGGTGACCGGCGGCGGGACAAACGCGCCTCCCGACACGGAAGACGGCGCGGAACGGCGGGTGGCGTACCAGCGGGCGCCCAGTGCTCCGGCCTGCACGCATCCGTGCCGTCGTGATGCCCTGCCCGGTGCTGGCGGTGTGGGCGGCACGGGTTGTTGGGCGCGGAGGTGGTCTAGATCGCTTGACTACGAACGCTTGTGGGCTCTATGCACAATGTCGTCTGCGGGGAATGCGTGCGGCGGCTTCATGGTGAGGACCGGGCTGGGGTTCGAGCGGACCGAAGGTGATTGTATCAGCGCAGCATCCTGCCGGGGATGGTTGGCTTGGGACTGTTCCATGCGACCGTGGTCGGGTCAGGGGTTTTCGCTCCGCGCTCCGACACCGACCGCTCACCCAGCATTTGTGTGGCCGAAACACCGTGAACCCCGGCGCTCCCAGACTGCCGCATGCTCGTTATCACACAGACCTCGCACATGGTGCAGTCGACGGGATTTTTGCTTTGTCTGAAGTCGTCGCGCACCATCAGCATGCAGTGCGCACTGCGTCTCCGGGCACCATGGAGGCGGTGCCGTGTCGTTCTGAGCGCTAGTGTGCCGGCGCTCGTGCTTCTGAGCGTTGATGTGACGCTCGTGCGGGAGCGCCATGGTGACGGATACCGCGTGATGCCGAGCGGAAGCGTGCCAGCAGCCAGCGGCTCCGAGAACCAGTGTAACCACACCTCGTTTGGAGCGGTTTGACGAAGTTCCTTATCCCCGGACGGCAACGCGACGCAGACCTGACGGGTATCACTGGCGCTGGCGTGGTGAAAGCCCGCGTCTCCGAGCGGTAGCCTGGCTTCACCCCGTGTTCTTGGATGTCAGGGTCGCAGCCTCTCGTGCCGTGCCTCTCGGGTAACATGTCCGGCCCTGTGTCGCAAACGGTGTTGTGGCAGCGCCCCGCGCGCGGGCAGCGGCGGGACGTCACCTGCGCGGCTGTAACGCTCCGGCTCCTCCCGCAGCGGCCATCCACCTGCTGACGTCCATCAGCTCGGGCCTGACGGGCTCCAGCGTGCGCGCCGAGGCGCCGGCGGCCGGCCCGCCCAGCTGGGGCAGCCTCTGGGACACACACCAGCTGCGCACCCTCGACTTCTGGTTCATGCAGACGGGTGAGCGGCACGCGGCGGCGCAGCGGCCCGCCGCTTCGGCCAGCCGGGCGCAGGTGGCCGGCTCGTGCGGCCGGCGCTCACAGTCGGCCCGTACCCCACCGGTCACCATCCTGACCGTCGCCGCCGCCAGGCTCTGGCGCTGCTCGGCTACGGTCGGTGACGGGCAGTGTCTGCGCATGTCACCGGCCGTCGTGATGTGACCATGACGCGGGATGTGACGGACGGCTGTTAGGAGCGGGCAAGCTGGGGTGCGGTTTGTGGGGGTGAGACGGGAAGGCGTCGAACACCGTTGTTTGTGATCGAACAACAGCGCAAGGTGTTACCCACCACGGCGTTATCTGTCGCGACGGGCTCCGCTCCTATTGTGGGCCTTCACCCAAAATGTGATCTAGAAGTAGGGGCGCTGAGTTGCATATTACATATTACATGTTGCATATTACAGTGCTTCAGGAAACCACGCGTGATAGAAATGCGAGCTTTCCTTATACTGCGATCAACTTATTACGGAATTGTGGTACTTGTACAACCCCGCGTGCCTGCCGATGTGGGGTCAGCTGTCGCCGCGTGATCCTGGGTCAGGAGATGGCCACCCAGCTGGTGTGGGACTTGGTCTCGTGGGACAGTCCTTTGGTTGTTTGGTTGAGAATGTCCAGTCCCACATATCTTTTAATAACGAGTTTTACTCTCTCGCTCATAGCATTTGGCAGGCGTACATATGCTGAAAAATGCATCTAAAAAACATCTAAAAACATTAATTTACGTTAAAGCGCAGGCCTCTTGATCATATCTGAACTTGACTGTCATCATGCTAACCGCAGTCATACGGCGGACATATTTGATAGGGCTTCGGGGAAGCTAGGGAGCGACAGCACCGACAGTCGGGTTCCCGTGATATCTGCGTAGTGTTAACTGTCGCACCCAGAGCTTCCCGCTCGTACTAGCTCATCATGCTCTTATGCGCTTGGGCGGGTGCAATCGCGTTTTTCCCGCCTTCTCCAGGTGCGTAATCACGGTTTGGTCGTATGGCACGATGGACGGTGAAGGCACAAGGGGCCGGGCCCTGGCATAGGGAACAGACGTCTTGACCCCTGTCCTAGCATAACAGAGCCTTGCCTCAGCACAAAGAACGGACGGGGCTATTAGATATGTGTTCATTGTGGACGCCTTCAAATGAGATAATTGTATTACTACGATTTTGTTATTTGTATGATGTGATTGTGATGCGTATACAGCTTGCCTACACTTTTACTAATGTGTGTTATATCGCTGCCTCTGGCGATGTTGGTGGTACCTGCCCTGGAGCACGTGGTCCCGCTCGCTCTCTATCCGTGCCGCCCGGCTGTGCGTGCAGAGGTTGGGGAGGAGATGTGCGAGGAGGTTCCGGTGCCGGCGCTGCCCGCTGCCAGCGGCGGCGTCCGTCAGGAGGAGGAGCTCATCTTCAAGGCGCGCTCGCTCAGCGTCACCGTCGAGCAGGTGGTCGGCGCCCGGAACGTGCCGCTCGTGCTGCTGGACGCGGCGTTCGAGGCCCAGGTCAAGGACTGGAGCTCCAAGGTGAGCCGCGCCGGGGTGGCAGCGACGCGTTCGGCCCAGCCGAGCGGGTGCGTCGGGCCAGGCACGCTGCACCCGCTGCCGCTCGCTCCCGGCGCTGACGTGTCGCGGCCGCTGGCCGCTGGTCCGGCGCCGTGCTGACGTGCCTCCGCTGCCGCCAGCTGCTGGCCGAGTCGTCGCTGACGCTGGAGCTGGCGTATTACAACAGCCGGCTGGCCGCGTGGGAGCCGATCATCGAGTGCGTGGAACGCCGCGAGTCGGGCATGGTCTCCTTCTCGCCCTGGGAGCTGCACATGAAGGTGAGCCGGAGCGCAGACGGACCGTGGGAAAGCTGGTCCGCTCTTGGCGCGTGGATTGTCCGTCACGTGCAGTCCAGCTGGTTGGAGCGTGTGGATCGAGCTCACTCATCCGTGGCGGGGTGAGCTCGAGTCGCTTTAGACGCTCGCTGTGTGCCCCTGACTGAGATGGCCTGCGGCCGGTGGCATCCACCGCGCTGAAGGTTAAGGGACGTCAGAGGCTGGGACGGACCGCGCCGAACATTACGGCACGCTTCCGCCGCCAGGTCGTGTCGTTGGCCCAGACATTCACTCAGGCCCCACACAAAAGGCCCTGTTTGGCCTTATCGTGGGGCTGGCCCCATAATTTCGTACAATCAAAGGCTCGGATTGAATCTTAAAAATCCACCCAGGGCGTTGTGAACGTGGGGAAGCAGCTTTGTACGCAGGTAGAAATTGGACGAGCGTGGAAGTTTTCCACCGCAAAATGTTTCCAAGTGGCTCAGGCGCACTGCTATAGTGGTGTTAACCACGCAAACGCAGCATGCATCAAGCCTCTTGTTGTGTTTTCCTATTTAATAATTCATCGAATTGTGCAGTCTAGCTACTTCGGTAATGATTGCTAACACGTTATGGACCCTAGCATGATCTGCATTTTGTTTTGAAACTACGATGGCGATGTACGTGGTATAATGCCCTGTGTGCAGCTTGTATGCATAGAAAATCCAACGGGCTAATGGGTCTGGCTGCAATGTAAGTCGCGACTCCGCGGTGATTCCTAGCGCACGTGTGGAGGCGGCACGGCATTGCCTTGCGGGTGTCTGAGCAGGCTGTGTGCGTTTAGGGCGGTTAAAACATCTGACGGGATTTCAACTCCAAAGCTCAGTGTGTTGAATTATTGAACACTTGCCACCCCACGAGCTACCTACTTAGAAATCATTGGACGACTAGAGCCACGTCGGCTGGTTGCCTCTCCCCCCTCCCCTAACTGTACGACACTTACCGCCATTGGGGACACCATTGTCTCCAGAGCAGGGTCTCCAGAGCACGGACCGTGAGTATTGGGTCCCGCTCCACTGGGTGGGACAGCCTCATCATCATGTGCTCGTGATAATGCAACGTAGTCGGGCTTGCCCCCGTGTTTCGCCATTTGCCAGCGGCATTCAGAGCAGGCGGTGCGGCACGTCAGCCAGCGACTCCGGGAGACGAGTTCTCCCGGCGCTGGCAGCTCTCGAGATGATGCCATCCTGTCGGAGGTGTCCCCGGCAGCACGACACGCCAGTGTCTGGTGACTTCGCCGCTCAGTGCCAATCTGCAGAGGTCACCGAGCGTCACGTGCCGACCTGTGTCGCAGCTGATGTGACGCCTGTGCCGTACCGAACTTTCCATCGAACCTGTGCCGTACCCAGCTGTGTACGGACATGCGCTGTACCTCACCCTGTACTGGACCCGTGCATCGAAACTGCGCCGTACCCAGCTGTGCATCGGACTTGTGCCGTACCCAGCCGTGTACTGGACCCGTACATCAGCCTTGTGCCGTACCCAGCTATGCACCAGACCCGCACATCGGACTTGTGCCGTGTCCCGCCATGTACTGGACCCGTACATCGGACTTGTGCCGTACCCAGCTGTGTACTGGACCCGTACATCGGGCTTGTGCCGTACCCCGCCATGTGCTGGACCCGCACATCGGACGTGTGCCGTACCCCGCCATGTACTGGACCCGTACATCGGACTTGTGCCGTACCCAGCTGTGCACTGACCTGTACATCGGACTTGTGCCGTACCCCGCCATGTACTGGACCCGTACATCGGACTTGTGCCGTACCCAGCTGTGTACTGAACCCGTACATCGGACTTGTGCCGTACCCAGCTGTGTACTGGAGCTGCATTGCGTCGGCTGACGCCCGGCCGCCCGGCAGGTGGAGAAAAACGACGACGTGCTGGACGTGGCGTCGCCGCTGTCCCCAGCTTCGGAGAGCGGGGCCGACTCCGTCAACTTCCTGCCGCCCGTCATGAGTGTGACTGTCAGCACTAAGGTGGGTCGGCTCGGGCGCGGTGTCCGCTCCTAACGGTGAGCCGGGGCCCGGTGTCCGCTGCTGACGGTGGGCCGGGGCCCGGTGTCCGCTGCTGACGGTGAGCCGGGGCCCGGTGTCCGCTGCTGTACGGCTGGGCCGGGGCCCGGTGTCCGCTGCTGATGGTGGCCGCCCCAGGAGCAAAATCGGCTGGCCCGTGCCCGGCAGTGACTGCACGCGCCGCGCACGGTGGACGGGGTGGCACCTCACACCACGTGAGGGGTGTGGGGCTATCCTGCCGCCGAGTCAGTCATGACAGGCCACTGACGTCACCTTGTCGCGTGGTCGTAGTAATTGCTGAACTTCCACCCCACTTTTCGCGCGGACTCAGTTCTGCCGCGACGGTCGGCGAGATGCTAAGTTTTACTGTTAAGTCCTTGGTTAAGTCCTGTAGTTCAGTCTGCATAATTAATTATCGGTTGTAAGCCTTGTCAGTAACTGCGTTGCTGACGGCGGACTTCAGTGGCCATGTAAAACTGCATCATCATCGGTCATGTAACGGACCGTTGTTTTATCGTTGGTTGCTAACCGTGCTCGCGGCCGTTAGCGCTGGGCTCCAGCGACAGTGTGCAGGGTCATTGGTTCCTTGAGCGGACCTCACTGGAGAGCATGACGCCCTGCTGTCTGTGCCTGACCTCTGACGAAGGCCGCCGGCGCCGGCAGGACCCGCTGGAGATGACGGTGACCAGGACGTGCCTGGACGTGCTGACGTCGCTGCAGGAGTCGCTGGGCGGCGCGCTGGAGCTGACGCCGCCCGTCGCCGACGAGACGGATGCCCACTTCCTGATCCGCAACCGGCTGGAGCAGCAGGCCGTGGTGGCCACCGGCTCCGAGTACACGGTCAGCGGGCCTCGGCGATGCTGAAGGACACGGGGGTCCGGTGGCGGAGTACACAGGACGGCACGTGGTGATCCGCACCGGTCGGGAGGGGACAGGGGTACACGGAACACGGTACGCAGTTATCCGCACCGGTCGGGAGGGGACAGGGGTACACGGGACGGTACGTGGTGATCCGCACCGGTCGGGAGGGGACAGGGGTACACGGAACACGGTACGCAGTGATCGGCACCGGTCGGGAGGGGACAGGGGTACACGGGACGGTACGCAGTGATCGGCACCGGTCGGGAGGGGACAGGGGTACACGGGACGGTACGCAGTGATCGGCACCGGTCGGGAGGGGACAGGGGTACACGGGACGGTACGTGGTGATCGGCACCGGTCGGGAGGGGACAGGGGCACACGGAACACGGTACGCAGTTATCCGCACCGGTCGGGAGGGGACAGGGGTACACGGAACACGGTACGCAGTTATCCGCACCGGTCGGGAGGGGACAGGGGTACACGGGACGGTACGCAGTTACTCGCAACCGTCGGGAGGGGACAGGGGTACACGGACGGTACGTGATCCGCACCGGTCGGAGGGGACAGGGGTACACGGGACGTACGTGTGTGATCGGCACCGTCGGGAGGGGACAGGGGCACACGGAACACGGTACGCAGTTATCCGCACCGGTCGGGAGGGGACAGGGGTACAGGGACGGTACGCAGTTTACCCGCACCGGTCGGGAGGGGACAGGGGTACACGGGACGGTACGCAGTTACCGCACCGGTCGGGAGGAGACAGGGGTACACGGGACGGTACGCAGTGATCGGCACCGGTCGAGAGGGGACAGGGGCACACGGCAGCGGCTACGATCGAGGTGGCTGCCGCCCAGCCAGTGTGATGGGCGCTTATTGTGTGCCGGCACCATTTCTCCGGACGCTACCCACCCACGTGTTGGACGTTAACGCTTTGTAAAAACCATCGTTCAGCAACTGTATGATTTGGCCTGCGATGCCAGGATGTTTTCCATTGGAAAGATGTGGCACTGACTGGGAAGGTTTCTTATTCGGGCTGTGACACAGGGAGGTACCTGATAATGCTTCCACCGTGGAGATGGATGATGACACTAGACACAGGCAGTTTCCATGTCTCATTGACTCTGCCGTGTCACCATTCTCTTGCGTGTCAAAGATCACTGGATCACCACCGTGCATTTGTGACGAAAGAGGCCCGTCATATTCGTCGACGGTGGTCTTTTGCAATGATGCCAAGTTCCTTGTCGCGCGTGTGTCTGTGCGGTCTGTGCTGCACGGAATCTCGTCAGTTATGTGGACGATCGTGGCTGCTCGGTGACCCCGCATACTTCGGACTGGGATCGCCGGGCTTATGTTATGGATGCCCAACACACTAACGTCCAAGATTTGTTCGTTCGAGATTTGCCCAATGAATGGCAGACAGCATAACGTCCATTTTCTTATTAACGACGTATTTGTTTTGCATCAGCTCTACACATGTTTATAAAGCCTATAAGTCAGTTAAGTACGCAGAAGAGAAGGCAAGTTACTGATGCTTTCCAGTTCTTTCTGCGATTCGTAATGCTCTACTTATGGCGATTATCTTTAAAATCCGTCTTCGCATTTCAGCTAAAAATACAGTTTTACGGTGAGATCGGTAGCCATTGATAACCACAACGCCTGTTGGTTGCAGGTTCACGGCTCCGACATCGAGGAGGTGGTGCTGGAGCAGGGCGCTGAAGTACCGCTGATGGCGCGTGACCTGTCCTCGCTGCAGCGGCCGGGCACGTCGACAGCGCTGGACTCGAACAGAACCATCCACATCAAGGTGAGCCAGCTGCCGTGTGCGCCGCCACCGCTCCCCGAGCTGGCCCTGTCGGCGGTCACACAGGCGGCCGCACTCGCGCCTCCCTGGGTCATCTCCTGCCCAGTCTCCAGGTCCGTCCCTGGGCTGGAGTGTCAGCACGTTACTGAGATCCCCTGCCCCGTCTCCAGGTGCCGTCCCTGGGCTGGAGTGTCATCACGTTACTGACATCTCCTGCCCCGTCCCCAGGTGCCGTCCCTGGGCTGGAGTGTCAGCACGTTACGGGCATCTCTTGCCCCCCTCCTCAGGAACCGTCCCTGGGCTGGGGTGTCAGCACGTTACGGACATCTCTTGCCCCCCTCCTCAGGAACCGTCCCTGGGCTAGAATATCAGCACGTTACAGACATCTCCTGCCCCCCTCCTCAGGAACCGTCCCTGGGCTGGAATGTCAGCACGTTACTGACATCTCTTGCCCCCCCCCCCCCCTCCTCAGGAACCGTCCCTGGGCTGGAGTGTCAGCACGTTACTGACATCTCCTGCCCCGTCCCCAGGTGCCGTCCCTGGGCTGGAGTGTCAGCACCTTACTGAAATCCCCTGCCCCGTCTCCAGGTGCCGTCCCTGGGCTGGAATGTCAGCACCTTACTGAGATCACCTGCCCCGTCCCCAGGTGCCGTCCCTGGGCTGGAGTGTCAGCACGTGACTGAGATCCCCTGCCCCGTCCCCAGGTGCCGTCCCTGGGCTGGAGCGCCGACGTTCCCGTGACGCGGGCTGAGAGCCGCTTCTTCCGGGTGGCGCGGCGGCGGCCGGACGGCGCCGAGTGCGGCCTGGTCGCCGACATACGCGCCCACTTTGACTCCAAGATCGTGACGCTGCGCAGCTGTGTACAGGTGGGGCGGCAGACGGTGGCCCGGTCCTGGCCGGGTCTGGCGTCGGGCGGGACCAGCCAGGCGCGCAGCAGTGTATGTGGTGGGCAGGCGGAAATGTGTACTGTGGTCGTAGCTGAACTCAGGTATCAGAAGAGTAATGGCGTCGCTGGCTAGGGATAAGGCAGATTATACGTGGCTCATTGGACTCTGTTCGCCAGCTACCTCGTAGACGGCATAAAGAATGACGGGTAAGTTTTTGCCGATCAGGGAAGGTAGTACTTTAGCCCGGTAAGAAAACTCACTTTTCAGGACGCAGAAGCTATTGAGTCCGATAAAGTTGCCCTATTGTTTGTTTTATGACGTGTCTCACAAACTATGAAACATATGTTTTAAAAGTCTCCCAGGGTTGAATATCGAAGCCAAGTATCTCTTGAAGTATCTCTAGAAGTATCTCTCAAGTATCTCTAGAAGTATCTCTTGAAGCTGCAGGTTTGCCTCGTGAGAGCCTACATCTCATCAGAAATCTGCTTTTCCATATTAAAAAGATGATCCCTGAGCACAGTTCCGTTCTCGTGTGTCCGCCGTGCTCTGTGTTGGCTTGTGAGGACGCTCGCCGTCAGAGCGTGGTCCGCGGCCGTTCTGAGCCGAACCCACGCGACACCGCCTCCGCCCCGCACCGCCAGGTGGAGAACCACCAGAGCGTGCCCGTCAAGGTGTACTACATGAACAGCGGCGGCAACGAGCTGCAGTGTGTGGGCGTGGCCGAGCCGGACGGCATGCTGCCGCTGCCGCTCTCGGCCGTCTACAGCAGCACAGCCGAGCTCTTCTTCGGCGTGGACGGGTGAGCGGGGGTCGCCGGGCAGCGGCGGGGCGACTGAGCGGGGCAGACTGTCGGCCGGCTGAGGCGGCGCCAGAGCACAGGCGGCAGAAATGGCCGGGAGAAGAGGTGGTGAGGACGGAGGGCACAAGCTGGGGTGGGCCAAGTTCGCTTGCCCACACCACTGAGGGCTCCTCTGGGCTCGCTGCACCCTGCCGGCGCCTCCCAGTGGACGGTGACGATGTCGGTCGGTCCGCCGCAGGTACACGGTGTCCCTGCTGCCGTTTGTCTGGCGTGACCTGCAGAAGAACCCCGACCTGACGATGACGCTCAAGTGCGACAGCAAGAGCGGCCAGCCCGGCCAGCCCTTCTGCATGCTGGTCAGTGGCGCGACGCCGGGTGGGAGAGGGGAAGGGCCACGCACTGACTACCAGCCGTCGTTTACGTTGAATTTTCTTGGCTTCGGTACTCTTGCAAGCGGAACACTACAGATCAGTCCGTGCGAATAGTCTTATACGTGTCATCACGTAGTCTTTCCGTCATCTGCCGCTGGTGCGCTGGACTGTCGCTCGGTGCCGGGGGTGACAGCCGGCCGGCCAAAGGTCTGACTCTCCGCCGGGTCGGGCCACGCGGTCCGAACGCCGCACCGCGGCCCGACGGCCCGACCTCCGCGCTGACCGCCGACCCGTCCGCCGGCAGTGTCACGGCGAGATGAAGCCGGTGCTGTTCGAGACGTCGCGCGCCAAGACGCTGGCCAGCCGGACGTACCGGGTGCACCTGCGGCCGCCGGCCGTGCTCAGCAACCTGCTGCCGGTGGCGCTGACCTACCTGCGGCCCGGTGACCTGGAGCCGGTCACGCTGGAGCCGGGCGGCTCGTGTCAGATGCCGACGGCGCAGACCGGCGACCGGGTCGCGCTCCAGGTTAGCGGCGGGGTGGCGCGGGCCGCCGGCTAGCGGGCGCCGCGCGGGAAGAGGCTGAAGACAGGCCGGGCGGGGGTGCGCTGGTCAGCCGGGCGGTGGAGCAGCGCTCCCGGTCAGACGCGCCGCGCGGGGAGAGGCTGAAGACGGGCCGGGCGGGGGTGCGCTGGTCTGCCGGGCGGCGGAGCAGCGGTCCCGGTCAGACGCGACGCCTGGGCTCGCTGCTGACAGGGCGCGGCGCCGGCCCACTGCGCCGGTGCCGGGTCAGGAGGGGCGCGGTTATCAGGGTTGGACCGCTAGGGTGACAGGGGAGGGGTGGGGGTGGCGCTGCCGTTGCGCCGTCGGCCTGAAGGCCTGCGAGGCGTGCCTGTGTGGTGGTGAGATGTCTGGATCTGACCGATGTGCCGAGGTGGGCAGACGCCGTGCGCCACCGCCTTCTAGCTGGCTCATAACCTGGCCGTCTTCCTGGCACAGGAGCGAGTGGGTGCAGATGACCAGAGCCGACAACGCACTGGCACCTCCCCCTCCCCCTCCCTCAGCTGCTCAGCTACCTGGACCGGCGCTGGTCGTGCAGCAAGCAGCTGGAGGCCGAGCCGGACGAGCTGACGGTGTGGACGTTCCTGTCGGCCGACGGAGACTACCAGACCGACCTCAGCCTGGGCATGCACACGCGCACCGTGTGCGGCTCGCAGCTGATGTCGCTCTACGCCCCCTTCTGGATGATCAACCGCACCGGCAAGATGCTCACCTACAAGGTGAGCTGTGAGGACGGCGGATGGGGGGCCAGCGTCGGCCTGACATGCCGCTGGACGCTGAGGACGCGCGGCACGCTTCGGTGCCGCTTCTGGGAGACGTCGCCCGTGTTTGGTCAGCCGGGAGTAGTGACCGCGGCTGGGGAGATCGAGCGTCGCCGGTGGTTACCCTCGTGCTTTTGATTGGTGTTCGTTATTGTGCGGAAATGTTCCGACCTTCAGCGGTTTGTCTGTGGCAGCCGGCCATGACAGCATCCCTTTTATTTTGGTGAAGACATAAGATTCATTGGAGGTGATTTCACGGTACATTTCTCGTCGATGGATGTGTGAGATGGCTGAACGTGAAAAGCCCCTAATGCTGCCAATGAATTCCAGCGTCATAGCAAACAGCGTCAAGTTACGAAGACAGAACCGGGGGCTTTAAAATCCATGCAGGTAGCAGAATTAACGCAGCTTCTGTGAATAATTTACTCAACTGTTATGCTCACATCTTGTAGATAAGCATGGTCTGCTCGTGAATGCCCAAATTAGCTCGTAATTTTGTTCCTTATTGTTTTGCTCCGCTATGAATCATGAGCGCCACTTCAGTATTTGCAAGGCCGTTCGTCAGCGGCGTGTGGCCTGTTACCGGCCTGCATGTGCGAGGCTGCCGCTGCGGGGCGGCTGCGGCAGTGGTCCGTCGGTCGGGGCGGGTCCGCTCACGGCCGGCCGTTCGCAGAGGTGGGCCTCCTCCCTGTCGGTGGTGCGGCCACGAGAGGCGCCGGTGAGTCGGCTCGAGGCGGGCCCCCGCCTGCTGGTCAGCAGCCCCAGTCCGTCCCGCCACCCCGTCCGTCCCGACGCGCCGACTGACCCGCGCGTGCCTGACCGTGAGCTGTCCGTGCCGGCGCCGGCGGCGACAGCAGCGGCGGTGTGTGGTGTGTGGCGTCCCGGCTGATCACATCAGGCCGGCGGCCACGGAACGCCAGAGCCGGCTGTCCAGGCATCGGAGGCTGCCGAGGCACCCCGGCGGCGGCGTGGTGGTCTGGCGGCCGCCTACTACCCGGGGCAGTCTTGTTTTGGGGGCTGACAAATTGCAAGGTTTTCAAAAGTCGTACCGATGTTTGTTGTTTTGTATTCCACTGCCAAGCTTCCCGGCGCAAGCATTTATTTGACGAGAATGACTTGTTTGGGCTGAAACTAATAGACTTCAAGTGTCAATGTCAGTAATATTCCTCGTTTGACCTCCCTTAAAAGTTTTGCAATGCCTTTGAATGCTCTTCACATTTTAAGGCATGATTATAAGTTATGGAAGTGGACGAATGTTTGTGACCGGTTTTCCTTTCCGTATGCCAGCAGGACTTGGCTGGCCCTAATCGTTGGCTCATCGTCATTCGTATCATTGCTGACACAACTTGTATTAAGATATGTTGAGTTGTTTTACCATCTGAGACAAATTGGTTTCGGTCCGTGAGTTCCACTTCGCACGTCACGTTCATTGAGATTAGAGAGGTGCGAGAGATTAGAGATTGAGATTGAGATTAGAGAGGTCACACGGCCTCGCTCGCGGCGGAGCCTGCAAGTTCGTCATGCATAGTGGACCGTGCCCCGCTTTGATGGAGATGGGGACGGTTTGAGTGTTAGGACGAGCCGGCTACGATAGTCATTTTGTGCCCATCCGCGCCCCGTTTGTCGATCAGAATCTGGTGAGGGCAGGACCAGGCGTTACCTGGCCACGACGCCACGGCTTGCTCTCGTCACCCTAAATGGCAGACAGGCAGAGAGCGGTAAAGTTGGGCTTTTCGCGCACCGATGGGTCCTTGGTCTTGTCGCACACGGATGGGCCCCGCTGATGACGATCAAGTGCCTGAAGAACGCCGAAGGTCCGCCATGTCACAGCGTCATCGGTGAATCATCGAACTCCTGAGGTGTACGTATCTGTTAACCCCAGCCCCCCGACACACACATACACTGTCCCTTTTCGCGCCCACACCTTTGGACGCCCCCACCACACGCGCCTGCTGCGGCCCGCCCCCCGGGCGAGAGCCGAGAACCGGGCCGCAGGAGGGCAGCCTTCAGGCGGGAGCCGAGAACCGGGCCGCAGGAGGGCAGCCTTCAGGCGGGAGCAGAGGGCCGAGCCGAGGAGGCCGGCTCTCGGGCGGCAGGCGCGGGCCGGGCCGGGAGAGAGCGGCCGACGCGAGCGCGCCGCTGTTCTGACGGCGCCGCCGCTGTGATCCAGGTGACGCGGTCGCACCTGCTCAAGTGGCGGCCGTACCCGGCCCTGCTGGCCGCAATGCCAAGTAACGCCGACCTCTTGCTAGATGTGTTGTGCTGTGGCGCGCCGCGACCCCCCGCCCAGCCCCGCAGCTCCGTGGTACGAGCCCTCTGACGGTGGCCTGTGTGCTGTTTTCAGAATTGTCTCGATGAGGTACACGTAAGTGGGGGGCGCCGGACGGCCGCCTCCCCGTGACGAGTGTGAGGCCGGACGCGGGGGCGGGGTCGGTTTGGTTCCATTCGTTCGGTGGTGCGGGGCTCGTATGATGTTCGGGCTGTGGGCACGCTGGTATTCCGAATGTGCACGCCGGTTTGGTGTTTTCTTTCGTCGGTGTTATAGAGGTGGTTACATCCGTTGACGTTCATATCACGCATGCGAGTAGGTGGCATGACTGCGTCATTTTGGTAAGCTCATAGAATGTTCGGTGGCGGGTTTAGATTTACGTGCGTGGTCGGTGATGGTACCGTCGATTCTGCAGATGTGAACTCGGCTTATTTCTTTTTCGGGCTCAAATGTGTAAGCAGAAAGAGAACCTGGCGTGTACTATGATAGTCTGGTAGCATCCTGAATCGTGCACTATGAAGCAGAGGGGTATTTTTAGTTTGTGTCTCTAGTTCTGAAATGCCCGGAAACTGAAGAGTCTCGGCCAAGAAGAGGTGCTGGGATTTTATAAATGTTGAAATTTATGCCTGTAAGTTCACTACGCCCGCCTTGCCTGCGGGAGGACCCAGTAACTGCACTTGTATCAGTGCATTTTTTAATTGAACATCGTTCTTCGGTTGCGCTTCGCTGGTCATGGACCACAAATATTATCTCAGACTCAGATTTGTGACGTGGATCGGAACATGAGTGCGTATTATTGCCATACGTGGCCCTTGGTTGCTTTTTTTATTTTTTGCTCCGCCTTTGTTGTGCCAATTCGCGTGATTCCGCGTGTTCACAAATGCTTATTCGTGCATTATTTATGAGCGTTTACGTGGCTGAATAATCCAAACTGCCTATCTCCGCTTCAAGCGCCGGTGGCCTGGCTGGCCTCGTTGTCACACCCGCAGTTAGCTGTTCTCTCCCTCCCACCACGGAGGCTAGAAGAAAGACGCAAGCACATACTATACGCACAGCTATTTTTCTATATGGTTTCAGTTCTATATACCCTTGCTCACATGCTTCTGACGTAAGAGCACCTGGCGTCGTATTATGCGAACCGCTCGGAACGTGATGTAGCCGGCGCGTGGTTAAACGTAGTCGCAGTCGCCCATCAATGTTGTTTAATGGGGAAATACGAAGGGGTGTGTAGCGAAGGAATGCAAAGCAGAAGACAGATCAGCGTTGCAAGCGTGCTTGCATGGTGACTGACTTCATGAACCCTTGCCAATATAGGACATGATTTGATTGGACACAGATGTCTGTTTGACGTCCGCTGGCTAGACCCTACATACTCGTCGTGCGCAAAACGCACGGGTTAACAAAGCAGCTAAGGCCAAGTTTGAAAAAGGGCATGTCGGTGTGAAAATGTGGCACTGACGGCGGTACACTCGGCGGCGCCGCCGGTCGGTAGGCCGGTCAGGGGCGCGTGCCGCCTCTCCTCCCAGTACGGCCGTAACCGGTGCGTGTCGGCGCGTGCCCGCAGTCTGTCAACGAAACATCCAACCTGATCTACCACCCGGAGACCTTCCTGGAGCCGGTGCTGTTCTCCTTCAAGCCGAGCTCGTTCTTCTCCAAGAAGAAGGCGGCGGTGCGCGTGGAGGACTCCGAGTGGTCGGACAAGTTCTCCCTGGACACGGTTGGCAGCGGCGGCACCGTCACCTGCGCCACCCACAACTGGGACTACGGGGTGAGTGGACCGCCAGCGCCAGCCACGGCTGGGGCTGTGAGGTGAGTCAGCCACCACCGGTCCCGGCTCTCGCGGCCCGCTGGCCGTTCCTGTCCTCTCCGTGCCAGTGCACCGGCGGCTTGTGAGCTTCTGTCCTGGCCTCACACAGCTCATCCCGGTGCGCCCGGTTGTCTGCCCTGGCCTCGCCTAGCCTGACCTGACGTGCTCCACCTGACCCACGTGACCGGCGTCCTCGTGCGGCCTGTCCTGACCGGTGCCGCCCGTGCCGCCCTCGCCGTCGCCGGCAGCGGCCGGGCCCGTCGTCGGCGCTGTCCCGCCGCTCGGCGGCCAGTGCGCACTCCCGGGCGTCGTCCGGCCGGTTGCGCAGCATCTCGTCGGCCTCCTTCTGGCGCCGGTCGGCCAACGCGCGCGCTCGGGGCCGCACCCAGCTGAGTGTACGCTCCTGACGCAGGCGCAGGCGCCGTCGGGATCGGGCCGCGTGAGGCCCCTCGGGACGGCGCTGTGTGTGTGCAGCGTCATACGGGGTAAGATGGGTGCAGGCGACTACCGTCAGGAGGCCTGGGCGCCCCTTGTTGCTCTTTCGCGCCTGTGCTCGTGTCTTTGCCGTGAGGGGGGGGAGGGGGCAGCGGGTCGGCGGCCGGGTACAGGGACTGGCTGCGCTCTGGCGCCGTCCGCCGGTGTCGTCCGTGTCGCTGTTGTGGCCGCGGCACTCCCGGACGGGGACCGCGCGCTGACGCCGCCCCGCGCATGCCCGGCAGATCAGCGTCCAGATCCAGCTGAGCCAGTCGGGCCTGACGCGCCAGGTGTACCTGCTGCCGAGCGTGGTGCTGGCCAACAGCGCGCCGTTCGCCATCCAGGTGCACGAGCCGGCGCCCGAGGAGGATTGGATCACCGTGCCCGCCAGTCAGTATCCCCTCTCCTCCCGCGGCGGGGCTGGGCGGGTGGTGCGATGAGCCGCGCCGGGGTGGTCGCCGTGGTGGAGTCGGAGGGCCGTGAAGATGCGGTGCTGCTCTGGGGTGTGGATGGCATGTCACAGCCGCTGAGTGTGTGCCCGGTCGTGTTCTGCTGTGGCGGTCGCCGTGCGAATGTGATAGAAGTTGCCATCTTTTGTGGCCGAACATGTCTATTAGACTCACCGAGAACTGCAAGTCGGGATCAAAGCTGGGCTGCGCGTTATTCTCGTGCCTGGGTGACAAGTAGGTACTTGTATTGGGCGCAAGAAAAAACGAAAAAGCATCGCCGCCAATAAGAGTCATCACCTTTTATTTTCTTACCAGCGACGTAGCGCAGCCGTCCAGCTATCCTTCCTTAGCCTCGCCCAGAGCGCTGCGAGCCGTTCAGCTGCAGCCGTCAGCAGACGCTGAGCGTGCTGGCCTGCCGCCGCAGACACGTCGCAGCCGTTCTGGCCGCGCGACAGGGCGAAGGAGCTGCGCTGCCGCGTGGCCGACACCAGCGAGGAGACCACGTACTTCTCCTACAAGAGCACCAACACTTGCCTGCTCCACCTGAGCAACACTGTGAGTGACTCGCTCTCCGGTCGGGCGAAATGAGGTCGGTCTGGGGATAATGGCGCTGGCGGCTGGCATAGCATTGTGTGTGGAGGTGAAGAGGCACATATTTGTGTCGACAGACGTCCGAAACAAACGGATGCGGCGTATGCTATACGGCCCCCGTGTCGGCAGCCTCCCCATCACCGGACCGCTGTCTCGGACATGCGTCACCTCTCGTTCCCCGTGTGTCGTGATTGAGTCGTATCTCTGCTGGCCGGAGGTGCCGTCTCGGTTTTCGGTCGCCTGATGAGCCGTGTCCGTCCGCCGTCGCAGTACGGTGGCATCAGCATGAGCGTGCAGGTGTCCGAGGCCTCCACCATCATCACTCTGGACGACTACGTCGACGGCATGGCCGCCGTCCGCCTCATCAACAACACCGACAACGAGGAGGTCGCCTACCACCAGAAACGCTTCGAGCCGCACAGGTGAGCAGCCTCCGGCAACGGTGCGTGGGCGGGGGTAGAGAAGGGGGGGGGGGGCCAGCATCAAGTGGTGCGGGAAACTCGGGAGGATCGCACTGGGTCAGTCGATCTATGTTGTCCCTTTTCGGGTATCGTGTATGATATCAGACAGCTCAGTGTCTGTCTGTTCGACGCCGCTTTGGCCAGCTTGCAAACGCGTAATCGTTGCGCGCAGGGATGGCTTCGTTCTCGAACCGGCCGGGCGTCTCGCTTGATATGCTCGGTTGCGGTTCTCTCACAATGCGGGCGAGCATCGCCTGCGGGTAAGCGGCAATGCGGGCCACGGTAGTGTCTTGGACCACGCTCGCGGCCCGGCTAGCACTCAACGCGCTGAATCGTGGGAGCCGCGCGCGGCGACACGGCTGCAGCGGGCGTCGGTCCCGCCCGCCCCGCCGGGACGCCGCACTGACCGACGCTCGCCAGCGTCGCCGGCGCCGGCGAGGGCGCCCCCGACGCCGGCCGGCAGAGCGGGACCGGACGGTGGAAGGTGGCGGCGACGGCCGTCCGCACCGGGTCGCTGATCGGGCGAGAAGTGGAGCGGATGCGACACCGGATGGCGCTGGCCGGCGCGGCTCACCCCGACGAGCGGTAGCTGGCGGAGGGGCGGCCGCGGCGCGTGTCTGGGCGCCCGGGGCCGGACGCGGACCGGCGTCTTCGTGTGTCGTGCTCCGCCTGGGTCGCCACGTGTGCGGCGGTCCTGCCGCTGGTGGAGTCCAGGGCGGCCGCGGTGGTCTGCTTCGCCGTGCTGGCTCCGGGTCGGAGCGTCGGCGCGGGACGTGCCTCTCTGCCCTCGTCGTCCGCACCCTGCTCCCATCCGTGACTCCTGACTCGGGTTCGGTGGGACACGCCTCTATGCCCTCGTCATCCGCACCCTGCTCCCATCCGTGACTCCTGACTCGGGTTCGGTGGTGCGGGATGTTTGGCCGTCATGGCGTGCCGCTCTGCTCTTTTGTTTCTCTTCCGTGTCGACGCTTCTGGGGTGGTATGTGCTTCTCTGTCTCGGTCTCCCCGCGCTGCGGCCGTCCATCGGTCGATGGGCGTGCGGCTCCCGTGTCGGCGGCTCGTTTCGGCGTCGGGAGACGGCTCTGGGATGGACGCGCTTCTGTCCCGTAAGCGCTCTCGTGACGTTGTCAGTAAGCATGCACCGCCAGCTGTCATCGGCCCAGCCGTCCTCGTCATGCGGGGTGCATGGGACATCTGCGGCCGTGTTTGATGGCTGAAGCTGGCGCCGACGATGGGCGTTCGTCCGTGGGCAATGGCAGGACTGCTGTGCTGGTACTTTGATCTTGCCGGGGTCAATATTCACTGCTTGCGAACGTCATGACATCGCCTAACGCACGCGCCAAGTAAGCCGGAATACCCAACCGTCGTCAGCACTGGACACGGTGCAGAGCATCCGGCTAGCCTCGACTATTGTCGGAGGTTTGCTCGGTTTGCAGGTTCGTAGGCAAAAACAAAAAATACCGTGATGTGAAAAGCCAAATATCATAACCATTCGAAACTGAACTGGCAACTACGTCATCAAGTCATTCGAGCTCGGCCCTGTTGCGATGCTGTGTCGTTTGCCGGAGCACCATCTGACGGTAGTCTGCAGCTGTGGCGCGCGCCTGCTGCGACCGAGCGTACGCCCGCTGCGTCCTCCGACCGGTCGGCCCTGTGGTACCCGGTCGGCCGCTGACAGTCACGTGTGGCGACCCCCTCAGCGTGCTGAAGCCAGGAGAGGTGCGGCTGTACACGTGGCAGCGGCCGGCCAGCGAGCGGCAGCTCTCCTGGAGCTGCGGCAAGGTCAAGGAGCGGCTCGACACGCTGGTCAAGGTGAGGGCGGGCGGCGCGCGCCGGAGCCGGGGCCGGTGTCGGCCGCCGCAGCCAGCCGCCGGTCACGGACACTCCGCTTCGGATGGCTGCCAACGTATCAGAGGCGTCGGGCAGGGCAGATACAGATCTGATGATCAACTGACATCAGCTGCTGATCAGCTGATATCCACATCAGCGTCAGCAGATCGACATCAGCTGTGGTTGCCTGGACAAACCGTTTTTTTTTTTTTGTTGCGGGATGCACCCACGCGCACCTTTACTTCCACTGCTACTTGGCGTGGCTTGCTTGGGTTGGCCGCGTGGCTGCTGTTTCGATTGAAGTCCCTGTGCTCAGCCCGCGACTCCCCCGTCCCCATCGGACAGGACGTTCTGCTGCGCACCGCTCCACCCTCGTCGCTCGGCACACGTGGCGGGGGGGGGGGGGGGGGGGGCAGGCTGCCAGCGTGCCAGCGCGTGCCAGCGCAGCGTCCCAGCGCAGCGTCCCAGCGCAGCGTCCCAGCGTAGCGTCCGCTGACGCCGCTCTGCGCCCCGCAGGATGGCATCGGCCAGTTTGAGGGCAAGGACGGCAACCTGCTGTACTGGGTCAGCTTCCTGGACGGCATGCAGCGCACGCTGATGTTCACGACGGACGTGGTCGTCGCCACGCAGGCGCACAACGCCGGTACGACCGCGCGCGGGGGCCCGGGACTGTTGTGTGTCACCAGCTGAAGCCTAGGCGTCAGCTGTGCCGGACGTCAGCTGCAGGCTGGTGCTCCCAGATTTGGTGGCAGGTCGCTCGGTTCCGCGCAGTGTCGTCGTTTCACAGCCTCAGTGGTTTTCACTGCCGCATTCTTCACGCAGGTTCCGTCGTCTCATCGTTGCGCATTTTCCTTTACTTTCGTTGTCTTACTGCTGTCAGCGCATGCAATGTCTGTCAGACCGCTGAGGCTCGCTTTGTTTGGATCTGTCCAGCAGTTAGCACTTTCCGTGTTACTCGTGGCGAGCATGACTTCTGAGCCATTGCCGCACGATCTGGACCGTGATTGATATTAGTGTGTCGGTCACCGCAGCTGGAAAGCCTGTACCGAAGCTGGGCGGATGGCTCAGCGCCAGCGCCTGTTCCTGTCTGGAGCTGCCAGCCGCGTGCTGTGTGTGTGTGTGTGTGTGTGTGTGTGTGTGTGTGTGTGTGTGTGCGTGCGTACGTGCGTGCGTGCGTGCGTGCATGCGTGCGTGCGTGCGTGCGTGCGTGTGTGTGTGTTGTGTGAGAAAACTTGTTGTTTCGCGGTTTCGAGTCTCCCAAGTTGATATAAGGTCAGGGATATAAGGATATTATGATATACACAAGGATATAAGGTCTCTCACAAGGTTTCACAAAAGCAAATCTGAAAAGTCTTTAGTTCATGGAAGGCCGAACATTTCCGGTGACGGACAGACGATGCCAAAAAATGAGAATGCAATCTAATCAATAGTTATCAATCGTTCATATACCATCATCACGACTATTAATTGACATGATCTCATCGTTCAAGCGCTCCCATCATCCGATGCACGATACTACACTCATGGCTGCATTAGACATGGACGGCTCAATCAAAAGGTCCCGACAGCCGGATCCGAGTGCGTGCGTGCGTGCGTGCGTGCGTGCGTGCGTGCGCGCGGCGACGCGCGGACCGCGCCGGGGACCGACTCTCGCACTGACGCCGCGCCGGCCGGCCCGCAGTGGAGCTGGAGAGGATCGATCAGGAGATCACCGTCAGCATCGAGGGCGTGGGGCTCTCGCTGGTCAACAACGTCTCGCAGACGGACGTCATGTACATGGGCATCACCAGGTGGGTCTGCTGGCGAGCAGGAAGCACGTCACTCAACCCTCCGACTTTCTGGTCGGCTCAACTGGCTGGTTAGCTTGCTAGACGCCACTCAAATAGTATGATTGCCGTGGAGATCTTAGCATAAGGCTTTGTGTTTCGACCATACTTGTTTAGCATCTTATGCATTCGTCGAGCTTAGCGTCCTGCAGCCCTATGTATACGATTTGGCGATGTATGGTACAATATTGCGGACTTGTGCGCATGGTTGACGTACAAATCATTGAGACACCTTCTGGCTCCGTTGCAGCTCCGGTGTGGTGTGGGAGACGCAGAAGGCGTTGCACAAACGCTACCGAGCCATGACGAGTCTGCAGTGCTCGATCCTGGAACGGGCGCACCAGAACTTCATGAACCAGGTGCAGGTGGGCGGCAACCCTCAGCCGCGCGTCGTGCTCGACAACAAGATGGAGGTGAGCGCTCCGAGGTCGGATTCGTGGTCAGGTGCGCGGATGTGCATGCCACAAGGCCGGCGGGATTTTACACGTGCCCCGGCGATCCGCGTCCAGAGTTAGGCAATGTGATGGCTTTGTGCTAGTGTTGACGTCATAGTACGGATAGGGTCGAGTGAGCGGGTGAGAGGAGCCGGTCCTCCGTCCGCGCAGACCGGCCACCGTCATGCCGGGCAGGATGCGGCGCGTCATCAACAGACACGCCGGCACGAGACGTAGTCAACTGGCGGCGATCTGAGGTCTGAGGGCCGCTGCTGCCGGCGGTCCGGGCTCGTGTGTGGCCGGCTGTTGCCAGCTGGCCGCTGACGCCCGCCGCCAGAGCTGCAGTCACCACCGGCCGTGTGGCGGCGCCGCGCCCGCCCGAGCGGCCAGCCGTGTGGTGTCGCCGTGTCCGTGCCGCGCCCGCCCGAGCGGCCAGCCGTGTGGCGTCGCCGTGTCCGTGCCGCGCCCGTCCAAGCGGCCAGCCGCGTGGCGCCGCCGTGTCCGTGCCGCGCCCGCCTAAGCGGCCAGCCGCGTGGCGCCGCCGTGTCCGTGCCGCGCCCGTCTGAGCGGCCGACCGTCCCGGCACGCGGCCGCCTGACCCTGCTCCCCATTCTCCCGCTCCGCCAGGTGGACTTCAGCATCATGCAGATGCTGCAACCGAACCGACGCTTCCTGCGGAGGACGTTCCAGAGCGGCTTGTGGCTGCAGCTGCGCACCAGCACCCACCAGCGCCAGCTGCACGCCAAGCTGAACCGGCTGCAGGTGGACAACCAGCTGCTCGACTCGGTCTTCCCTGTAGTGCTGGCGCCCGTGCCGCCGCCCAAGTCCGTGGCGGCCGACAATGGTGAGCGGCGGGCAGGATTCCACGGTTGACGGGGGTTTAGTATGGTCAGGAGTCCACTGTTACTGGGGTGAAGAATGGTCAGGAGTCCACGGTTGACGGGGGTTGAGTGTGGTCAGGAATCCACTGTTACTGGGGTGAACTGTGGCAGGGGTCCACTGTTGACGGGGTGAAGGGTGGTCAGGAGTCCACTGTCGAGGGCGGTGAGGGATGATCAGGAGTCTTGCTGGCAGGGTGAGGGACAGTCAAGAGTTCACTGTTGACGGGGTGAGGGCGGTCGGATTTGCGCTGTTGATGAGGATGGCAGACGGTCAGGAGTCCACTGCTCAGGTCGGTGAGGGGTGGGCTGGAGTCCACTGTTGAGGGCGGCGAGGGATGATCAGGAGTCTTGCTGGCAGGGTGAAGGACAGTCGAGAGTTCACTGTTGATGGGTGGAGGGCGGTCGGATGTACGCTGTCGATGAGGATGGCAGACGGTCAGGAATCCACTGCTGAGGGCGGTGAGGGGTGGGCTGGGTTTTTAACAGTGCTGAGGGGTGTCGTGGGATCTACGTTGACAGTGCTGGGGACACCTGGCTGGTGATTTGGTCGCAGAGGTTTCTGCATAGAAACGTCACACCCTGTGTTCTGTGATACGATGATCATAATACATCGCAGCCTGCCTTGTGTGCTGTAGTATTCGGGAAGGCTGTGGGCCGGACCCTACCTCGACCGGGCTGCCCGCGTCACCTGGTGTATGACGTGTGACGTCACTGTCGGCGGGGCGTGACGCGGCGGCCCGCGTGCCGCAGAGCCCAAGCCGTTCGTGGAGATGTCGATGGTGGAGCGGCTGGCCGAACACACCTTCATCAAGCAGTTCAAGTACTGCAAGATGCTGGTGCAGGAGTTCCACGTCAAGTTGGACCAAGGCTTCATCAACGCACTGGTGGACGCGCTCAGCGTGGACAAGCTGAACAGGAACACGGTGAGGGGACGGCCATCTCCTGCCGGCGAGGGGTCGGCGGCGGAGACGCTTTCTAGTCGTCGGGGTACAGTTGTTGATGTGGTGTGGGGTTCATTTTAAGCAGTCTTAAAGTTTTGTGTCGCGGCAGCCTTGGTGCGTCGTTGGAGCCGTTTTACTGTTGCAGTAGAAGGCTCGGTTCGTGTGAACACCAGCTCTGTGTGGCCTTTCTGTGTCGTCAAGCTACAACGGTGTCACATCTGTCGATGTCTTCCAATCGGTTGGCTTGTGTCGGTGCAGAAAGAGCTGGTGGAGAGTGATCTGGAGGTGGCAACGGAGGAGTTGTCGAAGAAGGTGGCCATCCGAAGCTTGCAGGAGCAGAGGAACTTCTACGACAATCTCCACTTCTCACCGCTGAAGGTGAGCAACGACGAAAAGGGAATCTGTTTAACAAAACGTCGATAGACGTTGCAGCTTAGATGTGTCGTTGTAGTCGTCGTCCGATCTTTTTTAAAGGAGTGTGTTTTAGGCACGGGCTGTAAACCCGGCCCCAACAGCTCCTTTGCCTTGCGCGTTGTTTGCAGCGCCTCGCGCATAATGGTGACGAATGGGACGCCAAAATGGTACTCACTGGGCGCCCACCCACCTAGTTTTAGGCGAGTCCGTTCTCCTGGTACCCTCCGGTTGTTCCCCAGATCCACGTGAGCTTCTCGATGACGGGCGGCGCCAGCTCCAGCTCGGGCGGCAGTCCCCCCATCACGTCCGGCTTCATCAACCTGCTGCTGCAGAGTGTGGGCGTCACGCTCACCGAGATCCAGGACGTCGTGTTCAAGTAAGCCAGCGGAGAATTCAAGTAAGCTAGGACGTCGTGTTCAAGTAAGCCAGGAGAGAATTCAAGTAAGCTAAGGCGTTTTCAAGGTCAGTCAAAAGAGTGTTCAAGGTCAGTCAAAAGGGCTGGGCGCACCGAAGCTGCATGGTAGGTAGGGATCCATGCGGCCTAATTGGTGTTACGTTTGTATGTCCTTAGATCGGGACCTTCGGGTCAAATAAGGTCGAACAAGGTCGAACTCGAGATCCATGTCCGAAGGTGCCATAGGGCCTCCTCATGCAACGCGAAACTCCACTTGTGCTCATGTCAGGCCTGACCTTATGTGCGTTTTTAGAACGTCAGAACTGCCAAAATCTTTCGAAATTGTTTCATTGATTAAATTTGCAGTCGGCGTCAAGAACTGTCCTAGGTGGCATGCTCCTCATGGCATAGGTTCACCCGGGTCGTTTTATGTGAGTTTTTGACATCTGACCGCTTTGACAGACGGTCCATTGGCCACTTACGAATTCGAAACAAGCGTCAAAAGCTTACTTAAAGGAGACGATTTTTTCAGCCGCTCGCTCTGACTCGCGCTGTTGAATTGGCTGTGTTATTGGGACCAGACATTTTCCACAAAGCTTTTTCACAAATTTTACGCAGACAGCAAATGCCCGTGTGCATTTAGTTAATTGGTAGTCAATTCTATATATATATATATATATATATATATATATATATATATATATATATATATATATATATATATATATATATAGACACATATCAACAAACAGATGTTTTAACTACACTCTTCCCTTTTTCGGAACGTATTTTAAGTTACTTGCTCGTATGTTTCGTTTCGTAGACGTGGCGTTGTCGGGTCAAGCATCTCAAGCCCTGTGCGTCATTGTTACGTGTTAGAAGGTTGGTGTCCTGACGTGTCATTATAGCCGCCACTTTTCGTATCCTAAAGTCGTGAACAACCAACTCAATGACCCATCAGTTCGCGGCTCTGCTCAGAAGGCTGCCTCACCGAGGACAGCACCTTCCATCTGATCTCAGCGCGCCCGCGGGCTCACGCGCCGGCGTCAGCACCTTCCATCCGATCTCAGCGCGCCTGCGGGCTCACGCGCGCCGGCGCCAGCACCTCCCACCTGATCTCAGCGCGCCAGCGGGCTCACGCGCGCCGGCGCCACTACCCCTCACCTGATCTCAGCGCGCCCGTAGGCTGATGCGCGCCGGCGCCCACAGGCTGGCGTACTTCGAGCGCGAGCACCAGTTCCTGTCGCAGTCGGAGCTCACCTCCGAGGTGGTGGCCCACTACACGGGCCAGGCGGTGAAGCAGCTGTACGTGCTGGTGCTCGGCCTGGACGTGATCGGCAACCCGTTCGGCCTGGTGGTGGGCCTGACCGACGGCGTGTCGGACCTCTTCTACGAGCCGATCCAGGTGCGGGGCGCCGGCCGGAACGGGCGAGCGGCCGACCCGCCGCCGCGCCGCGGCCGCCGCACGCTGGGCTGGCTGCGGCGCCACGGGGGCGGCGTCATCCAGTTCATTGTGCATGATGGATTCGTGTGCAGAGTAGCAACGCTATTTGAAAGAAGGCGATCGCTCTCGAATTTGTTCAAAAAATAGTTCGCTGAGATCCGGGTGTTCTTATTGCAGGGCTTGCTGGTATTTATAATTCACTCGGTGTGTATCTAAGTGGCAGGTCTTGTGTGGAACAAGCAGTGGTTGAGTCTAAGCGTTTGTGCGTTTTGAGTCCGTTCAGCGGTCGGCCACAGCGTGCTGTCTCCGCGGCTGCCTGACATGGGCCGACCCTGGTATGACCGGCTTCCGTCCGTGTGTCCGCAGGGCGCTATCCAGGGCCCGGGAGAGTTCGCCGAGGGCCTGGCGCTGGGCGTCACCAGCCTGTTCAGTCACGCGGTGGGCGGCACGGCCGGCGCCGTCTCGCGCATCACCGGCACTCTGGGTACGGCCGCTCGGTGGCCGGGTCTAGCCCGCGGCCCCGGCTCGGGCTCGGCGGCGCCGGGCCGGCAAAGAGCCGCGTCGACGCGGGGCCTGCCGGGTCGGCGGCAGGTGATGGTGCAGAGCTATGAACAGTCTGCCACACACCGCGCGTCCTTGTCATGTTTCAGAGTGTCGAGCGAGTATGTTAGACCATGTCTGGCTCTCCCGATGTCGACGCTAGCGCCGCTCCGAAGTCTGCGTCGGCTCCGGTGTTGTAGCGCTGTGTGCTGCATCGGCTCCCGTGCTGTAGCGCTGTGCGCTGCATCGGCTCCCATGTTACAGCGCTGTGTGCTGCGTCGACTCCCGTGTTGCAGCGCTGTGTGCTGTGTCGCTCGCTGCGCCGCGGTGGCCACCCGCGGACTGCTGTATTGTAGCGGCCGGGCCGGCGCTCTGTTCGCAGGCAAGGGCATCGCAGCACTGACGCTGGACGAGGACTACCAGCAGCGGCGCCGGGAGGCCCTGAACCGGCGTCCGACCGACTTCACCAGCGGCATCGCCCAGAGCGGCCGCGGCCTCTTCATGGTGAGCTCAGCAGCGATCGCGGTGGGCTCGGGGAAGACTCTGGCCCGCCAGTTGTGAGAGCCGTAGCTGTCTGGGGCAGTGATGTTCCCGCCAGGGGGACCTCCGAGGCCGGCCGGCTGGGGTCGAGTGACGGCGCGAGCTGGGCTGCTGCGTGCCGCCGCCGGCTCACCACCCCCGCGGTGTGACCTGCCCCTGTCCCTGACTGCCGTCTGCCGCCCGAGCGCTCGCCCTGCCGTAACCGTGTCTGTCGGCGGCGCCAGGGCGTGGTGGACGGCGTGACCGGCGTGGTGAAGAAGCCGCTGGAGGGCGCACAGGAGGAGGGCGCGCTCGGCTTCGTCAAAGGCATGGGCAAGGGCATGGTGGGCCTGTTTACGCGACCCACCTCCGGCGTGGTGGACTTCGCTAGCGGCTCATTCGACGCTGTGAAGCGGTAAGGACGCCGCCACGGCTCGGTCGGCGAGAAAGCCGCCGCGCCTGTCAGTCTGCCGTGCGCCAATGGTCGGCTCTCCAACTAGTCGTGTCGAAGCCTATGCCACTGTAAAAGGATGTTTAAACCAATTTTCCATGGTTTAGGTCATTTGTTCAAGGAAACGTCATGGCAGTTATCTCCTTTTAGCGGCTGTTGTAGCAACGTGAATGGTATTGTTACTGGTGCGCTGCGGTCTGACGTGGCGTGTTCTCAATCTGAAGCAGTGTGTTGCTGTGAGATGTCCGTTATGCCGTGCTCATGCGGGCTGTGTCGGCTGGTGTGATGCGATCTGTAAGCCGTGAATCACTGTACCGGGACCGGCTTACCGTGGGCGGCAGGGGGTGATCGTGACTTGCCCTGGTCCACAGCTGTAATCCCGCCGTGTTGCCAAGCTGTGCTTTCCTTTCAGCTGGCGAAAGCAGACGGATCTTAAGTTGATAAAAAAGCTGAACAGGTTATTGGCCTGCGGTTGGCCGGTCAGACCGGTGTGACGGCGTGCCCGTGCCGCGCCAGAGTCCGCCCGGCAGGGAGGGGTCCGCCCCCCCCCCCTCACCCGCAGCCTCCTCAAGGCCCCGTCCCCCCTCCCCGAACCATCTCCCGGTGCAGACAGTATTCTGTCTATGACCGCTGCCTGTGCTGCCTTCCGTCAATCTCCCACCGCATCTCTTGCCTTTGTTCTCCGTCTGTCTCCCGCTCTGCGTCCTCGACAATCTACATTACTGGTCCAGTTTCTATGTGAACACAACAGATTCAGTTAGCCGGGCCTGTTGCTCTGATCCCGATGGCGCAAAATGATTTCAGCACTTGACGTGCCCTCAGACTCCACTCAAGAACAACAAGACATCTCTTATTCCGATGAAAGATAGCTCTGATAGCTCATGAAAGCATCGGCCAGCGGGATCGGGTTTCCGAATCCGAGTTAGGATTGAGACGCTAGTTCAGACTGAGAAATCCGTTCCCTGTTACTGAAAGAGCGATGCTGATCTCTGAAAACAGAATAAAAGCCTCGTGCGTGATAGGTTAACCGGAATGTTTGCCCGTCGGAACGGACTCCTGAAATAGCGATACTGATTCCTAAAATAAGAACACCAATTTCTTCCGGGATGCAATAATCGGAATTATTGCCCATAGAAACAGACTCCAGCTCTAAATCTGCATCTCCATCCCCATACATTTTAGCACGTTTTCTTTTCGTAATATCTTAACCACGTCTCCACAGAGCTTCGTCTCGTCCTTCGTGCTGAGCCCCCCCCCACCCGCTCTATCCACTGATCCCCGTCGCTCTCTGGCTACAGGCGCGGGACCGTGCCCGTCCTCGGACCTTCCCCTCCGCTCTATCCACTGATCACCGTCACCCTCCGGGTACAAGCGCGGGACCGTGCCCGTCCTCGGACCCTCCCCTCCACTCTATCCACTGATCCCGTCACCCTCCGGCTACAGGCGCGGGACCGTGCCCGTCCTCGGACCTTCCCCCCCGCTCTATCCACTGATCACCGTCACCCTCCGGCTACAGGCGCGGGGCTGTGCCCGTCCTCGGACCCTCCCCTCCGCTCTATCCACTGATCCCCGCCACCCTCCGGCTACAGGCGCGGGACCGTGCCCGTCCTCGGACCCTCCCCTCCGCTCTATCCACTGATCCCACTGCTCTCCGGGTACAGGCGCCAGACCGTGCCCGTCCTGGGACCCTCCCCTCCGCTCTATCCACTGATCCCGTCGCTCTCCGGGTACAGGCGCGGGACCGTGCCCGTCCTCGGACCCTCCCCTCCGCGGCGTACTCTGGGAGTGTAACCACGGCGTGTGTGTGTTTCGCAGATGGGCATATAGTCTTCACACAAACTGTTGTTCGGACGGAGACGGGTAGTTATTGGGGATACGTAGGGTGGCGGTGCAAGCGTTGTTTCGTTTTTGTTTTTGCTTGCAAATATATCATGTGTTTGCTTATCTCTGAGAGTGAGACAGCACTGACTCCTGCGTGTATTGGGACTTGGTGGCGGGGCATGATCAATAAGTACAGAATGTTATGATATTCATGCAGCATGCGCTATTGACGACCTCTTATTGACGACTTCTCAGGTCACGATGTGACATGACAAGGAGGACGTATCATATTCCGTCTTGCCATTTGCCTCTCAGGACTTTGTAATTAGATGTGAAGCACGTGTGATGGTGGTGGCATTTCGAGATGAATGTCGTGGTCAAAACCGCTTTCAGAGTAATACGGCCTCATTCGCATCACGTTCACGCTGCCCATATTGTGAAGGCTTTGCTGTTTCTGCTGTCGCTATAGTCTGGTCGTTATGCTTTCCGGTCACGTATCTCCACGGATGAGTGTGGCAGGAGTCCGCCGTCGAACTCGTCGGCCGTGTCGCCGCCGCTCGGGGCCGAGAGGTCGCCAGCTACAGCGCGGGGTCTCGGAGCGGGACACCTGTCCGTCCCCTCCGCGGTCGCCGAGCCGGCGGTGCCCCCGCCTCTGTCACTGAGCCGGCCGCGTGCGCGGTGCTCCCGGCAGGACCATGGACCAGGACGAGGTGACCCGGCTGCGGCCGCCGCGTCACTTCCAGGCGGACCGCATCATCCGGCCCTACGTCCGGCACGAGGCCGAGGGCGCTAAGATGCTACTGGTGGGTGGTCGACACGGACGCCACGTGGCGCGGGGCGCGGGGCACGGTCGGTACGGACCGGAACGGCGTCACCCGGCCGGGGCTTTCCATGGCCCCCTGCCGTTCACGCCGGGCGCAAAATGACTTCACCAGCCGACGCGGCTTTAAACCTCAATCAGCAACAGCACCCTGGGTGTCACGCACCGCTGTGGCGGGGTCAGAGGCGAAGCGGGCGGCGAATTAGGTTTGATGTCCTGCATACCGCACGGTAGCCGCCTGTGGTGCAGCGGTCAGGCCTGATGAAGGGCGCTCGGACATCGGCCGGCCCCGGACCGTGTCTGTGCGACATGGCGCCGTGAGCCAGATGTCGACAGTCTACATCTCTGCTGCTTGGTGATACTTCGTGCCTGCTTCACGCACAGCTAACATGCGCCCTTCTGACGGTTTACCACTTTCCTCGATTGATATTCTTTCGGCTGTTTTGCCTCTAGTAAGTTTACTGTTGGCACCAGTGCTGTTCACATTGTCTCCGCCGTCTGGCCGTGTTTGGACACGAGCTTGTTAGTCACGCTTCGGGTGCGCCGGCCCGTCGCTTCGCTCCCAGTCAGACGCCTGTGTGACGCGTGTGTGCCGGCGGCAGGAGCTGGAGAAGGGCCGGTACGCCACCACGGACGCGTACGTGGCGCACGCCATCTGCCGGGCCGACCGCAGGGTCGTCTTCCTGCTCACTGACTTCAGGGTGTTCCTGCTGAACCGCAACGAAATCTTTGGAAACTGGCAGGTACGTCCCAGCCGGACGGCATTCGTCGTGCTGAACGGGGCCCGGCAACAGACGATGTCTGTGTGGTGTTCCTCTTGTGCACGAACTAGTGCACACCGAGCTTCGTTCATATGATGTAAGAATGTCGACGCCACCGTGTTTGCACGGTATCCGTGTCCGTGTGACGTGAGCGCCGGCTGGCTGGTCGGCCGCGTGCGGCTTTGGACCGGGTTCAGTCGGCCGCCGCCCACTCGGGACCTGTTCCCGGGGCTGCTGATCACACCACGCTCCCCGTGGCAGTGGTGTCGATCTCCCTCACGAGCCGCGCCGCCCCCGACCGGAGGCCGGGCAGCGGCGGCCGCCCCGTGTTGGACGGCGGAGGCTGAACTGTCGTCCGCTCCGCCAGGTGGACTGGACTTACATGTGGAAGGAGCTGTCGGGGCCGCCGAAGTTGACGGCCAAGGGTCTGGAGCTGCGCGTTCCCGCCGCCAAGAAGGGCTTCTCGCTGTTCGGCGGCTCGGAGGGCGCCAAGACTGTGCCCATCACCGACAAGACCAGCGCCGAGGTGAGGGAGGGGGGGGGGGGGGGGGGTGTCGCCGCGCGCCTGGCAGCGGCGCTCCGGCGGCCGCCGACGGCCGCCCGGCTCGGCCCGGCCCGGCCCGGCCCGGCCCGGGACGCGGGCGGGGTGCGGACGCAGAGATCTCCGACAGACGCTGCCACTCGCAGTCTCGGTGTGGCGAGATATTGACTTCAGATATTGACGGTGTAGGCATTATTTTTCTCACGAGGCACGGAATGTTCAACTTTCGTATGCGAAGATGGCGACGTATGCGGTGGAATGTGCTCCCGGGATTCCGCTCACCACTTCAGTGAAATGTTGGGACCAACTATCGGCGTCGAGAGCATGAGAGTGATCGATGCAAGCCCCCGTTGAATCATTGTGACCTGTAGACCATCTTTTTTGCGACGCACCAAGAATGGTTGTTGCGAAGTGCATTATATGACGTGTGAAAGTGTTAATGTGGCCAAAAGGGTGAATGTACATAGAAGTGTAAGTCTTTTCACACTTTTTTTTTTGTCTAACCTTATGCAGGCTTCACCGTACTGTGACTGGAATCAGCATCGGTTGGGCTCGGGCGCGGTTGTTTGCTGAGTACTGTGCTGCCTGGTCCGTCCAGCACACAGCGGCGCCTGTGAAAGTCTTAAAGCTTTGGTCCGCGCAGGCTTAACCTGAAATATTTGTTGTGAGTCGTTTTACTTTCTTACACGAGGGAGACGGAGAGAACGCCAGTGATGACTTGTCATGTTTTGTTCTCCAGTGGATGAAGAACAAGATGACGGAGACGATGCAGCAGTACAACGTCTAGCCGCCACAGCGCGGCTCCCTCCGCGCCTCGCTGAGCTCGCGGTCCCAGAGCTCCTGCCACGGAGGCCGCCGAAGCCCGGGCGCCGGTCTGCCTCCTGCGACCGGCCGTCGCGGGCAGCGGCCGGACTCGCCGCGCCCTCTGTCTGTGGCCACGGCCGCCTCCCTGTCGCGCCCGCGCCGCCCGCCTCACCCTCTCTCGTCGTCCTGCCTTGTCTCTGGCGCCGCGCTCTCGGCGCCGACCTGCGTCGCTGTCACCGGGCGCGGCTCTTCAGCGCCTGCCGCTACGGGCTCCGGGCCCGGCCTGGCCTCGGGGCCAGGCCCGCTTCGCTGGGTGCCACTGCGCGGGGCGGCAGCTTCCAAGCCGCCAGTGGGAGCTCTGTGTCGCCTGGTGGTGGCGCCCCGCGCGCCTGTCCGCGGGCGTGTGGCCATGCGTTTGTGTGTGTGGGTTGGCCGCTGTGTTGTCTGGTTATCACTGGTGCGCCAGCGCACGTCGCAGCTGAATCAAGTCGAACCCGGCGTAGTTAGCAGAAAACACCTTACACCACCTGACTTGGTGTGGGCACTGTAGTTAATTATGTCCGAAGCTAAGTGACGGAATTGCACAGGGTTTGGTTTTTTACATCAAGCAAATTGTGTGTGGTATTTAATGTTCCGGTACTGTTTTCTACGGACTTTGTAACTGTCCTCCTGGGATTTTTGCTTGGCCGTTGTATGGGGATGTGTAAGATTAGTGGGAAAGGTTTCGCTGCATTAGACCCGCTTCCAATGTCAGATGAGTATATGGTTTCATTGCGACCTGCATATCTATGGTCCCCAAGAAATGATTGTCTGAGCACGCTATAGAGGCTGAGCTGTGCAAACATCACTGCGCATGGAATCGGCATGCTGCGGTGGTATGCTAGTCTTTGGTTGGCCAAAATTATGAGGCGGCATTGTTCCCTAGGAACCTGCAAAGTCGTGCAGCCCTGTGATGCATACTCCAAAAGGTGCGAAGCGCCGTTTCGTTATCAATATCTTATGGGATGTTATGCCTTGAAGGTAAAGAAATGTTCATTTTTACGGTTTGTTTGAGACTGAAATGCATTATGTTGGTCGATGCAGTAATCAGTATCGCGTGTTGCCATTGGTGGCTGTAAGATTTTGTTTTGTAAGCGTTTCTGCTTAGGTGTTTCAAATAAAGCATGATCTACTTCGAAGCTGTGTTTGCATTTATTGCTGCTAATCTGATTAGCGACTGTGTTAAAACAGCGACTGTGCCGTCACTGGATGCGTTGTTTCACACATTGAGCACTGCTGAAAAGCAATCCAGTACACTCAACTTACGTTTTCTGGCTAGTTTCCGTGTTCAAGTGAGCGCATTTTTCTTTCTCATGTTTTTGTCGTTGACACGAACCCGAAAGCGCCCATTTCTACATCATTTTTCTGCCCTAAGTCAAGTCACTGACATAGGGTAACACCCCAGCGTTGGTGGATAGAAGCGTCGGCGGCTGGGAGCTTTCGTCTGCGACCAGCCTGATCCGCGTCTCCGGGCCGGGTAAAGGGCCGCGTCGCACCAGCTCCGTCACAGTCACGCCCTCTCCAGTCAGCACGGCAATCCGCGACGATTGGGACGCCGCAGTAAATCATCTGGATTATCACATGAAGCCGTTAAAGCCCGTCGCTTGGCCCGGACACGAACTTTGGTAATGCGACTGAGCATTAAGCACAAGGCTCTGGGATATTTCGACATCTGCGTTCGCATGGTCCGCATCGCGCGGCCATCCGAGGGCCAGGCATGGCGGCAGGTGTGACCTAGTTGGAGGCGCAGCGCTGCAGAACGGTTCTCTGAAGAGCCTGCAGACCGCGCTCTTTCGCACTCACGTAAACTCTGTGCGGTCTGTCAACGTAATCTGGCGAACGGCTGGATCGCCACGCCGATAAGGTTTCAACTGCTGAACTTTTAAGAGACCGTCGTGATAGCGTGCGGATGCTGGGATGTGCCTACGTGGATACAGTTCTGCGAGGGGCAGGCTGGCGGTCGTGATGGCCTCGCGTCTTCCTTAGATAACCAAGAAGTCTAACCGTAACGGAAACGAGATGACCGGGACTTTGCTGAGAAAGATCGAATTGAGAGATTAACTTTTGCCATGGACTGGCCCTGCTAACAACGAACAACTTATCAATTTATCAAGAACCACGTTTCCTGTTCTTCCGGGTGATGTGCTTTGGCTCAAAAAGCGGTGGACGAAGACGCCATTCTTTATTTCTCACGCACTTGATTAAGTTCGATTCCAGGCCTAGGAATAACAGTTCCTCTCCAGGCCAATACCTGTATGGGCTGTTGATCACGCTCTACGCGCACGCTGCGCGTTTTTCGCCGTCCTTCGATGGGTCCGTACTGGACTTTCTCAGACAATGCAGCTTCCCAGCGCTGTGCCCGACGCCGGTAGTGTGGCTCGTGATGTCCCACATAACGGAGGTGAGCGTGCAACGCCACCAGTTCCCATGCGCTGCGATGAACTGGCAGAGGCGTATGCAGGATTTTGTAACGGGGGCACAACGCATCACTAGCTAAACGATGCCTTCTAGCCCGCTGCAAGCTGGCGAGGTTCCTTGCATCGCGTAAAACAATATCACACGGTTTCAAACTATGTATCATCACAAGTGTCCCTTATTTCATTGAGTCATATGTGTATTAATACATGCGGCATTCATTTTGAGAAGGGGAAAACATGTACCCGGTGCCCTCTTCTGAATACGCCCCTGCTGACCGGTAGCTTTGAGCGGAACCCCACCGCACTCCCGGCTGATTGCGCATGCGCGGAGAGACACCGTCTGCGATCTAGAGTCCTTCGATGCGAGAGCTCCGGGGTTTTATTGAGAAGCCACATTCCCATAGGCGGGCGTACGGTTCTCAATGAAACGCGCCGAGTGACCGCGCCGCGACTCGGCGCGCCGCCGCTGTTCACGTGCGCCAGATATACGTCAGGTGCTAGCCGCTAGTCGGCGGAGAAAGCGGCCGTCTCGTTCGTTTGACCGTCACCGTCGATCATCAGCTTCTCGAGCGTGTGATCATGGTCGAGTTCCGTAACACGAGTCCGATGTTAATCAGTTGGTAGCGAAGGCAGCAATAAACATCAAAGTGTTTTTCTCAGGTGATGTTTTGTCGTTAGCTGGCGCCGGTTGCCCGTCCAGCTGCCTTCATCGCCGCTGCTGACGTCTGGGTGTTGTGTGTTCTTCGGTCATCGGGACTAGAGACTCATCCGTACACTGCGCGTCTGTGAAGAGCATACTGCCGTTGCGGATAATCGTAGGACACGCAGCCTCTGAAAATCCAAAGCCTTCGTGGGTAAAGGCTTACCCCTGGCCGCAATATTTAATGGGTGTGGAGCCGGATTTGTGAAAGTTTTGTGCACAACTAGGATTGCACATGGACAAGGACGTGGACCATTCACTGCCGGTAAAGATTTTTGTGATTCTATGCTTTTTTATTCATACTTCACACACTTACACACACTTACACACACTTACACACTTACACACACACACACACACACACTACACACACACACACACACACACACACACACACACACACACACACACACACACACACACACACACACACACACACACATATATATATATATATATATATATATATATATATATATATATATATATATTTATATTCTGTACCTTAGAATTGACACTTTGGAAACTGGCAAAACAGCGGATGCAGTGCGGGATAACAGAACCCTCGATGCTTTTCCGCCGGAAGGGGGCACAGATGTGGTTTGGTTTGGGTTTAGGGTAAAGCAGTGAGTTAAGTCAGAAGAGCCCCTATGTGCCCTCACTTTCTCTGGATTTCGGAAACCTTCCCGGTTTCAATGCGTCTCATTTGGAGGATGCGAGAGAGTTGCCCCGTTGCTCCCCGTCCGCTTCGGTACCCCGCTGTTCCCCGTTCATTCCAGTGTCTCATTGCTCCCCGTCCCCTCCAGCTGCCGCTCTGCTCCCCGTTCGCTCCAGTAACCCGCTGTTCCCCGTCCCCTCCAGCTGCCGCTCTGCTTCCCGTTCGCTCCAGTAAACCGCTGTTCCCCGTCCCCTCCAGCTGCCGCTCTGCTCCCCGTTCGCTCCAGTAAACCGCTGTTCCCCGTCCCCTCCAGTTCCATGCACACTCATAACGGTACTGGTGGGGTAAATACATATTTGGATTGGATAGTGGGCAAGCATGCTAAAACCACCCGAATATCAGGTAGATTAGATAAAGGAAAGGATGCTCGTGAATACCTTTCCTATGAATGTACATGGATTACAGTACGGTATCTTTGTACCAACAGCCGGAAAGTACTAAGTCAGCACATCCCGCGGGCCTGCATCTCTGTGATGTGAGCGGCCACAGAGAGGCTGTGCTAGATCCCATCAGCTACAAGAGTCAGCCATCGTTGTTTGGTCCGCGTGGACCTGCTGACACCGCGGATTTGTGTGCAAGATGTGCTTTCACCTTCGCTGTACATGATGCGACAGGAGAGCGGCTCTGTGGGCTCTGGCCTGGGACGGCTACGTCCGGGCATCAGCCGGCACCTGGCGACGGACGAGGCGAGCTGGCACCCTGCAAATACCGCCGCTGACGGAGAAACGGCGGCGCTTTTAGACCTGCCGCTGGTCCCAGCGCCATGGCGCCTGCACCTGAGAATGCGTGGCGGATCTAAGTTTCATTGGTCGGAAGTCTTGGCGGGCGGCGGCATGCCTGCCGTGCGATGTTCCTCACCTCCAAGGGCGCGCGAACCGCAGAATGGAAAGGGTACAGGTGCGCCCGCAACTTTTTGAACTTTTCGTGGCCTGGGCATGCTTAATCCGAGCTGAGCATACAAAGAAGGTAGCTCCTCCCAATATCAGCCGTTGAGACTCGCTCCCACGGCAGGGGATGACTCACCGCCCATTTCCGTGCCGCCTCCGCGCTTGACCGAGGTCCGTATGTCCTGACAAGCCGCCAATAGCAGCCGCGATCCACCGATAAATCGCCTAGGCACGGGTTGATGTCCCTGCCGATCTGCACCCGGGGGAGGGGCCGGATGTGCCCCCCCTCCCAGCGGGCCAGCGGCGCCACACAAAGAGAGCAGCGCGCTCCAGGAATGCGTCCCAAATGGTGCGCGGTCGGGCCGCGCACGGGCGGGGCCGGGAAAGGTCGCGCCACCGTCGCGAGCGATCACGGACCGCTGCCACCGAGCGGCATGACAGATTGGTCGGCCGACGAAGGCAGCCTGGGCTGACAGTCGTCCGGCTGGTGGGAGGCAGGTTCTTGCTAGGTCTGCGAGAGGACCGAGGTTCACATGTCCAGGGGCCGATAAGAAACATTCGGTTGTTACCGAAAGCGGATCATCAACAAGTATGGGCAGGTCATGGGCTAAAACTATCATTACTCGGGCCGAACTGATGAGGATTGAAACGATAAGTACGTGGCGAACGTTTTGACCATGCAGAAAACATGCGTGTTCTAACGATGCGGGGTTGCCTGGGCTGCGTCGTCCTAGTCCCCATAACGGGGCTGCCGACCTAGTCCTCGTGAATGCTGCGTCCCCACCGACCACAGGTGCGGAGCGCATTGTTCGTCAGCGCGCGACGTCTGTCTGCGGCGGCCCTGGCCGGCCGCGCCGGGCGCCGCCGGACCCGCGACGGCCGTCACCACTGGGGCAATCGGAAGGCTGTGTCGCGGCACGCGCGCAGACGTCCCCGACGCCCTGCCGTCCTTGTCCTAACGCAGCGCGCGACGCGACGAAGCGTCCGAGAGACGTCGGTGACGTGCTCTACCGGCCTGCGGGTCGAGGACAGGCGGCCGTCGGCTGGATTGCGCCAGTCACGCCGGCTCCCATGATCGCCCGTCGGCGGCGGTGTCCGGCTCTCTCAGACGACGCTCGTGTGAAGAGCCGCTGCGGCTCCAGACGTGGCCCCCCTAACCGGCAGCTGTGGGCTCGGCGTTGCGTAATCGTACCATTGCGGTGGAGCTCCTGCACACTGCCGTGTTGGCGTTGTGACAGCATCACGTCCGGCTTAGCTCGACGTGAGCTGCCTGAGCGCTGTCGTGTGGACAGTCAGTGAAGCGCCGGCGGGGAGCGGAAACCTTCGCTTGACACGAGCCATTCGCGTGGCTGGTGCCAGTGCACCACTCGGTTGTCAGGCGGCGGGTCCGACACGGGCCGGCTGAGCAGAGCGCGGT